AAGTAATAAATATCAAATAAATTATTTGATGTTAAAGCGCGATCGCAAACATGCTTCATACATTTATATGAAGCAAATGTAGCAACTATCTCGTATTCAATTAATAATTTTAATGGTTCATATTTTTTATGTAATTTATCTAACTCACTTAAATTAAAAATATATGATATTCCATTATTAATATTAATATTATCAATTTCAAAATAATGTATGTTATTTAATGTGTAAGACTTATAAACTGGTTTACATTTATGAATATATATTTTTTTTTTTAACAATTTTTTTTTTTTTTTTTTTTTTTTTACATTTTTAATAATCTAACATCACCTAAACTATACGATAATACTATGTTTTTAATTTCTATTGGTAAATCATAAAATATCATATAATATAATATATTTAATTATTTAATTATTTAATTATTTAATTAGTAATTTTCAAACATTGAGAAACCGTTTTCATAAACATTTTATCTGGGTTCTTTTCTAAAAGGTTAATATATAAAAAACTATGCGGTTCATCAGTGGCAGTCTCATATATTTTATAAGTTAGTTTCTTGCTTTCATGTAAATTATCGCTTCTAACAATTGCTGATAATTCATCTTGCAATATTTCTATCTCTTTAAAATTTCAAACTTTATAATAAAACAAATGACTTATATTTACCCTAATAATTGGTGGTACGGTTGATGATTTTTGAAGACTTACAAGTGTTGATATTCCACTATGACGACCTCTACAAAATAAAGAATTTAACAATTTGTTATTTCTTGTTATTGCTGGATTATCAGATACATCATCCAATATAACTAATATATTAAATAACTTTTTCATTCCTTGTTTTTTCTGATATTCAATTATTTTATTTTGAGTTTCTATAACTCTTTCTAAATCTTCAACATTGAACTCATCCCACCAACACGGTTCTTTATCATTATCTACTTTCAAACCTTCTTTAATGTATTTTTTAACAGGCAACCAAATACTATCCAAATTTACAGATGGAGACCAGATAAAAATTCTTTCAAATGCACCTCTATAAATATCAAGTATCATTGATACAAGTAAAGTTGATTTTCCACTTCCAGATGGTCCGACAATCATAGCTCTCATAGGCAATTTAGGGACAACCTCATGCTTACTTTGCTTAAAGTCATATTTGATTTCATCAATTGGTTTTACATCAGGCATAATAAAAATAATATTATAAATACTTATAAAATAAAAAATATAATATAATTATATCATAATGGCAATAAAATCTATTAATTTCAGTGAAGTGGCTAGTATTCGGAGGATATATAAATTTGGTGATATCTTAGTGCCCGACACTGAACAAATATATTATGATACGATGTTATACTTTTTATCGGCAATTAAAATACACAATATCATAGTATCCAAATCATCAATTGAAAGTGACAATAACCTAGATTTTAATTTTAGAAAGTTAGTAAGTTTTATGAAAGATTATCCCGATATGTATACAAATGAAATGATAAATAGTGTAGAAGAAGTTATTGATATTAATATTAGAGATGTTAGTCTATCAACTGCAATGAAACTTACTAAAGAAAATAGTTTAAATAAATATTCTATTTAATATTAAATGGACGCGAGGAACGAGCCTCGCGTGCTAACGCGACCATCGTTTTTATGATATGCTGGTGGCGAATATCATAAAAATGGAACAGGTTTTCCATTGCTTCAATCAATAAGCATTGAAGCCAATTAGTTTGATGCATTGTAAAGAAAACCCCAGTGCTGAGCCCCACCAATATTCTATTCATGCATGAAATAATAAGATTAATTAACTATTTTATCTTATTATTTATATGAATAGTAGTTATTCAAATTATATTAATATAATAGATGAAGTAGAGAATATAGAACAAGTTGTTATAACTGACAATAGATGTAAGAAAGTATGCTATTTTGTTTTAGAAATACTTAAGCTAGGAATAGAATATATCAAAAATAGAAATGTAAATATTAATATAAATGCCAAAAAAGAAAAACAAAAGAATAAGACAGGTTTAAGTGTTTCTTCAACTGATGAAGAAATTGTTAAAGAAACATCAGTTATTGAGTTTTCTTGTCCAATGTGTAAAAAGATGTTAGAAATGAAAAATGAATTAGAAATAAAAAAAATAATAAAAATTGTAAATGTTCATGTATTCCAACAAGTTTCAAAATAAGTAAAAATGATAAGAAAATGAATATCGATAAAACTAAAGACAGTATAAATCTGGAAACGGATGTTCATAGTATAGCCTTTAAATGGGGTAAGGATGCATCACTCTCGGATAATAATGAAAACGAAACGCAGGAAACTATTAAACAAATGATGAACAAAATAGTATTTAAAGAGTAGATTTAACATAATTGCACTTTATAAATATATATAATTAAATAAATAAATACATATCTAATTATTTATATAATCATAATGCCAACTATGAATGGAGAAGACCATAGAATTATAACTTTTGACGATGAAGAAATTAAAGACCTATTCAATGGTGATGAACACTTTGCTAAACAATTGAGTGAATAATATTTTTATTGGTTTGATGCTACATTCAGCGATAAATATTTTATGAAAGGTATAACTAAACCAGATAACTTTGGTAAAATATTGTTGTTTTCTTTTGAAATTACAGGTGACGAGGAAGGTTTAATACAAATGAAGAATAAAATTGGCGAAAGACTGTTAGAATATAATTTATTTACATATATAACATTAAATTATTCAGGTAAATTGTATAATAAAAACGCATAATTAAATAATTAAATAAATAATTATCTAAATAAATATATAGTAATGTCTGAAAATGAGAATTATACTATTAATGATTTAATGAAGAAGATGACATTAATTGGTAAAAATATCAAAACCTTAAATGATATGATTAAATCCATTGATGAAAAACTTAAACCAGTTGAACGTAATGAAGATAAAGACAAAATCGAAAAGATATTTCAAGCAAAATCTATAGGAAGACCAACTGGAGACTACCCTACAAAGCAAAATAAATATTGTGATATGTTGAATACAGGAAAAATCACGCAACCAAAGCAACAAACATTAGAGTTTTATAAGATTACAAAAATGATGATGGAGTATATGTATTATTTGAATAATTAATATCTAAGTAATTCTAATAATATGAATTTATTAGAATTATTTAGCAAGAAGACCTATATAAAATACCTAGCGAATTAATTTGTGAAATCTTAGTGAGTTTGACGGATTAGGGATTTGGGTTTGGGGTTTTGGCTACAAGTCGTTCGTCCAGCAACAAAAAGGTAAAATGTGCCTGCCATATGTCCCAGATTTTTGGAGCATATGTCCCAGATTTTTGGAGCATATGTCCCAGATTTTTGGAGCATATGTCCCAGATTTTTGGAGCATATGTCCCAGATTTTTGGAGCATATGTCCCAGATTTTTGGAGCATATTCCCAGATTTTTGGAGCATATGTCCGAGATTATCGAAAATATGGTATTAAGTTAAAACATCATCCAGAGATTAAAACCATACTATAATAATAACATATATACCCTTATATGTTATAATTATAATGTAAAATGACTTAAAGGAATAAAGACTTAATATAATAAGAGGAAAATGCCAATGATAGGAGTGACAGAAAAAGAGCTGGAACAGGATAGAAAGATAATATTGAATTTCATTAAGGATAATCCTTATCCATCGTATAAACAAGTCATTGAAATAATTATAAACGATAAAACAATGGAAGATATATATCTAGATATGTTCGCCGAGTATGGAGAACAAAATCATCAATGGATAAAAGATATTTACGAAAACATAATGAAAGAAGAACTCGTTAAACGAAATGGCAATAGTATTAATGAAAGAGGAGGAATGACAACAATGCATTGTAATTATTATACTTTGATATCAGTGTTGCGTTTTTTAATACAACAAAGAGCACCAATGAAATATTATGACGTTATCTTAATCTGGTATAATATCAGAAACATCTTAAGCAGTTCTTGGAACAACATAGGCGACTGGAAACACTGAAAACAGGTTTAATCATATTATCGATAATCATACTATAATAATAACATGTGAAATATTATATGTTATAATTGTATAATACTTATCGTTTGTAAAGATTGAATTATTATATTTTCCTAATTTGCTTATCTCTTTCAAAGTGCGTTGTTTAGACTTGGTATGCTTCTTCAATTTTTTCGTGCTTTGGCTGTTTGTTTTTGTTTTGTTTGATACTCTTATGATATTTTTTGTTGGTATGTTGCTTTGATTTTTGTTGATGTGTGTTTTTGAGTTGAGTGTCTTTGATGATTTAGAGTGTTGCTGTTTTGTTGGTATGCTTGTTTGAATTATTTAATGTTGTATGCTGTGATTAAGTATTTTTGTTGCTGGTTGTGATTATTTATTTTGTTTGCTTGTTGTTCTGGATTTTGTTTTCTGTTTGTTGTGTTGCTGTTGGAAAAAATAGTAGAAATAATAATTATTTGAATTCTCCTTTTACTATTTTTGGGGGAGGGGTGGGTGGGTGGGTGGGTGGGTGGGTGGGTGGGGTGGGGTGGGGTGGGTGGGTGGGTGGGTGGGTGGGTGGGTGGGTGGGTGGGTGGGTGGGTGGGTGGGTGGGTGGGTGGGTGGGTGGGTGGGTGGGTGGGTGGGTGGGTGGGTGGGTGGGCTGGTGGCAAGCAACCCTTTCACTGATTCTTCGGCGAGCAGAACTTTCACGTCGGCAATGTTTGCTTCAGCCTGTTTCTTGTTTCAGGAAGCCGTGAATCTCCCAGGCTGCCCTTCATGAAGAGACTTCTGGCGATTGGGCGCCTGCTGCGACGCCCTTGCCGATTTGTTTTTCCGCGGGACAGCCAAGAGCTGCAAGCTTCTGCCCTTCCCTTTTCCACCTCACGTCTGCTTCAACGAGCGTCGGCCGCCTCCTCGTCGCGGATATCGATCCGCGCCCTAGCCGCGGATCGATCCGGGCAGAGGCGCTGTACATCCTGGGCATGGACCTGGCGCAGCTGATGCAGGAGCTCAAGTCGGGAAGCTTGAGATGTGTTTGTTTTTCTTTTGGGGGGGGGGTTGGGGGTCGTTTTCAAGTTTTCTTTTTGGGGGTTTTCCAGGGAAGGGAAGTTTGACATGTGGTGTTTTAAGGGTGTTTTGGGAAGGGGCGCCAAAGTCAAAGGAACACCTCGCCATTTTGGGGGTCCCCTTACTTTGACACATGCCCAAGTTCAATTCCTTTTCGATTGTTTCGGGGCACTTTGAGAATATACATTTGAGGGGCAAACAAACAGGAGCTTTGACCAAGCCCAACATAGCCACATGTCAATCGAAAACAGTCCCATCAAGACAAAAGTCACGCAAATATGGTGGGGGCTAGTGAATGATTCCCACTTTTGTGCTGAAAAGGGATGGCAGGAAAGCCCTGGTGCAAACCTTTCATCATATCCCTATGAACCTCGTCTTGCTGAGAGAGACAACCAGCCAACGGGTCCCAGATTGCCGGCCCTCGCAGTTTTGGCAGGGCCCACTGCCAACGTCTAGAGATGAGTTTCGAGCACATCTGCAGAGATGCGACAAGTCGACTAGATGCGGCTAAACTTGCTGGTTCTCAGTGGGCAATGCACCGGGGTTTTGGGAATGGATAGGGATCATTTCCTCATTCCCTATCGAACCAGCAAGTAAGTACCTCGCTGTAAGAGCATGTCCATTGTGTCCAGGGCCCAAGGCCGCCTTGGGTATGCCACTACGTCAGTCTTTGTCCTGCTGAAGGCTCCCATCTAAAGGGCGCACCCGATTCCCACGAGCCCTGTAAATGGCTTGGTTTCCTTTTGAAACAGCCCCTTTTGTAGCCAGATACGGGTCTGTCATTTTTTTGGCGAGCCCCGAACTGGTGGTTTCCCTTTGGTTTGCCTGACACATCCACAAAACATGGCACCAACTTCAAGAAAGACACACCCGTGCTTGTTCCACCTTTCAATGCCGATCCAGAAGGAAAATCGACCAGGTGCACGCACCATGCTTGGATTTGATTCCAAACAGGGAACCCTGTGGCTTTTTTCCGAAAGTCGCTACAGGGTTTCCCTCCAAGAAAGGCATGGTGGGTGTGTCTTAACACAGGGCGACCCGAAAAAGGGCGGCTTCGCCTTTAGAACCCCCAAGGTTGATAGGGTCATGGCCAGGAGTCGTTCGACGCGTGCATCACGCGATGGAAGAAGAGGAAGGAGCAAGCCAAGGACGGGCGTCAAAGCTGAAACTGGAGGGTTGGGGGGCGGAGGCAAGCGAGATGCGTCCCCCGGAGAAAAAATGGCGGCGGGGTTTGCTTGGGCGTTTAAACCATGCCGTACAACGGGGTTGAATCGCCAGCCCTGAGCAGGGGCAAGCATTCGTTTCTTTTGGAGAAGGAACAACTGCAACCCAATGTCCGGTGCTCTCGGGCATTCATGTAAACCATGATAGCCCCACTTCGGTAGAATCAAATGTCAGTATGTATACTCGCGCAATGCATGTTGGCAACAAGTCTCACTGGAGGTCTCTTGGTCTCGTGATCGAAGAAGCGACCTGGATGTGAAGGGTATGGTTGTAACCCATTCGCAAGTTAAAAGCCACACATTCCGATCTGCAAGGCAAAGCAGTCATTGGCGGATTTGGGGATATTCCAGGTCCAGAAAGTGTCCTTTTACGTCACGCTGGTTTGCAGTTTGGATTTATCCAAGATGGTTCCACTACCCCAAACCACCCAGGGGAAAATCAGGGAGTACCATTCACATCGTGGTTACTTCTCTTGGAGGGGGTTTGCGGGGCATCTCTGAACCAAAACATTCAACTTTTCACAAAAGGACGACTTGGTGTCCTTGGGCCCGTCCGGACATCGAACTCATGGCCTCCGTGCAGGTTTGCCGAGTGCTTTTGGCGGCTGTCTGGTTCCACGGAAGCGCATTTTAAGCTTAAGGCCGTTTGTGGAAAGGACGGTTCCCCTACTGGCAAAATGCTTCATGCAGGTTCCGGCCAATCGTCTGTAGTAGGGCAGGGCTCAAAGAGCAGTCCAGGACATCTATCGTAATTCCACATGTTGATCGAAAAGGCCATGAGCACTTTCTTTCCCTCATATAGGATGGCGGGAACACATGACCATCCTGGTATGCAATTAAATAGTATCCCAAGTTGCTTTAACCGCGTGGTGGGATTTACATTACAATATGGCTGTGGGTCTAAACCAATGGGATCCCATTTTGGTTGGTAGGTGAATTCACCACTCATTTTAGAACCTATTTTAGTGGTTGGATTGAATCGGATGTTCACTGGGGGGTAACCGGGATTTTGACCCATGGCCATATTTCCTCAGTTCTGTCGTGAGTGCTGGGGTCTCCGCCAGAACTAATTCATGTTTTGGCTGAGAATGAAGCGCGAACCGGGAATGGGTCAAAGACATGGACTATTCACATACCAGGATGGTCATCTGTGCAGGGAGGTGCCCCAACCAATGTGTTCCCTTTGAAACGGGGATGCCATCCTATATGAGGGGAAGACAGTGCTCATGGCCTTATCGATCACTTCATGTGGAATTGCAATTTACCTTACAAATCCTCACTTCCTGAGTTCATGAACTTTAGGCTTTTTGGGAAGACCATTTTGGTGGTAAATTTAAAGTTTAGACTTTTTTTGGGCCATCCACTCAGGCAGTGAGTACATATCCTTTCTGGCGCCTCACAAAAGAAACTTCCGCAGGTGCTGCTGGCGCAAGACCTGCTGCAGCGCAGCCGGAAGGCGCCCAAGTGACGCCCGGACGCCCGGAACGCGTGGTTCCAGCCTTCAAATCCAGGCGGTGCGGCGGTGCGCTCCCCGCAAATCCTCCATTTCATGGGGTTCCCAAGGAAAAATACGGTGAATCCCCAGAAAGTTGGGGGCAACTCAACGCACCTCTGCTCAAGTCCCAGCAGATTTGCGCCCTTTTTGAGGGTTCCGCGACTTGACGCATGCTTTTTCGTTTCAAAGGGTAGAATTTACACACGCACATGCTGGCGCAAACAGGTGTCAGCCTTGGGCCTCAGGTTGCCTCACTTGGCTTCCGAAGTCGAATTCGGCGCCAGCGGCGCGCCTTTGCACGGCAATGGGCATGGATGACTTGTCTGCAACGAGCTGCAAGGCGGCCAGTCACAATGCATCAATGAAGGAGGCTCAGGACCGCTCTTGTGAAAAGAATCTCTGATCGACACAGTAGTCCAACAACTTGGGTTGACGGAGGGGGGGGGTTGCCTGGACTTTCATGCTCCCCCGCACGTGCCGAACCTCAGCATCTTCGCAGCTGTTGGGGGGGGGTGTGTGTTTGGGGGGGGATGGAAAGAGCATGGGCCCATGGTTCAATCTAGTCCATCCCGAACACCATGTGACTTCTCCGTGTGTGCGCCCTACATGACAGCAACGCAAACTGTGATCCCACCGAAGCCACGATTTGACTGTTATTTGCTCAATTCCCAAGCCGTCCAAGAGCGGACGTCATCCGCACCCGCCCCCCCCCCCCCGGCAACCCAAGAACTTGACCTGGTCTATGTTCGAAAGCTTGTGCCTCTTGAACTCGAGCGTTCAGATTTGAGTGCTTCAACATTGGGAGTTTTCTCAATTCTGGTGGATCCCCTTGGGCTGCCTTTCCCAGAAGACATCCGCAGTCTTTTCGACAGTGCCTCGTCATCCAGCCCAGGTAGCTAGGTACGGCCGTTGACTCCCATCCATGGAAGCGAAGCAAGAAGAGCAACGCGCACCGAATGTTGGCCCCCGTGCCGGGTACTACTTTTAGCAGGAGCCGCAAGGGCAGCCGCCGTTTTGGACCTCTGCCCCCCCCCCCCCCCCCCATGTTGACAGAATCCAGATGGCACTGGTGAAAACAAACGCCCGCTAAGGGAGAGCTTGCTCGTTCCCTATGGGAAACAACCAAAGATTTTCACATGCATGAGTCTCCGCGAGTTTCACCGTACCGTGTGAACAGCATGAGTTCGAAGAGTTGATTGAGACCAAATGCGCGAGTGCCGCCGGAGTGCGTTTGCTCCAGTGTTTTTGTGCACTGGTTGAGGCCACGTTCTCCTTCTCCATAAAAACTATGGAACTGCCCCCCCCTCACGATCTCTTGATCAAGATAGCATCGCGAAGGGTTCTTCCGTGCGGAGCTCTTGGGCCAAGTTGCGCAGGGCCAAGTTGCACAGAGCCAAGTTGCACAGAGCCAGGCTTCACAGGGCCAAGTTGCGCAGAGCCAAGTTGCACAGAGCCAAGTTGCACAGGGCCAAGCGTCACAGAGCCAAGTTGCACAGAGCCAAGTTGCACAGCGCCAAGTTGCACAGAGCCAAGTTGCACAGCGCCAAGTTACACAGCGCCAAGTTGCGCAGAGCCAAGTTGCACAGAGCCAAGTTGCACAGGGCCAAGCGTCACAGAGCCAAGTTGCACAGAGCCAAGTTGCACAGCGCCAAGTTGCACAGCGCCGAGTTGCACAGAGCCAAGTGGCACACAGCCAAGTGGCACAGCGCCAAGTTGCGCAGAACCAAGTTGCACAGAGCCAAGTTGCACAGTGCCAAGTCGCACAGCGCCGAGTTGCACAGAGCCGAGTGGCACACAGCCAAGTGGCACAGAGCCAAGTTGCACAGAGCCAAGGTTAGGTAGAGATCTTGCGCAGAGCTTCGGCGTAAGCAGCTATGTAAGTTAGTTTAGGTTTCTAAGGCGCCGGGGTGAGAGTTTGATCATCGCTCAGGATTGCAACTCGCTGCGGAGATCCGCGTGGTCGATGTTCAATAACTGAGGACTTTGTACGATTTCTGCGGCGCGCGGGCGAGCTTATGCGGACATCCGCGTGGTCGATGTACAAACGTTGAGGACTTATTACGATTTCGGATCTGCGCGAGCGACCTTCTGCGGGGATCGTGCGTGTCAAAGCGCTCTCGCTGTGAACCGTGCGGTTTTCTTGCCCACAAGTTGCTTTGGAAGTTGTCTCGCGGTTTGCACGCCTGCTTCCGCAATCCCTCGGTCGAGGGCTTGGCAGCTCCTGCTCGAAAATCGCAGCTTTTGAGTACAAACGTAGTACGCGGAGCGTCCTCCTGCGGCTCCAGCTGGAATTTTGTATCTTCTATTGCGTAGTACGCGAAGGGTGTGCGCGCAGCGCAGGCAGAGCATCTTGTGCACAGGTACAAGCGTCGAGCATGTTGCGGAGAGAAGCTTGCGCAGCGCAACGTGCACAGAACAGTTTGAAGACAGATGTCGGGCCGTTTGCGCGCAGCAGCTGGCAGAGAGCAACTTGCGCGCAGCGGCCTTGAGCAGTGCAGCTTGCGCTGCGTGAGGAATCGTGCAGCGCAACTTGCGCAAAACACATTGCGCTGAGCAGGCTTGCGCAGGACCAACTTGCGCAGAGCCAGTTGCGCGCGAGTCACTCGCGAAAAGGAGCTTGCGCAGAGCCAAGTTCCACAGAGCCAAGTTGCACAGAGCCACCTTGCACAGAGCTAAGTTGCACGAGCCTTCTTTGCAGAAAGTGTGGATGTAAGAAGGTGTTTCCGTGGCTAGAAGAGCACTTGGAGAAAAATGCTTTCGGGCCAATCGTCCTCTAGTTTTTTCAACCAGTGGTACGGCCCATTTTCGACATGTTCCAAATCAGCCTGCCAGGCACAAGCAGCGGTGAGTTACCCTGAATGTTGCAACGTAACCATCTGATTAGCCACACGACACGATCTTACAGAAGTTTCCCATTTTCTTTCCCCGTTGAATCCAGAAGGCTCAAGGCAGTTCGCTTGAGACAAAAAGGCCAAGGGCCCCCTGAATTAAATATTGGTTGTCTTCCAGATGATGGACAAAGTTCTACCCAAAGGTGCGGGGGCCGGGTTGTGGGGACTCGCCTGCTTTGGTTTCCAAACCCGGGCTTCTTCTGGGTCTTTTTTGAGGATTTGGAACAAGTCCTCGTGGCTGTTGAAAATTTGAAGCATGACTACTCATGGATGCTGCAAAGGCTGTAGCGGTCATGTGGCTTTTTGGCTCAGCCCGGGCCGTCCCAAGGCAAGGCCCGTGAAACAGCCGCAAAATCCATCCTAGTTTGAAGCGAGCAATCCTCTCCCCTCTCCCAGCGCAAGCCGGAGCCAAAACCATAGCCAGAGGAATCACTTGAGGGCGGCCGTCAGCCCAAAACGAGAATCCGCACGTCGCCCCACCGGCCGGACCGAAACTTGCGGCGAGCCGATGGGGGCGAGGCCGGGGTAATTTGCGTTTGGGCAAATCGAATGGGTATCCCCTTCTTTGTGGTTGATAAGGAAACCCCACAGGAGAACCACCGGTTCGGGGTTAAAAAAGACCCCAAATCGTGACCTCAAGCAAATGCTGTTGGTTTGCCACGACCTCACCCAAGCTTACTCTCTTGGGGTTCCATTTTTGAGTTCAGGGATGGTGAACTATCAATTATCCAGATTGGGTGCTTGAATGACCTTGAATGGTTGATTCTGTTGACTGATCGGCGCACATTCCACAACTTGTTTTTGCTTTTCCGCTCGCGGCCCGCAGCTTCGCAAGGGCCGTGGGTTGGCTGGAAGGTAGAGTGGTTGGTCGATAGGGAGCTATATTGGTTGCCGGGTCGGTTGGAGAACGCTTCACTCTTGTCGGCAAGTTTGCAGTTGTTGTTTTCCTCGTCATATTTAGTCAAGTTTTTTGCTACCACACCAAGGGTTGTAAAGAAAGACCCACCACCAACCCTGGTTGAGTTTCCAGGGTTTCCTTCGTTCCCCGCCTGCACTATGGCGAGCGGGGCATCCGGACCCTTCGGTCGCTGGCGGATTCGCGGATTCGAAGTTGCGCAGGCGTGGCAATGTCTGAGACAGCCCTCCAGGCTGGCGAGAGGTCCAAAGGTCCAAGCACCTGGCCGGCTCCGCCGCCCTGCGAAGGGGTGCTGCTGAAACAGAACTTCCTGGGCTTCTCACCACTTAAGTAGAATCCATGGGAGGGAATCTGGGTGCCATATTTTTCTGGCGATTTGAGCTGGAACCAAAGGCATTCGAAGTTTGCACCTCCTTCGCTGTGAAGGGGAGGTTTTCTTCTCTCGCTTTGTGAGCCAAGCAGTTGAAACCGTTTTGGGGGAGCAGGCTGGATAGATACAAAGAAGACGCCTACTCTCTGGGGGCCACAGTCAGCCAAGTCGGGCTGTTGTGGCCTTTAACCCAAGTCATTTGGGTGACTTTGATGGTAAGCGGAGTTGAAACAGTGCCCTTTGCCTTGGCTTTTCTGCCAGCCATGATTTGGCCATGGCCGTGTGACCCCTTTACCAGGACGCGTTGAGGGCAACCTTGTTACCAAGTGGCCATGAGGCCAGGAAAACCGGAGATCCGAAAAAGGAACACCCACAGTAGTTTTTTGGCCAAACACCCCTGTCAGAGTTTCATATGGCTGGGTTCCCTGGGGCTACATTAAACTTGTCCAACGGTGTAGACCAACAATTGGCGATGTTTAAAAAAGAGGGAACCAACACCAACCCTCCATTTTGAAGAACGACCGGGGGGGACCTTTGTTGACAACTCCGCGATTTGTTCACCGCGATGCGATCGATGTTTGGTTTGGAAAGCGGCAAACCTACCCTGAAGGTTACATTGACACAAGCACCTTCTTCAATAAGTTCAAAAAGGACAGCCCTGCAAATGGGCGTGTCTCTTTTTAAGGGACCCCTCCCCCCAAAAAAGGAAGAACAACAACAACAACATGTGGTTTTCTTTCGGGTTTCCCTTCAACGCCAAAACAGGGGTACCGGAGCACCTCTCTCAATCCTGGCGCGATCGCGTGCAATCCGATCGCGTGCCAGGATGACCCCGTAGTGGATCTCAAGGAGCGGTCGCCATCATCGCGGGCCGGGGCCCCCGCTGCCCTCCGAGTCATCCTTTTGCCGATGGGAGCTGGAGCTCACTTCAGGAGATGGACAAGAATCAGGGGCCCAGGGGTTTACGTCTTTTACTCTTGGGAATCCAAGTTGTATTTCAGGTTTGGGAGTTTTTGTAGCCTGGTTTCTCTCCTTAGCCACCCTGCCAGGGGCCAGGAAGCCGAACATTTGGAGATCCGAAAAGGGAAAAATGAGACCCTCCACCATGAAACCACAAAATCCACATGACCGGCGATCAGCTGTACGGCCGGAATCCAACTGGTATCTGCCCTATTCGGCCGGCAGTTTCAATGGAAACCGCAGTGGAATCACAACTTTTCCGGAGGACATCCAGTCACCCCTCTAGCGGGCATGGGACACTCCGCTACTTGTTTGCTTATTTGTCCTTGCTTGGCCAAAAGCTCAACGCCCTTGGGCACATGTCGAGCTATCTTTTTCCTCGAACAGTTGGGCATGGGCAAAAGAATGAGTTTTTCGGAGATGGAGGCAGGCAGGATGGCAGGATCAGGCAAGCCCAGCCGAAAGCTAGCAGCGAGCTCAGATGGGGGCTGTACTACGGGCTCCCTTGGAAGGCCCTCTAGCTGGGGGAACCTGATGAAGTTTGTGAGTTTCATTTGCGGTAACTTGCCAAGATGCCAAGGCGCATGTGACGTGTTCTCTCGGCTTTCCTCAGGTGAGGTCCGAAAAGGAACCAGATGAGGCGGGAAGTGGGCGGGCATTTGCATGTTCGATCTCGCGGCAAGTATGTCGGAAGGAGAGGCTTCGTTGGGGCCGCGGGGGTTGCACTTGCCGCTGAAGCCCACCTTTTTGGAGGGGGGGAAGAATTTGGCCTTGGAAGGGGCGCTTCTTCTTCTTCTTCTTCTTCTCAATGTTCGGGGCAGATTCTTAGCCCCGCCCAATCTGCTTTTCTTTTGGTTGGGATGGTGTCACCCAAACCTGCAAGCCGGACCTGACTCCAAGGTACATATCTCTGGTGTGGTGTGGTGGAAGGGGGTATTTTTTTTGGTTTAAACAGATCTTCTTTTGACCCTTTGTGGCTTACCATGGCAGATGTGTGTGTGTGTGTGTTTTTACATCGGACCTCACATGAACAAGGATTCCGAATAAGTACGACGATTAATAGCATATTGTTTGGTTTTGCTTAGTTGCAGGTATCATATTGTGGGCATGTGTTTTCGTGTTTTTGCCCACTCATGTGGTTGTTTCTCTCTTTTTTTTTACAATGACCAAACCACTTCCTGGTATTGGATTCTTGGATCCCTTTTGGGTGTGTGTCTTTTTGTAGACCCACATGCTGTTTGGTAAAAAACCTGCGGCATGGTTGTTTGTTTGGCTTCCCTGCAAGACCAACCCCAAAAAACCGACCGGTTTGACCGCTGTGACTCGGACTCCGGAGAGGTGCTCACTAGGCAGCAGGTCTACGACTTCCTGGTCTCTGAGCGGGTGCTTTGGACAAAACCAGCCAGGGGCTTCTTGAAGCAAGTTTGTGTCCCCGAAAAAAAAAAAAAAAAAAACAGATCCGAAAGGCCCGGCCAACAGGGGCTCTTTCGAAGGATAAGACATGACGCCCTTTTTTGGCGGGGCAGGGGGGGAGGGGGGGAAAAAGAGAACCAACACCGTCTTGGAGTTGACGGCTGAGGATGACGGGTGTCCAACCACGAGCTAGCGGAATGCTGCTGTTTCGGTGCGACTGGCCACACCAGCATAAGAGCATGATGTCCAGTAGGGGATGTCCCAAGATTACATCGGTGCGCCCTTTTACCCTACTTTTGTACATTGGCTAGACCCCTTAGGACCAGGTGTTGATGCTGGCTCATACCCGGGATACAGTTGCCGGCCCCTGTCCTAGGACGCGGGGAGCTGAGGATTTGGGTGTGTCAGTTTTAGCCTTGGGCCCAAGAACTGGCCCTCGGTTTGCCTTTTGGTTTCCCTTCACCGCCAAAAAGAGGTACCAACCCAAAAAAGACACCCAGTAGGCCACGTTGGAAAGGAAACACGGCCTGGACGTCCCATGAGTCCCCAAAAGGCAACCAGCCCAATGTACCAGATGGAGCCCGATGCTCAAACATCCACATGGCCCTGGAGGCTAGCCCCAGCCAAAGCCGTTTATGGGGTATAGAGCATGCGAGTTGTTTTTTCGTCCTTGCGGGGCATGTCATATGCATGTGATGGTTTCCCTCGCACTCCATTGGCAATAGGGCTTAGGGCGTTGAGGCACGCCTGGTCATCGGTTTTGCGGCCCGGAAAGGAAGGCAGACAAGCGCCGCTTCCGGTGTCGTTTTGCTGTTGGGGGTCAGGCGAACACTGCCTTTCACGCGTGTGTGACAACCGTTCTGGAATCAGGAAATGCAAAAGGGGCACAGGTTTCCCGGCTTTTCCCTGAACGGCGCTGGAAGGATTTGTGTTTTTCTCAGTTGGAATGTTTGGATGGGCTTGGAAGCGTGGAAAGTGTCAAAGCGATGTTAGTTGGACATAGGGTGTCTTGTTGACACGGTGTGTGTGTGTGTGTGTGTGTGTGTGTGAGCATCTCACAGGCGGTTTTGCTCGAGCCTTCGGGAAAACAGCGTTCCAAGGACCGGGTCCGTTTCTGCGGCACGCTGCCGCTGACGGTCTTCGTCGGGGCACCTGCTTGGGGGGGATGGGCATCCCACTTCAAAAGTCACACAAAAGGCTCGCCCAAAAATCCCGCCCAGGACATGTGCAGGCCCCGGTTGCAAGATGGGGTTCCTTTCAAAGTGTTCGTGTGCAGTTCCATGTTTGGTAGAAGGGTAGCTCAACGTAACACGGACGGCAGGGTTTGCAAGGGGTCACCAGGAGGTTACTTTGTGGTTAAGCGGAAGTCGATTCTTGAACCCGAAGTGGTCGGGGGAGCTGTGCGCCTGGGAAGTTGTCCTTATGCAGGCAGGGGCACCAGAGGTCATTTGGGCTGAGGGAGGCGGCTGCACGGCTGCGCATGCGGGCTGGGCCAGGTTTGGGAGGGAGGGAATCCCACGTGGTGCGTGATAAACGGGAGTTGCCAGTAGCCACCTCCAATTGCCATCCCCATTTGTAGCTTTCAAGTGGACAAGGGCTTTGCTCCAAAGAAAAGGTCGCCGCCATATGACAAGGGTACCTCTTTTCTGCAGTGTTTTTGGGGTGGGTTGGGTTGGTCCCCCTTAAAAAACAACAGCAACAACACACCCACATGTTCCCCCTTCCCTTTTTTTTTTTTGGGGGGGGGTGGGGGGGGGGAGGTCTTTTTTTTTGGGTGGGGGGGGTGGGGGGGGGGGGGAAAAGGGAAGTCATGATGGGGGGGGCGGCTGCCTTGGGCTCTCCAACCGTCAGATTTGGTTCATCTTCACGCTCACGGCATGGCTCGGGCGCCAAGTGAGGGGCATCCCGAGCGGTGTCCAGCGGGCGGGAGGGGTGTCTGCAAGACATCTGGCGCCAGCGGGTTCTTTTGTTCTTTGGGTAATCTGGTTTTGTTCATCCGGGGATTCCCAGCTGGTTTTTGTTTGGTTTCAGGGGGTGTCCCTCTGAAATCCAATAAGAGAGGCAATGCTTGGAAAGGCGCAAAAGGCTTTGAAGGCCCTGCAAAAGGCTGCCTTTCATTTGTTTCTCTTTCAGGCCGCGGGTCTGAGAATTCGACTCACGCCAAGAACGGCTCAGGCAAGGCCTGGAATCCCCTCCACGCCACGAGTTGCCATCGAGTTGAGAAGGCTCACGACACATCCCACAAGGCGCTCACATGACCCGATTTGAGCGAGGGATCTGCCAGGGCTCATGTTGCTTGGAGCGGCACTTTGTTGGATCCCATGGACCGCTTGGTTCCCATCGGCCCCCTTTCCGGCTTCGGGGCTTCCCGGAAATTCCGAAGCCGCGGCTGAAAACAACTCCCGAGGACCCACGGCAACGTGGAGCGCACCAGCCGGGCTCAGAGCGTCATCCGCTACGCCGTGGAGAAGATCGAGGCGCGCGAAGCGCCGCGCCGCAAACGACGGCGCTTGCGGCGGGGCGAGGTCGAGTCGCCAACTTGGGAAGGGGAAGGAGACGTTGGTTGGTTCGTGTTTTATTATCATTATTATTATAACAATAATAATAATAATATATTTTAAGCGGCCAAGAGAAAGGTTCGGGGTTCGGAACCGTTTGTCTTTGACCCCCCCACTTGTTTTCTGAGAGCCAAAGCAGCGATGACACGCGGCTTCGATTGGCGACCCCGCTCATCTCACCGGAGATCTTGAACTTCAGGCCGGTGAACGACAGGAGCTCGGCGCGCCCGACTCATGCAAGGACCACCCAGCTGACTCAACTGAATTCGCATTTGGTTTCCATAAGACCCCAAGTGGGCCGTCCAAACCCCCCCCCCCCCCCGTGGCAGGGAAGATTACGTACAATGTGCCGCCGCGCGCCTTCAAGAGCAGAACGGCTCATTGTTGCACATGAACTCTTTTGGTGCAATCCCAAGAGTAGAAAGGAATGTCTTGGCATGCCCCACCCTGAAAGAACCAGCTAGTTTGTAGTAATAGAAAAAAGGGTGAGGGGTGATGAAGACCAGATGAACATCCTCTCTTTGGTTGTGAGAGAGTGTGATAAAAGCACACGGTATACCTTCGTGAAGTAGTATTAATAGAAACAAATAATGATGTCCTCCTATCTATCACTTCCATATTTTTTCTAAATTAAACGTTTGCTAGCTCACCAAGATAGAGCATGGAAATGGAAAGAGGAAAATGTTAATCAAATGATTAAAGCCACAGTAACAGATAACAGAGTTAGAGAAGATCGAATGTCAGTGAGGAAGAAGTAAATAGTAAACAAATGCTGGTCAAATAAACATAAAAGGAAAGAACAATCAGAGAGATATAAAAAGGGTCTGGAGACGTAGCCTGTCCGTGAGACGTCACTTAAGCAATAATAACAGTTAAGCGTCTCTTCATTCATCACTCTATTTGGACAGGCAATATTCTGATGAGAAAACTATTAACTTCCTTCGGTCACTTCTAGCGATGAAGGGAGGCAAAAGGAAACCCCTTAAAAAGAGAAGGTGAGAAATAAACCCCAATCGATACAAATTAGTTAACATTACTCATGAGATTCTAGTAAATAAATAGCCTTTCGTAAATAGTGTTCCGTCCTTCTCCAGCAACTTGAACTATTAATATCCTTTTCATTCTCACCTAAAACTCAAGAATATTGCACATATCTAATGATACAATAGGAAGTGAGTGAGAGATTTTGCAAGGAAATTCTAATAGAACAAAAGCAGAAACAACTAAATAAACTCCATGAGTAAAGACCAACAGCCTCTTCAGAGTCAAGCAAACTATCTATGGTTATAATTTGTGTTTATTCTTCATCATGCACTAATATCTTCTCCAATATATTTGTGTAAATGGGATGAAGTGGTCACGGGGTGAATTTAAAGGCAATAATTACAGAATCGTTGTAATCTCATAGCTTACTGCGTTTTATTATCTTATTGCGTTTTCTATCATATCCATCATTGTCCACTCTAGGTTTTTCACTGTGTTGGAGAGGGTTCTTGATGGACAAGAATAATTTGTCTCCCAATAGACCGTTTCATTTATTAACATTCTTTATTACTTTCATGTTCTTGGTTCTGTCATTTGCCTATTAATTAATTTATTTATGTATCTATTATGTTTCTTCATAGGCCTTTTTCGTAATTCTTACTAATCCTGACAGCCGCGAAAGACGGGAGAGCAGAAGGAGTGTTAGCCAGTTCCTCTTCTTCATATTTGTTATTACCCCCCGGGTTTTTTTCCCCCATCCAGATGCCTCCAACGTTTACAATGCGAGAGAGAGAAAGAGAGATTGGGAAGATAGATAAACAAGTAGAAAGGTTGCAAAGTGAACAAGTACATGAGAATGCAACCAGCAGATGAGAGACTATGAACCTATTCTTGGTAATGATTAACTTTCTGTTCCAACCATCGTGATTTTCTTTACATCGCCAATTTTTTCAACCTCACACCCAGAAGCATTTCTATACTTCTCAGATAATATTGTAAATGGAAGACAACAAAGATAGACATTCAAGCAATAAATGGGATGGTAAACCGAAAGGCAATGATCTTAATAACGACATGTCCATCCACAAATGTTTCCTGGATGAAGTGGAAGAGATAGAAAGGGAAGGATACAAGCTCTTGGGACCACAAACCAACCTCTCTTCCTCCGTGACTTGGACAAGGAAGGACGTCAACGATGAGAAGAACCCAGTCCTTACACCATCCTATGATCTAAAACTCTATTATTGTCCTTTCATTTCCAGAAGATTATTAGCAAAAGAGAGAGACCGCTAGCATTTGCTATTAAAAAGGTTTTAAGGATTCTGTAGTCAAATCTTTATGGGTTGAAGATTTTGGTGGGTGACATACATGGGAAAATCAGGATGCGATCGGAGGAAAAGAAAGAATCACGTTACTTCTGTTCACCCTCTCCTATCTTCTCTTCTTCTTCTTCTTCCAAGCATCACACGGCATAAGATTAACAGCAGCCTGTGCTTGAGGAAGAAGTCAAGAGAGGCTTCTCACTTCCCATTTTCAATCTTCAATTTCATCAAAAGGAAAGAAAGAAGTGATGGAAAGACATGGTAAGTGCCCATCCAATTCGGTATCTTCAATTAGTATTGATGGGCGCTTACCTCCTTGCCAGACGCTTTACTTCTTCATTTCCAAAACATGGCAATGTAAAAGACAAGGCAAGGAAAATGACAAGCGTTGGCTGGGCCGGGAAACATCTTCTTCCATCTGTTTTTTTACAGAAAGAAGCGGGTTGTGGAAAGTGGCTTTCTTTTTCTACAAATAAACCAAAAATAAAGCCAATATCCCCTTCCTTCGTCCCACTTTTAGACTGTTCCATCGTGAGTCTTTCGTAGTGACAGAACTCCAGAACGTAGTGGGGAAGGGAAAGGTAAAGATTCATGGAACGGTTGATCTCCTTCCTATCTTCTCCCCACTAGCGATACAATTGGAGAAGAAGGAACGGGGGGGCTAGCTTCTCCCTCCTTCCTTCACCCCTCGATTTCTGGCATTCTTCAACGGTTGAAAAGGGAAACAGAAGAAGGGGAAGGATGAAAGGTCCAAAAGATAGTAAAACACAAGCAAAATAATATGAGTAAGACCTACTCATAATCTTTTTTCCTTTCGGTGAGCCCCAGCGACGACCGGACAGCCAAAAGCATTCACAAAGAAAGATAGCGCAATGAATCTCAACAAGGGAAGAATAAAATAGAAAAGAACGAGGAATGTAAGTATGGTTTTAAGATTAGAAGCATGTATTAGCACGCAATAAATTAGATAGCTTCTGTAAGCACCACCCATAATTATCTTTAGCTTTGTCATAACTGTCTCGCGCCGTTTTTATGTTGTTAGCTTGTATAAAACAGGATTTTGAAAAGAAAGGGAGGATATTACGTTTTCTACCGTAATTATTACTGCCTGCAAATGCTTTCGTCACTTCTTGCCCATCCATAAATGCAAACAAAGGATGAGGATGGATGGACAAGAGGAAGCAGGCAATGATTTGGAAGAGGCCCCAAAGACAGGCTGGAAAGGGATAGTGAGGGAATCTTCAATCATCATATCCTCCAAGTCTCACGGACAGGCTATCTGGTGTATTCTGCGTGATGTCTGGGCGGAAGATTTTCTTAATCATTCTTTGTTCTTTCACACCTTTCCCTTTCCCTTACCTTCATCGATTGGTCTAACCTGGTATGCGATAAAATCTCTGAGATACAAATGAATCCATCCCACAATCCCAATCGCCTTTCCATGTCTTTCTATTTGTACGGTGTTCTCCATCTCTTTCTCCATCAGGTATGTGTGGTATGAAAGTTATCCAAAAGAAGCGTGTTGCAGAAGATGTCCTCTCTCCTTTACCTATCTTATGTTTATTTCTTTATCCCTGTCTTTTCCATCCTAGTTTATTGAGTTGATTGTAGGAAGAAATGGTCAGGGGAGAGAGTGAAAGATAAAGAAAGGAGTATGAATTCGAGATCCTAAAGAAAAACAAACACATGGAAATAACAGAAAAGAGAGATTCCAAATGAAAAGATAATATGCTTTCCTCCCCATTTCCTTACCAAACTTCAACCGATTCAAAATGAAACAAACTTGACCCAAAAAAAGCCGTTAAGGGAAGGACGGTGATCAAGTTTTATCAAGTTTACAATGTTCACACCTTTACTTGTAATTTGTGTAATTCTGGACCGACTTTTTACAAACTAGCTTGTGCAATTTGCAACCCCCGAGCAATGTTTGTTCAAATCCAGCTTGTAATTCTAAATCGGATGTTTGCTGACATTGAAACGTACTCTGGGGAATTTGCTTTCCGGGGAGATTTGGCTGGAGTTACATTACAAGTTATACACATTTTGCAGATTAGTTTCTGAACTATGCCAAATTCCAACAAATACGGTTAACAATTAAGCATTTCACAAAATGTCGCAAGTACATGTGTAAAAAGTGAAATTTCCAGATTTTACAAATGAATTTGCAAAATTTGTGAAATATAAAAAAACCTGGCCCAAAATTACAAATTTTACAAATTTTACAAATTAATTTGTAAAATTTGTAAAACATCAAAAAACATGGCCCAAAATTATAAATTTTACAAATTCTGGTCTGAGAAATTAGCTTCCAGGGGAGTTTGGTAGGAATTAAATTACAAATTTTACAAATTTTACAAATTTTACAAATCAATTTGTAAAATTTGTAAAATATCAAAAAAATCTGGCCCAAAATTACAAATTTTACAAATTTTACAAATTAATTTGTAAAATTTGTAAAATATCAAAAAAATTGGCCCAAAATTACATATTTTACAAATTTTACAAATTCTAGTCTGAGAAATTAGCTTCCAGGGGAATTTGGTAGGAATTAAATTACAAATTTTACAAATTAATTTGTAAAATTTGTAAAATATCAAAAAAATCTGGCCCAAAATTACAAATTTTACAAATTTTAATTTTACAAATTTTACAAATTCTAGTCTGAGAAATTAGCTTCCAGGGGAATTTGGTAGGAATTAAATTACAAATTTTACAAATTTTACAAATTTTACAAATTAATTTGTAAAATTTGTAAAATATCAAAAAAATCTGGCCCAAAATTACAAATTTTACAAATTTTGCAAATTATTTTTTTTAAAATTTGTAAAATATCACACAAATCTGGCCCAAAATTACAAATTTTACAATTTTTACAAAATCTAGTCTGAGAAATTAGCTTCCAGGGGAATTTGGTAGGAATTAAATTACAAATTTTACAAATTTTACAAATTTTACAAATTATACAAATTAATTTGTAAAATTTGTAAAATTTGTAAATTTGGGCCAGATTTTTTTGAAATTTTACAAAATTTTACAAATTAATTTGTATTTTTTTGTAATTTTGGGCCAGATTTTTTTGATATTTTACAAATTTTACAAATTAATTTGTAAAATTTGTAAAATTTGTAAAATTTGTAATTTAATTTTTACCAAATTCCCCTGGACGCTAATTTCTCAGACTAGAATTTGTAAAATTTGTAAAATTTGTAATTTTGGGCCAGATGTTTTTGATATTTTACAAATTTTACAAATTAATTTGTAAAATTTGTAAAATTTGTAATTTTGGGCCAGATTTTTTTGATATTTTACAAATTTTACAAATTAATTTGTAAAATTTGTAAAATTTGTAAAATTGTAAAATTTGTAAAATTTGTAATTTAATTCCTACCAAATTCCCCTGGAAGCTAATTTCTCAGACTAGAATTTGTAAAATTTGTAAAATTTGTAATTTTGGGCCAGATTTTTTTTGAAATTTTACAAATTTTACAAATTAATTAATTTGTAATTTTGGGCCAGATTTTTTTGATATTTTACAAATTTTACAAATTAATTTGTAAAATTTGTAAAATTTGTAAAATTTTTAAAATTTGTAATTTAATTCCTACCAAATTCCCCTGGAAGCTAATTTCTCAGACTAGAATTTGTAAAATTTGTAAAATTTGTAATTTTGGGCCAGATTTTTTGAAATTTTAGAAATTTTACAAATTAATTTGTAAAATTTGAAAAATTTGTAATTTTGGGCCAGATTTTTTTGATATTTTACAAATTTTACAAATTAATTTGTAAAATTTGTAAAATTTGTAAAAATTGTAATTTAATTCCTACCAAACTCCCCTGGAAGCTAATTTCTCAGACCAGAATTTGTAAAATTTGTAAAATTTGTAATTTTGGGCCAGATTTTTTTGATATTTTACAAATTTTACAAATTAATTTGTAAAATTTGTAAAATTTGTAAAATTTGTAATTTAATTCCTACCAAATTCCCCTGGACGCTAGTTTCTCAGACTAGAATTTGTAAAATTTGTAAAATTTGTAATTTTGGGCCAGATGTTTTTGATATTTTACAAATTTTACAAATTAATTTGTAAAATTTGTAAAATTTGTAATTTTGGGCCAGATTTTTTTGATATTTTACAAATTTTACAAATTAATTTGTAAAATTGTAAAATTTATAAAATTTGCAAAAATTGTAATTTAATTCCTACCAAATTCCCCTGGAAGCTAATTTCTCAGACTAGAATTTGTAAAATTTGTATTATTTGTAATTTTGGAGAATGTTTTCTTTACCTTACAAATTAATTTGTAATATCTGCAATTTCATTCCTACCAAATTCCCCTGGAAGCCAATTTCTCAGACTAAGATTTGCAATTTTATGAAATCAATTCCTATACAAGATCTGCCTGAAAGCCAGGAAGCCAATTTCTCAGACTAAGATTTGCAATTTTATGAAATCAATTCCTATACAAGATCTGCCTGAAAGCCAGCTCTCAGTGTGATGTTGATGCCCAGACCTCTCCCCGGCACATTATACATAATCTTCCCTCTTACCCCCCCCCCCCCCCCCGCACAACCCTCCCGCCCCCCCCGTTTCCCGAACGCCAGCCATGGTGAAATACTTATGAGGTGCACAGCCCACAGATGAAAGAACCGTCTCGCCCCAGGTGCATCACCAGGTCTCCTCACTGCAAGGCCAGCCAATTGCCAAGAGGCGCGGGCGTCGCGAGCCGAGCGGACACGAGCGGAGGATGCGGGGACTGCCTCGTTTCCCCAGCTGGGAGGCCATTTTGGTGGTAAGGCAGTTTGGCCGCTCAGGAAGTGAATGTATCTCAGGGCAGAAACGGAAACGCGTCTGCCCTCGGATGGCGCCCTCACATGCGCGCCGTTGTCCCTCCCTTCACCAGGAAAAAACGCTGCGCAGGGCCTTGCGCACGATACACCTGCCAGATGATCAGCAAATAAATGCAAACCCTGGAACAATGCTGTTCTTTCAGAACAAAGTTTGGTTGTGGCCCTGCACGACATGGCTGTGGGTCAAAAACAGGGGCCCAAAGTAGAACCCTGGTAAATTGAAACATGGACTAAACCTGCGGTCCCCTGGTGGTTTAGTTTTGATTCATACCCACATGTCTTTTTTGGCAGCTTGGCTTTTGCCGTCCCACTTGCCTAATTGGTACTGTGAGTCTGCTGAGAAGTCCTTGCCGAGTGAGCTCGCTCACCGCACTTTTTTTGGGCTAATGCAAATGCAAACTAGGGGTTCCAAACACTCGCTTGGAAGTGTTTGTTTTTTTTTGCTCGCGTTTGTTCCACTTGACCTTGCTCTCTTAGGTTCTCGTTTAGAAAAAATCCTCTCCCAGTATATACTCTGTTTGCAATGCTTGTTTGTCCTTCTCTTGCTCTGTACCCTTCCAGGAAGGAGTCCACAAATTCGGCGATGTTGCACATCTCAGAGAACTGGGGGGCTTGCCAGGATTCGCCTCGACAACATCAGCAGCACTGACGAGGCCGGGTATTTAAACTTGTCCGATTTGAACTGGGCCGTGGGTCTGAAAATTGGACCCCCCAAATGAAATTGGTGAGGTTCCTCGTTTCCCTTTCAAAAAAGTACACGCCGAGAAGCCGCTACATAAACCGTGCTCAATTCCCAGCTCTTGCCACCGGGAGGGGATGAAACGGAGTCACCAGCACGATTCCTTACCCCCTAATTTCGAGGGTGCACCTTACGACCATGTTTGCGAACAGCTTTGGCTCTGTCAATTCCGGTTCCTCTGCATTCTCAGGTGTGCTTTCGCGGTACAGCTTTCACCACTTCAATGCAAGATTTGTTTTTACTGGAGAAGCCGGTAGCTAGGAAAAAGGCCGAGGAAAATCCAGTTCTCCCTGCTCGCAGGGCTGGGCGGTTCCACCCGTTGCCGGTTCCCGCGAGAGCCGACCTCGGAGAGACGGGAGGTGTGGACCTGGCTGATCCAGGGCTTCGTGCCGCTGGTGGCGGGCAGCGACTTGGAGCCGGGCGTGGTGCGGAAGTTCAACCAGGCGGGTTCGGGCGCGCGGTTCCGTTCGGGCGCGGTTGGGTTGGGTTGGGGTTGTGGGGGGGGGGGGTTTGGGGTGGAATAACCACGAGTTGCGTGGCTTTTTGAGGGTACCCTTTTAGGGTTTCAGGGTTACCTTTTTGGCACCAGGCGGAAAACCCACATCATTTTCGGGGGAGGGGTCCCCCCTATCTTGACAGATACCAAGTTGGGGTTGTCCTTTGAAGCCATTCCTGAAAAGGCTCCCGGGGCGCCCAAGAAGCTCGCGGAAAGGGGATGAGAGGAGCCGAAGGGGCATGTTTGAGGGGATTCCCCACTTTGCATTTCCCCCCACCAAAAAGGAACAGCCAGGTGGATCCGGAGCGTGTCGTCGCTCCGCAAGTCTTGAGGATTTGAGGCCTTTTCTGGTTTGACCGGCCCAAAGTTGAGGCCGCCCTTTGGGCCGCGAGCCATGGGCTTCGGCCAATTCTTTGCTCGACCGAGGTGATCCGACCGGGCATCCAGCTGCGGCAGAAGCGGGTCACAGGCGCCTCGCAGAAGCCGAGGGTTTGGGAGGAGAACCCTTCGAAGCCGGCGGGGTGGGCACAGAAAAGCCACTTGCGTTTTTTTTTTTTTTTTTTGGTGGTGATTTGTTGGGCAAATTGGATTTGCAGGTGGACATCTTGCAGATTGGCCCAAGAATCAAGGAGAGTGCCCTGTTGCGCTTGGATTTGGGTTGCGATATTGAGGTTTTGAGGTAGACCATTGTTGAAGCTGTTCATTGAGCCTCCTTTTGCCACGGTTCGTGATGGCATGTTGTTCAATTGTAAGCTTGGTTGTGGATGGTGTAGGGGAAGCTATACACACACACACACACATGCACGCCATGTCTCCTAGGACAAACATGCGTGCCAGGGAGAAGGGCCTGTCATCAGGTCGCACGGCATGTCGGATGAAGCCTGTACTTGTTTTCGCCCTTTTCTGGGAAGGTAGCGGGGGGTTAGAGGAAGCAACAGGACGCGTCACTCATAGTTTGCGGGTTCGCGGGTCAGGGTGGTCGGGGAACAAGAAAGAGCCAAGAGCCGAGCCTTTGGCCCACAAATGTTATCACCAAGTTGGGTGCCCTTTCACCCTTTGAAACTGCCATGAGAACCTGCCCCGAGGAGGCAGCAGACCGCTTTTCGTCGAGTTTCGAGTGCGTTCGGTGGGACGTTCAAATCCAACCGGCCTCATGTGCCCAAAGCGAATCGACACATTGGCCCCGGAACCCGGCTCCCCAGTCAAGGTTCCAAAGGCTGAACCCCTTTTTGTTTCCAGGTCGTTTGGGCAGGTGAGCAGATGGATTCTTTGGTTTATTTGGATGTTGTCGGATCCTGATGATGCTTTCAATCCACTTCCGAGTAGAAGTCGGGATTCTACTGAACCATCACCATCGTTGAGACCAGCTCAACCCCACCGAGGTTGCTGGCCGAAAATCAAAAGATCACACCAGGAGAAGTGGTTGCTTGACACCTGAAAAGTGGTTGGTGGAGGATCCCCGCCTAAAGGTTCGAAGGGACCCGGAGGTGACAGGCCAAACGTCATGGCCAAATCTCCACGGGAAATTCGCGCGCCCGAGCGCGAAGTCGCCTGAAAGAGGCGGGGACTGCCCCATCGTCGAGGAGCTGCGGGAATACTTCAGGCGGGGCTGGGTCCCCGGCCTCCAAGACGGAACGAGTCGGAGCGGGAGTGTGTTTCTTTAGGAATCAGACCGGCCCCCCAAAATGGTGGGTTAACACCACCAACACAACCCTCAACAAGACACATCTCAGACTCTCGGCAGTGGGTTTACGGAGGCAGTGCTCTCCAGATTTACAGCTGGAGGACATTTCTTTACCCCAAACAACCCCATCTACTTGACTACGCTTCAGTTGGGCCGCCTGTTTGGGGCTTTCCGATTCTGGCGCAGGGCGGAGTGCCGGAGCTCGGAGAGGCTGCCCAGCAGATTTGGCCCGGAGGCGCTTGCAAAAGCGTGCCAAAGCGGACTGGTTTGGATGTGTTCGTTTTGTGTTTGTGTTGTTTGTGTTTTGTTGTTTGGGGGGTCGTTTTTTTCCCTGATTTTTTTTGCCTCCGGGTGGTTTGCGTATTTTTGTTTTTCTTTTGGGGCCGGGGGGTGTTTTCAGTTTTCGTTGGGTGCGTTGTTTTTCTCCCTACGGGGGACGGGGTTGGTGGGCGAAGGCAAAAAACAACAAACACGGCCTGGCCTCACAACAAAGAGAACCCCAAACACTTCACACAAGAACCAGAACACGCCAAATATGCAACACGACCATGCAGCAAGGCGTCCAGGGATTTTACATGAAGAGCTTTCTGTTGGCTTGCTATGTAAAGTCAACCTCAAGCTGGTAGAGTGGATACTTGTCCCTCAGGGTTACTCCATTGTTCGCCCTCTTTTCTAGCGACCGAGCTGTGCCAATGGCATTTGGCCCGCCCGCGTTTGGAGTTAGATTTCCGGTGAGCCAGTCGGATCGCAGGATCGTGGTTCGAGCCCTTTCCGAATGGGCAGGTGTTGATGGGCAGTTTGTTCGTTGACCGTAAAGGAGGGTGTTCGACCAACGAACGAGGACATGCCCCGACTGTTCGTTGAGCCCAAAAAGGGGGAACGCAAGATCAACTGATCAAATCCAATACCCTGCCAATCCATGTCAGGTGTGGCCCGACTAACGGAGTGACTACTTTTTGCATTCGATCGAGCGGTTTTTTAGGATCCGGGCTTGGCGGGTGGTTTTTCACGGGAAATCCGGGTTTCACTGCAATTTGGTTCGGGCTCCTCGTTGAGACGAATCCATTTCCTCGGACTCTTCTAATTCAACTCAGAGCTTCTCTCGCATTTTTTTTTGAGACTTTTTACTCATTTTTCCCAGTTTGCCCATTTTACCAATTTTATCCATCTTACCCATTTTTAGGAAGCACCCAGGCTTGATATGGGGCAGGACCGAGGGCTGCTCTTGCTCCTGGTGTTTGTGCTTTTTGGAGTTGGTACCGTTTTTGGCACCCACCCTTTTGGTTCCTGGCAGCCTGTTTTAGTCACCTTTGGTCACAGGTGAACAACACCGGGGATCCGGTCGACCGGGCCTTTGTGGCCGGTGGCAGCATCCAGGCGGGGTGTGAAATTGGGGGGCAATGTTTGGGATCGTCTTGGCATTTCCTTTTGAAGTGATCAAGTGGTCATGGGAATGAATCACTCCGGCATCACAAAGAGCGAGTTTCCCCAACCAGGAAGGACATGTGCAAGAGACTCACGGATGGGGGCCACATAGCAGCCTGGTTGACTCCAGTCCCGATGTCCGGCTCCCCATCTTGTGCATAGACAGGGAGGGCCCACCGCGGCGTGCGGCGTCCTCCCCCCCTGTTCCTGCTTTCCTGGGCGGAAGAGGTAGCGTATAGCGCATCGCTTTTGTTTCTTTTTAAACCCGTTTGGCTGCGGTACCAAAATGGAACCCTGGTAAGTGGAAACATGGACCAAAACCTGCGGTTTGGTCTTGGTGTTTAATTTTGAGCCACACCCGTTTTGTTTCCTCCGGATTGATCCAAAGCTCACATCCAGGTCCTTAACCGCATCCTCAACCCATAGCTCGACACCCGCCACCCGTGGCCGGTTGTTGACCGTGTGGCGGATACTTGGAGAGCACGTGCAAAGCTAGTTGTAGGGTAAGTATAAAATTGGGTGTCCGTTTTGAGGGGTGCCCTTTGTGGATGGTTTTAAAGGGAAACCCAAATAAAGACCAGCCATTTTGGAGGCTCCCTACGAAGAGACGCAGGTTTCAAGTCTATGCCACGAGCATTTTTACCATATTGTTGAATCTATGTGGCATGACACATATCATAGTTTCAAGGGCCATTGTGGGCTTTTGAGGATGTTCGGACAATCTTGCCTCCACCTTCCGGCGATTCTTCCCCCGGTCTGGCAAGCTAACAGTATGTTCAGGCGTGTCCGTGGCACTATATAGGGACCTTGGGTTGCTCCTTGCTTCGAGTGAAAAGCCGAAGCAGCTCTTTTGGAGGATGACGGGTTTCCAAGCGAATCACCTTTAGGGGGTCCGACCCCTTAGCTTTCAGCAAAGAGGGCGAAGGACTTCAAACAGGCCACGGCCACTGCCTTTGGCGCCCGACTTCTGTCGGGCACGTCAGGAAGGCAGGCGGAAACAAAGGGCCAAAGAGCCAAAGAATCATACCAACGCACCGACGAAACAGCCGGCCAACCAAACCACCAAACAGCACCTACGAACCAACGGCCGACTACCAAAGCAGCCAACGAACAAACCGAACAAAACTCACAAACCAGCAACTTCAATCAGGCAAACTGCCAAACTTTTGCTTCAGCAAGGAAAAGGGCCTGTACTTTAGAAAGGAACAGGGCCGCCAAGCTGCAAAACCCATAAAACAAAACAGGCCACGGTCGGTTACCCCCCGCCGGTCGCCGTGGCGTCAGATGGCATCCATGGCCTGGAGCGAGCCCGCCGAGGCCGGGCTGGTTCCACGGTTTTTTTTTGGGTGTGTCTTTAAGGTTTCGACGCGAAATGAGCAGCGGCTTTCCCTTTTGGTTTCCCCTGCAAACAAGTATGAAGGGTGCCCTGAAGAACATGACAGAAAGTGGTCGCGGAGCCTTCTTTTTGGACGTGGAAAGGCCCTAGATTTGGACCTCTATAGATTCAGACTTGGGCGTCTTTTGTTAGTTCCCACCGGCCCCTTCGAGGTGGCAAGTAATTTGGGGTAGACCGAGGTACCTTCAAAGGTCCTGAGCCCTAAGCGACGAACTTCCTATCGATTCCGTCAAATGGGAGCAGCCCACAGAGTACCCAAAGCGTTCCGAAAGGCTGTGAATATAGCGGCCCACGGCTTAAAGAAATAGACAGACAGAGGTTGTGGGGTACCTGAAGCCCAAGGAAGTCATGATCATGAGCCAAACACGTGTAACTGTGCTTGTTTAGCCCCTGATTTCATGTTGAACTGTCACAGGATGCACCATGATCACAAGATCTAGCTGCTTGGAGCAAATAGGCACAGTCTTGAAGAAACCCCTTATCAGGATTCCTATGAAGGGACTTATGTCCATGGCCCGTAAAAAAACGCCCTTCCAACGGTTGTTTTTCAGTTTTGCAGCCTGAGCGAGCTGCACAGAACCCATTGCTGGGCCAGGCGCCCTGCCCTCGTTCAGCGCAGCTGGGTCGCGCCACCCCCTCACGTGTGATGCAATTCCTGAGGTCCCTACTAGTCAGACGACCCCCCGGAAGTAGACCATATCCTGGCAAAGGGGAAACACCTCTGATTAGCACGGTTCTCCGGATGAATCCGAAGGCAACATCAAACTCTCGAATGCCTTCTTCGGGACGAGGGAAATCAACTCCCTGCAATAATTTGCCCAAGGGGGTGAGATTACAGACGTATCAAGAGGTATTTTGCATTTGGCCCCCTATTTGGCTCCATTTGGCTCGCATGTAAAGGGATTTTGGCTGCCATTTTTGGATCAGTTGTTTGCAGGCACCCAGTCGCTTCCATTTGAATAGATGTTGACACCAATTAGGCATAGTTCGGCCCCAAATGAATGGTCGGCTCTAGTGAGTAACAATCCGTCTTTGCACTACTTCGAGGCAGGGTTTTCTCAAAATGATGGACCCCTGTTGGTTGGTATTTGAAGGGACACCAACAGGAAACAATCCGCTCCGCTATTTGAAGCGACACCGCCCCCAACCCCGCTACTTTGGGAAACGCCCAGGTTTTATCAAAAAAGGGGCGCCCGGAGCAGATGACTAGTCCGCCTCAGGAGATGTTCTTTGCTTTCTTGCGGGCCCGGGTGCCCACGAGATCCGGTGCACAGGTGGGAGTGTACAAATATGAATGTGTGTCATGTATGTCTATACATATATAAATACTTAGCAAGGGCACAGCACGCTGGGTGTCATTTTTTTGCTATAAAACATTTGACACAGACATCTCTCTCTCTCTCTATATCTATATAGATATACATATGTGATGAACGCATGCATCTATATATATATATATATATTCATACACATGTCATACATGTTGATAAACGCACTCACGGTGCATACATCATGGAAGTGCACAGGTGGGGTTTGGAGGACGCGCATCATCTTCAATAGGCCTGTCCACTTCCATGATTGTTAGGAGAAAGGTAGCCAAGAAAGTGTCAGTCTGAGGGTTTTTTATATTACACCCTGGGATTACACCCTTGGGAATTGACCCAGAATGGTTCAAAACAACACGGTCTTATCTGAAAATGTCCCTAAATGGGGTCAATACCCAGTGGGTGTATTCCCAGGGTGTAATACAAAACCCTTAGAGTCAGGGGGCCTTGGAAACTTGCGGAAAATGCTCGTTCTGGTTTTGGGCATCCTCGGGCATGACAGTGGTTGCACTTCTCACAACCGGGAATCATTGCCACCTGCGAGTTCCCTAAATACAAATAGTTGCAAGAAAGGAATATTTAAGGAACACCCCTGATGCTTGGCGTGTGTGTGTGTGTGTCGATTGGCAACTTTTACAAGGGGAGGATCAATTGCTATCATTGGCGGGGAGGGTGCTCCAGTTCCTCAAACGCTCAAATGAGCCATCAATTGCCAGCACTACTGGGATCTCCGGAAAGCTATTCTCCATTTCCAGGATCACTAAAATATGGACCAGAATCAAGAGCATTAGTTTGGCTGCTATTTGTTGCTCACATACTTGGCGTGACAGTTCAACGCCTCACAACTTCTCAACACGACCTTCTGAAAAACACATGGAGTCATGTGTTCAAAACGGAGCCTTTTTGGGCCGTTTGACGAAATGTCAAAGAGAAGCAACGGTGCCCTACAGGCCGCAGAATTGAGCTGTGACCAGCTTGCAATTCTCGCGGAGACCGCGCCTGTCGCAAGAACATGTTGCAGGTGTTTCTCAAGCTAGGGTACCCCTCCAGGTTAGGTGGCTAGTTTGGCTAGTTTTCTTGTCGTTTCCCTTTCAATCCATCCAACGCGAAGTTCGTCATTTTGAGCCAGACCCATGTGTTTGCCTGGCTAGCCACTTGGGCATGATTTGGTGCTTGTGGAAGCCATCCAAAACAGGGCCTCCCCGAAAAATCGGAAGCAATGCCCATGCCGCTTTGGGGGGGAGTTCTTGCTTGCAGATTCCCCTTTAGGGACGTTCCGTTCCGGGGGTGATGTAAGGGGCCGTTCGCTTCTCCCAGGATGACTTATTTGTTTAAAAGCAACCTGCAAAGCCACTCACCCTGTGCCTTAAGTCTCAAGCTGAGTGCCCTCAACCCTTGGCCACTTGGGTGGTTCTACTCTTTGGGTGTGTCTGTTGTAGGACTCGGACCCCCCCGCAATGGCGCAATTACATATTTGTGGGGTTTCCCTTTAAAACCACCAAGAAGGGTGTGCCGAGCCTCAACAAAAGACGAGCCACCCCTGGAGCCTGCCCAGATCTCCCGGTTGCAGAGCGGCAATAGCACGGACATGCCTTTGGTCGAAGGCGATGGATTCGCGATCAATGGTAGCCCTATGGGCCTATAGGGATCGGTTCGAACAAGCTGGGCCGCTGGTTCTGGAGGGTAAATGGCTGTGGTTGTCAAAGCCAATGGGATCCCCTTTGGGGTAGGAAAAATTCACCACCCATTTCAGAACCGATTTTAGAACCGATTTGGATGTTCACTGGGGGTACGGGCTTTTGACCCCTGGCCAAATAGGAAACAACGCAAAAGATTGGACGTCTCCAAGCCGCTGGGCTCTTTGGAGCACCACGTGATTTCAGATGTGGTGGGGGGATCATCCTACGATTTGGAGCACCACGGATTCGCAGCCAAAACGAGCGATTTAGCAACCACGGTGATTCGGTCCTTTATCCACTTCGGAGCCATAGGGGAGACATGGGCGGGTTGTGGTCCTTGCTCTTGAAAGCGCATGGAGGGCAGATTCATGCTAGCCTTGGGCCTTGGTCTGCAGTTTCGGAGGTTGCATTAGGGTCATTGTTGCGTCAGCTTGACACGGAAGCATGCAGGGAGACTGTTCTCACGTACCGAGCCATTGAAGCCTCTAGTTGCTGACTTTGGCTCAAGTTTTCAGAGATGAGACCAAATAGTATACCACCAGAAACAATCCTTGTGATTTGAGGGAATTGACATTAAAGGCCTGAATAATTAGAATGCGGTTTTGGGCTGCTTTTTGAACCCAAATTCGCCATGATTATAGAAGTAAACTGGTAGTGCGTAGGGAGGCCCCTTGTCTTAGGTAAGTTGGACCTTGGACTTAATGATTCCTTTGTGTTCTTTTGCGAGGCCTAGCACCTGCTCCGTCCTTTGCACCGGACTAATCAAACAAGCCGCTGAAATCTCGCGCTTGGAAAGCAGGTGAGCTTGAAACATGCTTGGGTTATGCGTGTGCGTGTGCGTGTGCGTGTGCGTGTGCGTGTAATGTGTGTGTGTGTGTCTTTGTGTGTTTTGGCGCATGTTGATGTGTGTGGAAGGTTGAGAGTTTGAAGATGTCTGTGCCTTATCAATCTATCCAAAGTGGCGGTAATCCCCACATGAAGCAAGCGGCGAGAGACGACCCGCGAGGCGTGGTTCGTGCCGAAGAGCTGCGGCGGATGCAGTGGGTGGACGACGCCACGGACTCGCTGCAGGCGAGCCGCTTGAGCAGCGCCCACAACTTCATTGGCCATTTTAGTAGGTGGTTCTGCTACTTGCCTCAGTTGGGGGCAAAGTAAATATAAGCCTTGATAGCCATGTTATTTGCTTTGGGCTTGCCTTTTTGTTCGTTCGTTGGGTTTGAGATGTGTTTTGGGTCCTGTTGCGGGGGGTTCCCGTGTCCAGGATTGGGGTTGCTCTAGTTCTTCCATCCATGAACTGCTACAGCAGCCCACGCCATAAATCTTGGATTCCCCCTCACACGCCAGTTCTACTGTGACCCAAGGGACGCAAGAAAAAAATCGGATCGGACCCTGCGCTGAATGAATTGAAGGTGTGCCACCTACTGCTGTTGTGAGCGCATATGAAAGTAAGGGGCGACCATAAGAAAATCATTTAGCTTACAGCCAGTAGACTCCACTTTTGAGCCTTGGCCAGCCTTACCAAGCCTTGCCAAGCCTTGCCAAGCCTTGCCAAGCCTTGCCAAGCCTTGCCAAGCCTTGCCAAGCCTTGGCAGCCCTCCAAAACTGAGGATTTTTAGGGAAGCCACTCAACTCGGTGTCTTTTTCAGTTTTTTTAAGCCTTCTTGAATAGGCTTAGAAAGACACCGGCATGAGGAGAGTGGGCCAAAAATGCGAACATTTTCACTTTTGCAATGGGGATGCCTTGCTGCAGTGCTGAGCCATGCTGCTGCTCAACTGTTCCGTCAGCGGTTCTGCTCTTACATAGTGAGTTGGTGATGTGGTTGATCCTCAGGTTTGTGCTTGCTACTTCGTTGCGTTGCTCCTTGTCTTTTGGTCGGTTAGCCGTTGCAAATGCGACGAGGACCTTTGTGGTGACGATTCTACTGTCTTAGTCTTAGCAACCCTTGGCAAGGTTTAGAAAGGACACCTTCTTTTCATCAACCAAAACCTTGTCCTTGGAGCCATCGAGTTGTCAGCAGAGCGTGCCAAGGATTGCCAAGGCTGAGCAAGGCTTGCTAGGCCTTTCCAAGGCTTGCTGGCATCTTAGACAGCTTTGAGCGCTTCTAGTTCATGATCCGTTCAAAGATTTTGGGAACTGCCCTCGGGAGCTGTCCTCCTATATTGTCTTATATAGGTATAATGCAGGCACCAATTTTGACTAATTTTGACCATTGCGCATACCACACGTCGATCCATATGGCCAGATCTCCACTACCCTGCTGAACCCGGACATCGGCGCCTATATCCACGTGCAGGCCGGGTGCGGGGTTTCCAAAAACGGGCCCTGAGCCGCTCTTTCTCACCCTGGCAGATGGTGAGGGATAACTCCGAAGAATATTTTTTGGCACTTTCGCCGCCGGTTGAATGAGCTCCATAGACGCTTTGGGCTTGAGTTCATTTTCCTACCGATCGGTTCTCATGATCAAAAGGTGCGGGGCACCGAGTCCAACGACCGGAGGTTTCGGAAAGGCGGCACCTGTCAAACCTCACATCATTGGTCGTGGTGTTTTCGAGGCAACCGCTACCTCCTTTTTTGGGTTGGTTGTTTAAACCTGGTGCCGAAAAGGAAGCCAAACTGTTTTATGGATTTGGCGGGTTCCCCTGTTGAAAGTCAGCAGAGGGTCTGGACTTTTTCCGGCCGATCCACTCTGAGTAGTGAGAATGGGTAGCCCATTTGAGTCGGCTCATGGCCGTTGCCTGGTTTACAAGTTCGGAGAAGGATGGTTGCGAACTCCGCTCGCGCCACGAAAGGATTGACCATGGCAATGAAACCAGAACGTTTGTTGGTATTTACGTAGGGGAATTGAATTATTCCAGGGTTCGGCGGTGCAGGATTTCGTTTTATGCACAGCACGGTTGACTGGCTCGATTTTTAGCTCACTTGCACAACGCGAGTCGACCTTTTCACCTTTTGGTTTCCCCCGAGGTCCATAGTCAGGGCTAAAAGGTGATCACCTCGTTCCACTTCGTCTGGGCAGAGCTGCGCAGAACCAACGAAAATGATCCCCTTTCCCAGAGCTGGGCCATGGGGGAGTCGAGGAGTTGGGGCTTCCGCCCTTGGGTCGAGGCTTTTGGGACGAACACCTTTTGCTTGAGCGGGGACGGGCGTGGACCGCGGCAATAGGGGAGTGTTGATCACTGGGACGACCATGACTCACCCAAAATTCTCTGCAGCATGAGGTTCCGCAGGGGGTTCCTGTATCGAGCTAGAGCTTTTGAAGGGGGAACTCGGCAACCCCCCAAATGTTAAAGGAGAGAGACATTTAGGGCGCCCCACCCGGAAAGGCTTGCAGAACCTTCAAGGACACTTTAGAGCCAAGAAGGTCCGAGCTGGGCAAAACCAATCGACGAGCTCTGGGGGGGATGCGGCGCCTGATTTCCGGTTTGTGAACAAAAGAAACCCGCCGGTCCACGAACGGGCGGATTCCTTCAGCAGGTCCCTTCTTAAGAAACATGTCTGCCCCCGACCGATTCCTCAGTCAGGTTACCGTTTGGCCTTGGTTTTTCTCTAGCAGTCTTATGAGCTATGTTTGTTGGAGGGCGGATACTGAATGATGGGGTAGACAATCCACAATCTCCCAGCATGTGCGTACTGTTGCGCGCGCCAACATCATTTGCACGCACTTGGCTTCGGGTGCAGGGTTTGACTTTTTATCTCCCTGGGAAGATGCAGATACTCCTCAACCGTGCAGTCTTGATCCGCGCCAGTTGAAGATCAACTTCATCCGCGGCGGGTTGGTTCAGCCTTGGCCTTGGGAAATGTTACCCGGATACGTGTTACATGTCCGGTGAAAGCACGTCTGCGGTCTGGGGGGGTCGTTGTCTGGGGGCTCAGCTTGGCCCTTTTCGAGGTCGACTTGGTCAGTCTGGGCCTGTTTGGCTGGCTGGTTTGTTTGGCTAGTGTGCTTCCCTTGCCGTTTGCCTTGTTTGACTGGAGGTCAAGAAGCACTGCCACACTGCCCTCCATGCTTCCCCCTACCCAAAAGCCCGCGAGAAGAGCACAGCAACTGCAGAAGTGAAAAGCCTCAAAGCCCGAGCAAGGCGGTCCTTTCCCGGATCCTTGTTTCGAGGGCCCATACATCCAGAACAAGCCGTCTCAAAAGGACATTCGACCGATCCGTGCCCTTGCTCCCCTGCTCCCGTGTTGGCGGAAAACTGACCCAAGCTCAGCACCTCAAATTGCAGCGCCCGAGGCAAGCCTTCCCAATTGAGGTCCCGCCCCGAGCTTCCCGCGCCGTCTGCGCTGTCTGCGCCGTGCGAGCGCGCGCCGAAAAGACGCGTGAGGCCGGTGATGGAGGTTCGGCCGCTGCAGACGCGTGTGTGGCACAACCCCATGGAGGTCGTGGTGGATGTGGTCTGGGCGCGGTGCCCAAGGTCCAAAGCGAGAAGTGCTTGAGGGTAATGTTGACCCCAGATTTTCATCAACCCCAGTTTATTAGTAGCCTGGGGGGTGTTCTCCAATATATTCGCAGTGTACCCCAGACGTGGGCCAAGAGGGTAGCGCAAGGGGTTGAATGAGAAATAGTTAGCTCCTATCATGAAGAAAGCTGTTTTCAACATATCCCATTGCAATGAGTTAGGCTGAACAATTGTAACAGGGCTCGCCATATGTTTCCTTTTGAGTCTTCTTCTGGGTGTTGTTCTTAGCTGGGAGCTTGTCCCAGCCCGCGAATCCCAGGGCCTGCTGATCCTCTTCTTGACCATCTTGGCCTTCCAGGAAGTCTTCGAAGGTAAAGGTGAGGGCTGGGGGGTGGGCAAGAAAGCAGAGGCGGCAAAATGAGTGAGTTGGCGGCTTCGGGCCAGTTTTCGAATATTTGGCGCAATGGGAGAGTAAAGTCAAACCGCCCATTTTTGGATTCCTCCAATTTTGAGACAAGCCCAAAGCGGGGATAAGTGCGAGGGATTATGAGATGTTTTAGTGCAATGCCCGGCGCAGCTGTTACTGCCGTCTACCTCTATTTTGAGCTCAGCTTGAACACCCCACACGCCTATTGCCAGCAGCCATGTTTGTCGGGATGGGGGGTGTCTCGTTTTGGGGGACCCCCTTGTTGTGGTGGCTTTAAAGGGAAACCGAAAGGACAACCACCGTTTTGGGGCTCTACAGACACACCGACACAAATTTTGCTTTTCATTTTTTTGATGCGTTTGGGCAACTCAGCAGGAAATTACAGAACAAAACTGCAGCTTTCCCACATCACGGGTTGCCAACCGTGCTGCAGTTCGGCATTCCGGAAAACCGCGCCAGGTGCGGCTAAGAAGCGTCAACATGGGACACACATAAAGATGGATCCCACATATATAGATTTAAAATCCATTCTACAAGAGCCACACAACCACTGGCTGGTATGGTGCTCTGGATTAGTTTGATGTTGACGGTTGTCTCCAACTGACCTCCCCTAATTGTCCAATGCCTGTTTACGATGATGAAGGTTCCTTAGTTTTCTAAGTCCAGGCTAATGAATGAAAGTGATTGGTGTTGACACCCATTTGCGTGCTTTTTTTTCTCCCCCTAGGTCACCGCGTCTTAGTGGATTCAGGCAGACCCAAGGGAGCCTGAAGCGAATTTGGATTGGGGCCGTGCTTTCAGGCGCCAAAGAACGACGAATTCCCCGAACCCACGCACAACCTCACAGCAGTTGCCTGGTGTGGTTTGGATGGGTGTACACCGGTCTCTCCCTTTGGGTTGGTCAGCAAGGGGCTGCTGTTTTTGTTTTGGGGGGGGAGGTAGAGGAAACCACAAGGAACACCGACGCCATTTTGGAGTGGGCCACCACTAAACCAAGAAGACACCCATTTCTTCGAACCTTGACAGAATCTTAGGTTCTCACAGCTCCAACCTTTAAAGAGACGCCCGCTTTGAGGAGACACACCCCTTTTTGGGCCTCACCCTTTTTCTCCCCGGCGCCCGGCTTTTTCTTTCTTAGGACCGGGTTCGAATTTCTTGCCGAGCTTCGGCGGAAGCGGCTCGGAGCGGCCCGAAGACTCGGAGGCAGCTGCTCGCAGCGCTGCTGCGGGAGCTTCTGGCTGCTGGTGGACTGGACCTTCATCTTGGCCGCTCGGACTTTTGATCCGATGCGATCGGGGCCTGATGGAGGGAGGGGGGGGCATCTGTTGACCCCAAGCAACCCCAGTCCATGAATAGCCGGGTGCTTTTTACTGTGTGGGGACCTGATGGACGGATGGAGGGGGGGCGGAGGGGAGGTGGGCGTGCCTTTTGGGTAGGGCTTTGACCCCAGATCAAGCGACCACGGTCTATGAGTAGCGGGGTGCTTCTCCCTGGGTGAAACGTGGGGAATCGGACCACTTTTGGAGGGGAACATCCATATTCATACACAGAGGTTGATCAACATGTGGTGAACAGCAGGACAACCCAAAGCCAGGGGTCAGAAGGTGTTTCCTTCTTTTGGGCCCGGAGAAGTCCAGTGTTGTTTCAGGAAAGCCAAGGCGAACGCCTTCTTTGGGGAGGGTCCCTTGTCTTGAGACAAGCCCAGAAGGGCCTCAATGCTCGATGACTATGGGGTGAGAGGCACCTTCCATCACATCCAGCCAGTCACACTGTGTCTTGGCCGAAATGACTGGCAAGTTCCTATCAACCCCCAGGGTGCAAAAATGGTCAAGGGTTTCCTTGGGTTCCCCGTTGGGAGCAACCCTGTTGCACCATGGTGGCCAGGGTTCAGCTAGGCGCTGTTTTGTCCTGGCGCTTGGGGGCGGGACCAAAGGGCTTGGGCTCGGCTTTGCTTGCGTTGTTTTTCTCCTGGGCAGGGGGGGGGGGAAGGGGTGAGGGCAGGCTTGGTCTTGTGGGGACAACCCCCGACTGCCGCACCAATTGTTTGATCCTGACTTGGAAGAGGTTTTTCCCGTGGGCATGCACACAAACTGGTCATGCGGTGAGTGGTATGCCCCAAGCTTGTCGGGCCTGAATCAGGCCCGCACAGCTTCAACTGGCCTTTTTTGTCGGGAGTTTGCCCAAGGATGGTTTGCTCCCTCTGGGGAGGGGCTCCTGAGCTGGGTATGGGTCAAAATGGGGTACCTATTTTTGACCCACAGCCAGCTGCTGTTCGGATGGCTCCTGAGCTTGCAGCCTATTTTGAGCAACATCCCATGCTGTCGGAGCTTCGGGCTGAGCTCATGGCCAATTTCTTCCAGGGGGTTGCCGCCTTTTTTTTACATGGCCCCAATTATTTTCCAGAAACAAATGTCCCCAGCCCTGCGTTTTTGGTGGATTGGCCTCTCTTATTTTGAGGCATTTTGTCTAGCGTTCAAAGGTCACAGTGTCCTTTGGAAGCAGAAAACAACGGGTTCGCCATCTTCTCCAGTCTTCATCGCCCATCCGCCCATCCAGCGACAGCCGTCAGGTCGGGCTCACGCTGATCGGCTTCTTCTTCGCCTGGGCCTTGCGGGCCGCAAAGACCTGCGGGACGGATCAAACGGCTTGTGGATGAAAGGGGCCCAAAGCACCGAGGCAAATTTTGTACGGGGCCGTTTATCGGGCTTCTATTTAGCCTTTGGAACTGCGTTTTGGTCGTTTCGGGGAAATGCAGGAGGTCAGGCGTGATGACGCGCACAGCCCCAGTGCCACGCGCCACGCGCCACGCCAACTACCACCACCTGCCACTGATTGCGCGCCCGCCGTACCAAGGCCACAAACAGAAATTCATGGCACGACACGAAAGGGGCGCTGAGGGGCGACTCAGTCGAGTGATGGTACGAGCTGCCAATGTCGGATCCGCACATCCGACTGGTCCACCTTTGGCAAAGACGGGCCCGCGGATTGGCGGGAGGTTTTTTTTTTTTCTTTTTCTTTTTCTCGAGAGTGCCCTCTACACTTTGGTTTCCAGGGACGCCAGGGAAGCCACACGATCGTTGGTACACACATTTTGAGACCTCCGGTGCCTTCCAATGGCTGGCTGCCTTCCAGGCAGCCGACGACGAGGGGGGGTTTCTGGGATCCCCTCAACGAAGCCAGCCTGAGAGTCGAACTCCAGCTGCTCAGTGGCGGAAGCCGCCCTGCAATTCCCGGTTTTTGAGAGGCGGGTGTCCGGCTATAAGAAAAATGGTCAAGCGCAAGGGTGTGTTTTTGTTTGTCCATGGGCAGGGCAAGTGAGATAGAGTCAGATGACGGGTTGTGGCGTTCCCGAGCCTTGACTTCAGCAAGCACAGCTGCTCACTGTTGAAGGGCGAAGAAAGGCGCATAGCACGTGTTCTGAGCACGACTCAATCTCGTGAGTGCCCATTGCGGGTGTTTTGTCCTACTTTCGATTCCTTTGCATTGCCCTATTCAGCTTGCCCTCCCCCCAATGGTTTGCGGTCCAAGTCTGGAAAAGCTCGGATGAGGGGAAGCCAAAAGGCCCATCTTTGACAAACCAAAACACAGAATCCGCCCAGACCCGGCGTCATTGGTTTCATCCAGGTCGGCGGATCTGGATCGCTTGTTGCGCTGGGGCAATACCCTCGGGCAATGCCGTTCCAGGACCCCTTTAGAAGGCTCACGTTTCCGGTTGGGAGCTTCCATCGGGCACATCGACTCAAGGGTTGGAGACTCGGGTTGGTTCGATCGTGGAATTCGTGTTTGCAACCGGAAACTGTGAGACATCCCGCGTTTTCAGAAGGCCATCAGACATGTTACTCAGATTTCCAAAAACCAATTCAACATTCATGTCTGACAGCAAAAGGATCGATGGAGTGTTATGGTCTCCACGGCCTCCTGACAATAGCCATATTTTGGGAAGGTTCTGCCCTTCCGCCCCGCAATGTTTGAGACCTCTGGCTCTACAAACTGAGGTCTACAACGCAGGCATGGAAGGCTTGGACTACCACATGGCCCGGGGGCTCAAGCCGGGGGGACCAGATCGGGCCGAAAGGAAGGTGTTTCACTTGGGCTTCCTTCAAACTTGCGACACACGCAGGCTTTCCCGGACCCTGGGCGCAGCACGGCGCACCGACCCCGACTTTCTTTTGAGAGGCAAGTACGTGCGAAGACATTGGCCTTCTTGGATGTCCGGCAGCACTTGGAGGCATCTCCCTTTGACCTCCCTTAGTTTGTGACCTGGGGGCTCTCCTCACCCCCCCCCCCCTCCCCCGCCCACAAAAAAGCAGATATGGTTGTGGCTCAAAATTAAACATGGGGTTACGCAGGTGTTGGTCCATGTTTTCACGTACCAGGGTTCCATTTTGGTACCGCTTTTTTGACCCACAGCCATATGGTACGTCGATTTCATTGGGGCCATAGGAAGGCCTGCGCAAACCCGCCATTTTGGTATACCCAAAAGTCGAGTCTCGGGTTTGAGCCGCTCACTCGCGGGTTACTAGAGCTTGGAGGCCGGTTTCCGAAGTTCCATCGGCCGATGTGGGACACTAGTTGGGGTTGTGTCAAAATCGGGGGGGGGGGGGAGCGTCAACATGGGTCCCGTTTCCGAAGTGGTTTCCCTTTAAAAGAGCCTCTTGGAACTCTGCCATTCCGGAAGGTGCATGGCATGTAGGGGACTCGGGGTTTTCGGCCCTCAACTTTTTGTTTGACCCAGCTTTCTAAGAGCGCTTTCTGGCTTTTGTAGAGTTGTTTTTTTTTGGAAATCCCTCCTTACCCACCACACCGCCAAACAACGAGGGAAGCTCCTCTGACACATACCCTGCCTCTCTCATTGCCATAGCTCCTTGCTGTCTGAGGAATTTGTATTTTTCCAGTCTCACTAGAGGAAGGGTCCCCCGTTTGGTGGTTTAAAGGGAAAACCGAAGGAAAGGCGATTTTTTTTGTTTTTTGACCCATACCTGTTTCCAAAGGCACAAACATGTAGGTCAAGGCGGGGGAAGGCTGGAACCAGGGTCGAACTTGTCTGAGGCCAACCTGCCGACGGCGCTCTCAGAGGCGGGCAAAGGGCAGTCTGGCAGTCTGGCAGTGGGTTGCTTGATGGCTGGGACAGAGGCTTGGGATGGTTCCGGATTGGACGGCTTGGATGGTCTGCTAGGTGGTAAGTAGGCCATTATGGTTTCGTTTAGTTGAAGCCCACATGGGGTATGTTGATTTTCTTCTTTTTTGGATGATAGCTTTGTCAGTTGGTTAGGGACACCAAAGGGGACACCACCACGCTTGCATGCCCCACCGTTGTGATAAAGAACAAAAAACAACAACAACCACACGGGATCGACTTGGCCTTCGGGATGGATCAGAATGGACGGCATGGGATGGTTGGTCGGTGGCTGCATTGCGACCTTGGAGTGTTTTTTCCGCCGATCCGACGTGTGAACCAGGATCTGGGGTTAGGGGTGACCTTTTTTTGATTGGCGTCCTAGAGGGAAGCCAAATTTAGAAGCACCTGTTTGGGCTCACATATGGTGTGTATCTTGTTGGGGTACCTTTTTGGATGGTTTTACAGGGTTTCGAGACAGACTCAGATGCAGATACGTAAACGTATTTTTCCTGGGTTTCTCACTCAGGGCAGAGGGAGAAGAGTTTCCTTTGTTTTCCCTGGATTGTTGACCCCAAGTGAGGGCATGACCCCTATAAACTTGTAGTTTCCTTTCAGGGGACCTCTGGGTTCATTCCCACATTCTTCTGGGTGGGGTGGGGCGGGGTGTGGGGTTGGGGGGGGGGGGTGGGGGGGGTTTGGGGGGTGTGGGGTGGGAGGTAAAGAGTGGGGGTGAGGTAGGGGGGTAGGGTGTGGGGGGTGGGAGTGGGGGTGGGGTGGGGGGTGGGTGGAGGGTGGGGAGTGAGGGTGGGTGTGGGGGGTGGGGGTGGGGGAGGGGTGGGGGTGGGGGTGGAGGGTGGGGAGTGGGGGGTGGAGGGTGGGGAGTGGGGGTGGAGGGTGTGGGGAGTGGGTGTAGAATCCTGCATTTGCAGCATCACCCAGCATTGTGCAACTGCTCTCGCACCTCTGTGTGGTTGTTTGCAACTCCTTTTCTCTTGTTCCTCCTGCTCTTTCCTTGCTGCTCCATTGCCGCTGGTTTCCTTGTTCCTCTTGCTCTTTCCTTGCTCCTCCCCTGCTCCTTCCTTGCTGGTTGCCTTGTCTTGCTCTTCCTTGCTAACCCCTTGTTTTCCTTCCTTGCTGGTTTCTTTGCTCCTCTTGCTCTTTCCTTGCTCCTTTTTGTTCTCCTTCTTTGATGGTTTCCTTGTTATTTTTGCTCTTTCCTTGCTCCTTTTTCTGCTCCTTCCTTGCTGGTTTCCTTGTCTTGACCTTTCCTGGCTTATCCCTCGTTTCCTTCCTTGCTGGTTTCCTTGTTCTTCTTGCTCTTTCCTTGCTCGCCCCTTGTTTTCTTTCTTTGCTTCTTCCTTGCTGTTTTGTTTGCTCCTTTCCTTGGCTGTGTCCTTGCTGTTTCCTTGCTCCTTTCCTTGGCCCTTCCTTGCATTGCATTGCAGTTTGGTTGCTCCGTCTATGCTGTTTCCTCCCCTTGTTCCTTGTTGCTTCTTCCTTGTTTCCTTGCTCCTTTCTTGCTCCTTTCTTGCTCTTGCGTTTCTCCTTCCTTCCTTGCTCTCTTTCCTTCTTTCTCCTCGTCCCCCCTGTTGGTTTGTTTCCTTTGCCTCCTTGCTCCCGCCCTTCCTCTTTCCTTTCCTCCTTGCTCCTTGCCTTGTTGTGTGCCTTCCTCCTATTTCCTGGCTGTTCCCCCTTGCTCGTTCCTTCCTCCTTGCTCCTTGCTGCTCCTGTTTCCCTTCCTGCTGCTCCTTCCTTGCTCTTTCCTTGCTCCTTCCTTGCTGTGTCCTTCTTCCTCCTTTTTTCCCTGCTGTTTCCTTGCTCGTCGAGCCCAACCCGCTCAGTATTTGATTGTGTTTCATCTGTTCTTAGGGTTTACATTTAGGCTTCGCCTAGTACTAGTCTAGGAATAGTTGTAGTAACGGTGGTAGTAGAAGTAGTAGTGGTACTAGTAGTAGTAGTAGTAGTAGTAGTAGTAGTAGTAGTAGTACTAGTAGTACTAGTAGTACTAGTAGTACTAGTAGCAGTAGCAGGAGTAATAGTAGTAGTAGTAGTAGTAGTAGCAGCAGCAGTAGTAGTAGTAGTAGTAGTAGTACTAGTACTAGTAGCAGTAGCAGGAGTAGTAGGAGTAGTCGGAGTAGTAGTAGTAGTAATAGTAGCAGTAGCAGGAGTAGTAGGAGTAGTAGTAGTAGTAGTAGTAGTAGTACTAGTACCATTAGCAGTAGCAGGAGTAGTAGGAGTAGCAGTAGTAGTAGTAGTAGTACTAGTACTAGTACTAGTAGCAGTAGCAGTAGCAGGAGTAGTAGGAGGAGGAGTAGTAGTGGAGTAGTAGTAGTAGTAGTACTAGTACTAGTACTAGTACTAGTACTAGTACTAGTACTAGTAGTAGTAGCAGTAGTACGAGTATTAGTAGTAGTAGCAGTAGCAGGAGTAGTAGGAGTAGAGAGTCGTAGTAGTAGTAGTAGTAGTAGTAGTAGTAGTAGTAGTAGTAGTAGTAGTACTAGTAGTACTAGTAGTATTAGTAGTACTAGTAGTACTAGTACTACTAGCAGTAGCAGGAGGAGTAGGAGGTGGAGTAGTAGTGGTAGCAATAGCAGGAGTAGTAGGAGTAGTAGTAGTAGTAGTAGTAGCAGTACTAGTAGTAGTAGTAGTAGTAGTAGTACTAGTACTAGTGCTAGTACTAGTACTAGTAGCAGTAGCAGGAGGAGTAGTGGAGTAATAGTAGTAGTAGTAGTAGTAGTAATAGTAGTAGTAGTACTAGTACTAGTAGCAGTAGCAGGAGTAGTAGGAAGAGGAATAGTAGTAGCAGTAGTAGTAGTAGTAGTACTAGTTTTAATACTAGTAGTAGTGGCAGTAGTACGAGTAGCAGGAGTAGTAGGAGTAGAGAGTAGTAGTAGTAGTAGTAGTAGTAGTAGTAGTCGTAGTAGTAGTAGTAGTAATAGTAGTAGTAGTAATAGTACTAGTACTCGCAGCAGTAGCGGGAGTAGTAGGAGGAGGAATAGAAGTAGTAGTAGCAGTAGTAGTAGTAGTGGTACTAGTAGTAGTACTAGTACTAGTACTAGTACTAGTACTAGTACTAGTAGTAGTAGCAGTAGTACGAGTACTAGTAGTAGTAGCAGGAGTAGTAGGAGTAGAGAGTAGTAGTAGTAGTAGTAGTAGTAGTAGTAGTAGTACTAGTAGTACTAGTAGTACTAGCAGTACTAGTAGTACTAGTAGTACGAGTAGTACTAGTAGTACTAGTAGTACTAGTAGTACTAGTAGTACTAGCAGTAGCAGGAGGAGTAGGAGGTGGAGTAGTAGTGGTAGCAATAGCAGGAGTAGTAGTAGGAGTAGTAGTAGTAGTAGTAGTAGTAGGAGTAGTAGGACTAGTAGCAGTAGCAGGAGTAGTAGGAGTAGTCGGAGTAGTAGTAGTAGTAATAGTAGCAGTAGCAGGAGTAGTAGGAGTAGTAGTAGTAGTAGTAGTAGTAGTAGTAGTAGTAGTAGTAGTAGTAGTAGTATTAGTACTAGTACTAGTAGCAGTAGCAGGAGTAGTAGGAGTAGTAGTAGTAGTAGTAGTAGTAGTAGCAGTAGCAGGAGTAGTAGGAGTAGTAGTAGGCGAAATAGTAGTAGTAGTACTTGTGCTAATAGCAGTAGCAGGAGTAGTAGGAGGAGGAGGAGGAGTAGTAGTAGTAGCAGCGGCAGGAGTAGTGGGAGTAGTAGTAGTACTAGTACTAGTAGCAGTAGCAGGAGTAGTAGGAGTAGTAGTAGTAGCAGTAGCAGTAGTAGTAGTATCAGCAGCGCTTGCAGAAACGCTTCACGCGCTTGGTTGTCCGAGGCTGGAAGAAGCAAGTGAATCCTTACGGAGCCGGAGCTCCTTGCCAACCCAGCGCAGTTTTGCACTTGTTGAGTTCATTGCATGGGCACGCGGAACGTGGGGCTCCCAGTGCCGTTTCTTTGAACTTGTGGATCGACATGAATGAAATGAAGGTTTGGCTGGCTGGGTGGTTGGAAGGGAGCTACCAGGAGGAAGATTGGTTCCCTTAGCATGGCTGTGGCATTTTTGGGCCCGTGCCGCAGTACGTGCCCACCACCCCGCCGCCGGTGGCGCCGGAAATCCAGGCACACCTGAAAATCGATCATCGGCGAAAGTGTTCAAAGATGTGGGGGACCCCCCAAATGCTTGGTTTCCTCTTGGTTTCTTGTCAATCTGTCATGCAAACCAGCCACAAAAAGGGGGAAACCCTCAAAAAGGCCACGCCCATGTTTCACCTCAACCTGGCCTAATTCGAGCTCCCCCTCCGGGGGCGCTTGAGGGGAAGCTGACCGCGCCATTTGCATGGAGCCGGCCCAAGAAGATGTTCCCAGGGCAATTTTTGGTTTCAGAGCGAGGGCCAGTGGCGACACGTCTGACGGTAAGTGGTTGTTTCGCCGGATCCGTCGATCCTGTTTTTGATTATTCGTGTCACAGATGATCATTCTTGCCTATAGAGAAGGACGCGCTGCGCATAGCCAGGAGTTCAAACCATAGTGGCGCTTCAAGGTCCAACCAGCCTTGCTCACTCTTTTGTGGGGTTCGCACTCGCAATATGTTGTTTGTCTTTTTTCGGCTTCAAGTGGGCAGAGCGTCGTCATCTTCCTGAAATCGTGCGCGTCGCACGACATCTACGTGCCCCAGCCCCAAATTCCCTTGACACTGGAGGTGCCAACCTATAGGTCTGTCCCCTTGGGGAACCTTGAATGGGTGGTTTCCCCTTGTTTCCCTTTAACCAACCCAAAAAAGTTACCCTGAAGAAAGCAAACCCGCATATAAGGTTTGGAGAAGTGACTTGCTTGCCATGTGGGGCTGCTCACTTGGTGTCAAGCCATGTGTCTGTTGTCGCACGTTTCGAAAGACCTGGATCACCTGAAGTGGAACCAACATGCCTCCCAAGAGGGGGCGATGGCTTCCCAAAAGGAGACGCTTTTAAAATTGGATGTCTTGGGGGTTTCGGTTTCGACGCAGCCAACAACCCATTCTGATGATTGGGCTCTCGCAGTTTAGTATTGGTTGCTCTTTGGCCTACCAGCTGCTGAAAGGCTATTCCAAGTTACTTAAATCCTAAACCCGAATCTCCCACTACAGGTCCGAATGCTAGTACTACCCTTTTTTCAGCTCGCAAACCCTAAACTTTTGGGAAGAATCTTGGTCAAAAGTCTGGACTTCAAGTCACCACCCAAGCCACAATCAAAACCCGGGTAGATCAAGGTCAATAAGGGACAATCCCAACAACAACAGCAACAAAACAGGTGCGAGCAGGTGCGGCCGCCTTTTGCTTTCCTTACATGGATTTGGGTTTGAACACATGTTTTGATTTCCCATTTCAATACTGGTTTTGAGTCTTTCCTTACATGGATTTGGGCAGACCATTCCAATACTTGGTTTTGATGTCTCATCTACCCTGCGCGTTTCGCTCGCGAGAGTTTTGTCTCGCGCGGCAGGCCGAGCTCGCGCGCGCCCAGGCGCTGTTTTGAGCTTCAGGGCCAAATGCCGGCAGATGAACTCACCGGGCGGATTTGGGTGTTTTACCTGAAAAGTGAATGCCCCCTTCCAAGGGAATTCACCCAGATGAATCAACTCTTGGCACCGGAGCTCCTCCTAGCGGCCAAACAAACAAAAACAGCAAAGATTAATCAACTCAGGGGGCCAAGTTTTTTTTTTTGTGTTTGCCGTTTTGCTCCTCGGCTCCTTGGCTCCTGGGCGCGTCCTTTTGGGACCCTTGCCTTGCCTTGGACTCCGCGCGCAGGCCCTCACAGAGGAAGGCTGGCAGGCGACATCCGGCACGGGTTGAGTGGGTCGCGGGTGGAAAACCGTGGGTCTGGTGTCTGCTTTTCGCAGCTTAAGAACAGTAGCATTTTTCTTTCTAGACGTCGGAGTTTCCACGTTCACGAGGCGACGCGATTTGTGTCCTTTGACAAAAACATGGGGAAGATCTCAGGAGCCCCCTTCGTCGCAGTCCCGGTTTGGTCAGCCACTGCTCCTTTTGGGTTCTTCACCTGTGGCCTGCCTTCCACAGGCAAATCCATCACCACCCCTCGTGGGTCGTTTTTCTTTTCGGCCGGAGCCCAGGTGAGCCACGTCCACACTCAAAACAGATTTGGGTAGATAGAGGTCAGTAAGGCACGTTGCTGACCGGAAATGGGCCTTCGCCGCTTCCTAACTCTTTGCCATGGTTTTGGGTTTCACCCTTTTGGTAATGTTGACCCCATACGAATCAACCCCAGACTATTAATAGGGGGGTGCCCCCTCCAAAAGTGGTCTGATTCCCCGAATTTTCAGATTCATTTGGGGTCAACATCACCCGGTTTTGAGTATGACTCAGGTGGGACGACCTGGATCGCCAGTTGCTGTTTTTTTTAACCCATGCACTTTACCTCCGAAAACCAGCAACAGTGACTGAAAAAAGCGATCGCAGCTCGGCTATCTAGGGAGCAGTTTTGAGTATGACCCTGATTCCCCACATTTCACCCAGGGATGGTTGATTCATTTGGGGTATGACTCAGCTGGGACGAGCGCTTTTTCATATATGTATTCTGCCTTTGGTCGCTTGAGGCGCAGTTTCAGGAGGACCTGGAGCTGATGATCTTCCTGAAGGTCTACCACAGGCGATCCGGGCGCTGGTCTCCTCGGCCCAAATTCCTGCGTTTCTACCGCTTGGTTTCGTAGTTTGTATATGGGTGTGGCTCAAAATTAAACAGGAGGGGTTACGCGGGTTTTGGTCCATGTTTCCACTTACCAGACTTCCATTTTGGTGCCGGTTTTTTGAGCCACAGCCATTTGTATATAAGACCTATGCAAAAACCTTTAGCCTGCATGTTTGTGGAACCAACAGTCAAGGGGTTTGGGGCGCTGGCTCCAATGGGGAGCCCCTAAAGTGGCTGGTTTCCCTTCTCTTTGCTTGTACTGTTCCAACCACAGTCAAGCAACCACTCACATAGCCAGAGCCAAGAGGAAGCAAAGCAAAGTTATATAGGCTCGTAAGTGGGGAGATCCACCTGCCTGAGGGATTCATGGAGTCAAGTCGAGACTTCACCAGACCTCCAGCTTGTTGGCATTGCATGTTGACCTTTGGTTGGTTGGCTGGCTTTGTCAGGACGTAGAGAGCAAGACTTTGCCCTGGTCGACTCTGCCGGTCAGAATCGGCCGACCCGAAGGGATCTCATCAATCACCCTTTCCTCCTTGTTGAATGTCTCATAGAATATACACATATATAGATATATATGTGTTGCCTAACGATTTGTTTCCCCACACACCCAGTGCACCTGTTTCCCCACCTGTTTTTATTGAGTTGCTTTCCCTTGCCCCTGTCCCTTTTTTGGGACCATGAGCTTTCGCTTTTATCCGGAGGCTGGGCATGTTCTGGTACGTGGCGCCGGGGCCCTGGGTTTTGTCCAGGCAACCCGTCAGGTTGGTTTGGGTTGGTTTAGATTTAGCTTCCGTTTGCTGAAAGGACCAAGTCTTTTTTGGTCCCTTATTGGGTTTAAATGGAGTCGATTTCACCACTGGACACATTTTTTGTTTTGTTTTTTTCCAGGGCCTTGAGCCAGCGGAAGATTTCGATGTGAAGCCCTGGTTCTTGCAGAGGCTCCGTTGGTTTGTTGTCTGTTGGCCACCTCGTGGAAGGTAAAAGGGAAACCCCCGAACTTCCAAACCCCCTGGCTCCAAACCAAGGGGGAAGCTGGCCAAGGGTTTGTTGGGCTGGCGGCTTTGCGTTTTTTCCTTTGAATTTGTGCCCTTTTTTGGGGGGTTGGTTTCAAGGGGAATGAACACGAAACCACCCATTCTGAGGGTTCCCCTACTTTGAGACATACCCTGGTTTTCCGTGAAATGTTGACTCAGGGTCTCACTAGAACCCGGGTTCCATTTAAAAGCGATGAATCCCGACTAAAAGGGAGGCGCTCTCGTATCAATCAACCAGGGGCTTATTCGTCTGAGGTTAATATTACCATCCGGAATGTGATTCTTCCGGGGCGATCCAAAGAGCGTGAAGGGTTTCTGGGGTCTTCAGTCAGCCAAGCAAGGGGAAAATGGTTGCATAGCCAGGGGAAGATGGTTGGGGAACATGTGCCATGGTCAACCGAACTGCAAACCCAGTGGTTCCATTTCCCCGTAGAGGCAACCAAGGGCTTGCCACCCCAAATAAAAGCCGAAAGGAAGTCTGGGCCGGTTAAAAAAACGATACTTGGCGGTTCCCAGCTCTCTTGTTTCCTAACTTTGTTTGTTTTTTTGCTTTTTTGTTGGTTTAGTGTTTGGGTTTCCGTATTCAACCCACCAACGGTTTGGGTCACTTTCAGATCAGAAAATGGACAGCCTTTTGGGGCAGCTTGCCTGAGATCGATCCACAGGGTGAAGGGTGGGAGCCATGGCCATGGCTTGGGTATCGAAGTCACCCCGAAAAGTCGAAAATGGCTCGAAGTGGCTCGTTGTTTGGCACGATGTGTTGGTTTCCTTCTAGGGCCGAAAGGAATAGGTAAACTGGAGGTCCACAAGCTGGTGTGGGGTTGAAACACGAGAAAACAGGGTCTGTTGAAGCCACCTGGCAGGACCGAGCTGCTCACTCAGATTGCAAGATCAATAGGATCCCAACCCCTCCACCCAACCCCCCCTTGTCTTGTAGAGGGTACACTGGAAGCCACCGATCCAACTAATGAAAGGAATCTGACTATTGGAGGCTTGGGCACATAGGTGTCCTTTTTGGCAGTATAGAGAAAACAGATGGCGGCTCCTGGTTGACCTGGTCCAGGTTGTTTCTCAATCTATGGGGCCATTTGGCTGTGGGTCAAAACCAATGGTACCATTTTGGGGTAGGTGTACCACCCATTTTAAGTCTATTTCAGTTGGGATTGGGATGTTCACTTGGGGGTACGGGATTTTGACCCATGGCCATTTATGTTCTACCAAAGGGGCAGGGGGCCCAAGGCTCATTCTGCTGCGCTTCTTCCGCGGCTTCGCTGGGCAGCCCTTGCCCCAGTCGAGCCAATGCTTTCGAGTTGAGGGGAAAGGTACCCAGATCAGACCGGTCTCGGTGGCCCCCTGTTTTGGAGGATCAAATCAAAAAAGGGGGAGGGGGATGGGTTGGATGGATGGGTTGGATGGAGGGGTTGGGGTGGGGGGGGGGTCAAACATGTGCGATGAATCTTAATGTTCCCACCACAAACCAACCTGGCACAACAAACACCGAGAGCCTTTAAAAGGATCCCTCTTTGGTCCATTCTGGGAACGCTCCACTAGCGACGCCACTCCGAAAACTGTGTTGTTACGGCCCGTTTAAGGCCCGTTCTCCTTGTTCGGTGTTTTTGTTCGTGCCTTGCCTCTGGTTCTCCGACCCGAACAAAAGAGCTCCGGCCGCCAGGCCGCGCATCGCCGGCATCGGGCGCACCATCGGCAGCGCTGCGCCTCGCCTCGCATCCGTCCAAATGGGCGGCTCGTCTTTTTTTTGAGTTGCCCCAGCAGTGCCGTTTTACCAACTTTTTGGGGGAGGGTTCCCCTCCTAAAATAGACTACACAAAAAAGGCTACCCTTACTCTAACCTCTCTACTGGAGGACCTAGTTGAGTTGGTGCCCCTATCCTGGTGGTTGAAAAAGAGGGAGACGCTTCTGAGCTTTTGGAGTGGCAGAAACCTTGTAGCTTCCGCAGAACCAAACAGGGAGCAGCCCGCAAGAAACTTGAGAACTAAAGGGGGCTTTTGTGTCCCTTTTCCGTGGGACGGGGCTGGGTTTGTAAGGCTTTGCAGGGTTTCCTCCAATTCCAATCTTGGAACCTCAAAAGTGGCGCTCGTTGAAACCAATGGAAGCTACCAGCGAGTGATCAACTTTTGATTGGGGGGAATCCAGTGCTGTGATAGCCGACATTTTTTATTTTTTTTTCCCCTTGACAAGGTAGGGATGGGAATGGACTTGGAAACACGGCGGCAGGACCCCTGTTCACTCCATGACCCAGCCCAGGGCCCGGAGGAAAAAAGGCGGCCCCACGTCCGTCGCCGTCGCCGAATTTTTGTATTGGTTGGGGCGCGGGAGAGGCCTCGGACATCGGGCACGTGGCCTTCATGGCGCTTGCCTCAGATGATTTCAATTTTCCGAGGGTGTTCGACTGGGAACCCCGTGACTCCGGCCGGCCCTGGCCGAGTTCGGGCGAGGGCACAGCGGCCGGCTTTTGAGGAGGCGCAAGAAACACCCGGCCAGTTTTGAGGGAGTGAGAATGGTGCCGAAAAGTGTCGAACTTCGTGGCCTCGACATTTTTTTTTGGGAAACTCTTGTTTAGGTTGCTTTCCAACGGAAACCGAAGGCAAGACTGAGGCCATTCCCAAATGCCACAGAACTGGAGACTCCCTTCAAAAGTTTGGAAGCCCGCAAATGGGAAATCGCACACCCCTTTGTCAACCATGTTTCCCTGCGGATGGACAACATCCGCGCTAGGCACCAATTGGGATGGATGAAGCCTTGTGAATATCGTGATAAACCACCTACCTTCTGGTGCCATGTGAACATTGTCCATCCACAGTATGGGTGTGTTTTGCTTCTTTTTTTTGCGTTCTAAATGGAACACCAAAAGGCCTTAAACATGACACCCTTATGGCAAAGCTGAGGTGACAATCGCGCTCTTCAACCTCATCCTAGGAGGCCGTTTGCTGCAGCGACTCAGAGTTCCCAAACACTTCGAGCCGGGGTGTGGTTTAGATTCGGCGAATCTGCTTGACGGTGAAGCCAGAATCGCATCCAAACGAATTCTAGAAGCAGACTCATGGGCGCTTATGTGCTGAACCGTGGCTTTCACACACCTAGGAAACAATTTCCAGACAAATCGGCAAGGTCCCTATCCACCGTTTGGGGTGTGAGTTTGGCTAATTCCCCGGAGCTTGTTTAAATCCGATCGCAGCTCAGACTTGCGGGTTTTGGAAGGCAACGTGACCATGATTGGTAAGAGGCCGACATTCTTTTGTATCAGTGGTGGTGGCCAATTTGCTAAGACCCCCCCCCCAGTTGCCAGATATTTTGGCAACTGAGCTTTGGCCTTTCACCTCCGTTCAAGTAACTTTGGCAACACTGTTCGTTGGGCGCTGGTGGCAAAAGCGGTTTGCCTTGGTTGGATCATTCTCAGGTTTCGGCGTCTTTCCTTGTGCCCTCGAACTGCAGGTCGGTAGGTGGCGTTTGCTGTAAATCCCCGGTTTTGCCATGATTTTAGCCCCTAAACTCCTGGTGGCCGGGGCCTCCTGCCCGTTTCATGTCGGCTCGCTCGCTTCAGGGCACCTCCTCTTCGGCCCGGAGCTCCAAGCCTGGCCCGGGCGCCCAGGGGCCCAGGGCGGGCCGAATTCCATGGCGTTTCTGGTGTGTTTGTTGTTTCCCCCCCCCCCCTCCCCCCGTTTTTCTCCTCCTTTTTTGTTGGTTTGTATGTTTGCTGTTTATTTGTTTTTGCTGATTGTTTTTGTGTTTTTGCTGTTTATGTTTTTCAGTGTCTTTGTTTCTTCTTTTTTTCTGTCTTAAGGTTTTGCCTTAAAACCAACGGCCAACAAAAGGGGGGGGTGCTTGTTTTTTCCTTTTTCAGTTGCTGCCTTTCCTCTTTCTGTTTTTTGTTGTCTTGTTTGAGGGTGGTGGGCTTCCCCTTTAGAACCAAGCTGCAAAACAGGGAGGCCGACTCATTTTTCCACCTGGCCTCTGGAGGACAGGTGGTATTATTTGTGGGGGAGTGTGGTTGCAAATTCGCCCGTTCTCTCTTCAAGGGGAATTCCGGGACTTCGGGATGTCATCTGCGGCCAATTTCACCCATGGCCCCGTGGTGGAAGATTTTCAGACGCAAGCCGCGGGCCTTAGATCTTTCTGTTTGGGTGGCTTGCCTAGTACCGTTTTGGGCAGGTGTTTTGGTTGTTTGGTGCGGGTGGTGGTTGAAGGGACGAGATCAAAGACCCGGTTAAGGTCAACTTGGGATCGGTTCGAACCATACACATCAGTGACATCAGGCTTTTCACCAGCCCCTGCCACGGGTTTTGGCCCCTATGTGCGTGGAGGTTTGCAGGGTGGCGCCTTTTTGAGGGGGAATGGCACCACCTCTTCTGCAGTGGTTTTGAAGAGAGAGAAAGGAAGAAGCTCCACCTATTTCGGGACGCACATGTCTTGGAGGGCCTTCTTGGGGGCCCGTTTCGCTGATGCTTAGCCAGCGAAACAACAAGGCGTTTGGTTCCTGAATGAAGGGACAGCGTGTGTCGATTTGGATCGGGCGCCAAAGAAATCATGCGCTGGAGACCCCTCATAAAGGCCCCCACACCAAGCCATGACTCGCATTTCCCTTTGGTTGACTTAGGTCCCCCAGTGCCCTTTTACCAACTTTTGTTGGGGGGTGGGGTATCCCCTAAAATAGGCTACAGAAACAAGTTGGTACCCTTCTAACCTCCAAAGGTGGGGTATCCCCTACTAAAATAGGCTACAGTGTACCAACTTATTCTAAGCTCCAAAACTGGAGGACCTATAGTTGAGGTCGCAACGAAAAAACTCGACGCCATGGCCCGTCTAAGATCGGCTCACCTTTTGGCTCGTGGCTCGGTCGCCGAGGTCGTCTCTGGAGAATGCCTTGATGACCACGCCGGGCACACGGCGTGCACGAAGTGATGGTGTGTTGCCGGGGTGCATGATGGGAATTCTTGGCATGTGTTTAGTTTCTTTGGTTTGCTTTCTTGGTTCTACTCATTTTTTGAGTAGGGATCTGCGGAAAAAAACAGAGGCATGTTTTGCTACCGTACCAAGGGTTGCACGGTTGATACACTTCTGGTGACATTTCACAGGGAGTATTCATTTGATTAGTAATGCGGTCAGCATTACTCGAGGATGAGCACGTCTTTCATTTTGCACACCTTGCACAATTGGGTGAACGTAGATTGGGTTTTTTAGGTTTGTTCCTTCCCCCCCCCCCGCCCCCACACACAGGTGCGCAAAACCCAGACTTGATTTGACTTGGGAAATACACGGGGGCTACAGGATTGACTTGCTGGAGCTCAGTGGCCCGATTCCATCCAACTGGCGGTTTCCTTTAAGGGGACCCGTTCATTCCATTCCCTCATTCCCTGCCCATCGCACCAGCAAGTTGAGAGGTTTCAGTCGATTCCGAGGGTACACCCTGGAACTCGACTCATGGTATTCCTGACTCCTCCAATTTGGCTGTGGGTCAAAACAGATGGCACCATTTCGGGGTAGGTGCACCACCCATTTTAGTCTATTGGGATGTTCACTGGGGGTACGTGCTTTTGACCCATGGCCATCTCGCAAACCAACCTCGCACGCCTTGGCGGCGTGGCTTGTCCATGCCAAGGATCATGATCCTCTTCGGTCAGGGAGATATCGGAGCCATGCGCCCTGACGGAGTCAAGTTACACAGGAAAAACAAGCTGCGTGAGCAGCTGTGCATGATATGCCGAGGTTGAGAGTCTGTTTGTGGCATGGACGCAAAATCAGTCTAGCGCATGTCCAGATGATGTGTGCCAGGTGTTTGCCAGGAGGTGTATAGCATAGATCTGGCATAATTATATTTTTTTTTTCATCATCCATGTGGTTACCAGTAATGCTAGCCCCGGATTGATAAACCCTTGGTTGATTAATTGGGGGGTGTCCCCTTTCAGTGGGGATTCATCACTTTGGAAGGGAACCCCCCCTAATAATGGGACGGGTTTGTTCATCCTGGGTCAACATTATGTGACGTGCGCAACTGGCACAGGCCTTCCATAATCACTTGTCCTACCACGTCTCCAGCGTGTTGTTGAAATATGTTTGTATACACGTATACATGCTCACACTGGCCCGGACATGATAATGCCCTTGGAACTTGTATGTCTGGCTTCGTTTTTTTTTTTTTTTTCTTTTCTAGAGTACTAAAACAACAATGCCAACCAGACCTGTCTTCCGCAAACAAGCGCGCCCTCATTGTTTTCTGGGCACATTGGTGGTTTCCTTTTGGCTTCGCGTTCAAGCACACAAAAAGGGACACCCATGCATATATTGTATCTTTGATTGTGCATCTCCACACCAATTCAGGGATCCTTGGTGGGTGTCTTAAAACAGACTCCAAAATTGCACAGCACAACGGGGTGCTCGAAAAAACACACATTGACAAGCTCATATGTCCTGACAACAACGTTCGACTGTGGGTGTGGGCAGCGCGAGACGGGGGGACTGGAACCTGCTCACGAAAACAGGAGATGGGACTCAAGCTTTCCATGTTGGGAATCAAGCAAAACTCCGCCATTGCGCATATGGGTGTGTGTTGTTTTTTTGAGGGATTGCCCTATACAGAGATAAACCCATATTTACCTTTTGGGCTGTTGGAAGGTTGCTTGCCCAACAATACTATAGCCAGGCTTCCAGCTCCATTTTTACTTCAGTTTCAACCATCACCTTGCAGGGCTCCCTTCATGTTTTCCCCAAGACTCAGAACCCGGGGCTGGTCGATTGCCTGGCTTTGACTCTAGCTGGGTGTATTTTTTTTGCTCAGCACCTTTTGACCTTCCTTTTGGGTACTGCGGTGATGTAGTATGGGGCAGAGACACCTCGTGTTCCCTTTTCACATGGCCTCCTAGGGCACAAAACGGTAGGTTCCTGGTGAAGGCAGTGCCAGTTCCTCCGCACGCCCAGAGCAACGCTGGGGACGGGGGTTGCGTTCGGCGTTTGTGTATTCCGTTCCAGGGACAGGACGCTCTTGCAGTAGGCCTGCTTGAGAGGGGAGTGATCCGGAACCCTGAGATGTTCAGCCTTCCTGATTCTTACTCTTTGTTTGGCTTCCCCAGGTCTTTTTGCTCCTTCCCGAAAAGAAGAAAGGCTTCTTCTTTTTCTATCCTGATTGGTCGCGATGGGGAGGTGTCGGAGCCAAAAGTTTGGCCAACCACTTTTCCCAGGTACAACATCGCTCCCACCTCCACCTTGGCGTGCTGCCTAGAACGCTTCTGGGGAGCTCGTGGCGAGAGCCGTGCCGGTTTGAGGTCCGTTTTTGGCGGTTTGGGGGGGGGGGCGGGGGGTGGAGGGTTCTGTAGGCCCTGGGTAAGCGATGGGTTGCCGAGTCATGCACACGCCCACCATGGAGCTCAACCGGAGAGTAGGTGGTTCTACTGCCCGGTTCAATCGGGGTTATGGTGAAGCCTTTGAAAGCCTTTATATCCCTGTTGGTAGAGCCAAATGTCAACAGGTTTTGGGCGCTGCTCGTGTTGCTTCTCAAGAGACCTTCAAGTTCGCAGACTGTACACTTCCACGTTGGGAGGGTAACTAGGGTGTCTCGAGGATTTCCTGCCGAATTCCGCCGATTTCTGATCAATCACCCCCTAAACTATCCGGGTGGGTGGGGCCTCGGGGCCTCTTGGAGAGATGCCACCATGCACGTAGCATGGTGAATGTATCCGCAGGCTTGGGCCATTCTTCCATTCTCGACATGGTGGGATTTCCATGTTCCATTTTCCGATTTTCCCGAAGGAAGCAATGGTTGATGAAGTACTGTGGATGGTTGCGAAATATCCATTTCGCACCACCGAAGAATGATGAATCCCCTGTAAATACCAGCAAGCAATGGTTCCCATGGTTTCAAAGTGGTGCGGGATTTCGTCCATCCACAGTAGGGGTGCAACCCATGGGAGCTCTACTTTGAGGTGTAAACATCCATTCATCCAGTCTTCGAATTTGGTGGGGATTCATCACATCTGGAGTGAGCACAGACTGGAAATAGAGCTGGCCTATTACTCTGGGGTCAACATGACCATCATCGGGTTTCCACCCTTGTGCCGGTTGCGACGCTGCCTTTGTCAAGGTGTCAGCCCTCTGAACCAGGCCGTAGGCGAAAAGGCGTGGTCACGTCCACAGAAACAATGGGCGGGGGCTGCTTCAATGGGAAACCGAGAGAGTTTTGAACCTTGGTGGGTTCCACATCTATGGAAGCGCAGCTTGGGGTTCGTCTTGGCCCGAGATCTGGGGCCTGAGCTACATCATTTGCATCATCGTGATGCTGATGAGCATGCCGGGGAACCCGATGGGGATCCGGCAGTCCTTGTAAAGAGATCCAAGACTGACGGGTGCACGGGTCGCGACTGGCTTCTCTCTTTGTTGGTCAAGCATGGTCTTTTGGGGCTATCTTGAAATGAGGTTCTTTTGGGTGGGGCGATGCGGCAAGACATAAGGAATCTCAAGCAAGGAAGCCGCTTTTTGGAGGGGCAACAACCATTCCCCGCTCCGGGTGGATTTCTGCGCCTCTTGGTTGATCGGAGTCTTGGTGCAAACTTTGCGTTGACTCTGGGTTTTGGTTTTCTGGTTCTTTTTCACCCTCTTTCCGCAGTCATGGAAGGCAGGGGGTTCCTCAAAAGGACAGTAGCCTTTCAAAACCCTTGCGACAGCTTCCATGTTGGTTGGGAAGAGGGCAGTTGTTCTTTTCCGCTCTCGGTTCTTTTTTTTCCCCCGTGAGCGAGGGCTTGCAGCAGAAACTGCGCTAGCATCAATCGGGATCGAGGTGGATGGGCTTTTTGGAGGCTCAGGGGGAAACCCCTCTCAGACTCCCTGTTTGCAAGTTCCAGGACCTTAGTGAGAAGAGTTATCTTTAGTGACTGTTTCTTTCTTCCCCATGGCCAGGTCTTTTGTTGTGTTGGGAAGCCTCGCTTGGCTTTTTTGTTTTGAAGGGAATCCAAAAAGAGAGCACAGAGACCCGTTGGGCAAAGTTTCGGCTGGCCCTTCATTGGTGGTTTAAACATTGGTGGTTTGGATTTAGATTTGAAGCCCTGCTTCTTGCAGAGGGTAAATAGTGGGAAGCTGATCTTTAGCACATCGATGATGCTTTTGAAGCACCATGATTCAACCAGCGGTCCATTGATCAAGGGCTGACCCCCCTGTTCGAATTCGCGGGAAGGCTCCAAATTGAAGAGCTAGGGGTGACGCAGGTCTTAGTGTTTGGTTCCATTTCTATGACGCCATATTTTGGTACATTCATTTGAGCCACCGCCAGTTGTTGCTTCATACGGCCAGCTGCCAGGGTCACGGCCATTCTCATCGCGCACCACCGAGAGGCGTGGCCCGCTCACGCCATCGGCGCAATAGCAACCCTAAACCCACCCTACACCCCTATTTAAACCCGCCTTAAACCCACCCACCCTAAGCCAAGCCACCGCAATCAACTGCAACCCCACCCTAAACCAACCCTACACTCGCAGACGTACTAAACCAATCATACACCTAAATCAACCCAAAGCAAAAACCAACTAAACCAACCCTAATCCAACACTACACCAATCCGAAAGAAACCCAACGCCCACCTACGCCCACCCCAAACTAACATAAACCCAACCGTACACCCTAAGCCAACCCTAATCCCACCTCGCACCTTGAACCGACCGTCAGCCAACACCAAACCCTCTCTGATTCCTACACAAACCCGAGTCCCTCCCTGAAGTAACACAAGAGCGAGCCTAAACAAACCCACCGACCCAACACCTACCCTAAACCCACCTTAAACAACCCTAACCCAATTAAACTCCGAGCTGGTCGTTGGCACTTTTGGCCGCTTTCGCTCGTGTTGGTCCTAGAACATAATCCAACCCTATTCCCACCCTAAACCAACCTTCAACCACTCTTAACCCAACCTTGAACCCACCCACCCTGAACCCACCCTGAACCCACCCTGAACCCCTTCAAAGCCCATTCCAAGCCCACCCTTAACCACCCCAAAGCCACCCTAAACCAACCCTAAACCAATCCTAAGCCCACCGTAGACCCATCTAAACCTAGCCTTAACACACCCTGAACCAACCCAAAATCCACTCAAAAACTCACCTCAAACTTTTGCATGCTCACCAACCTTACCCCCACCCCGAACCCTAAAGCAACCCAACCCACCCTACACCCAACCCAAACCCTTACACCAATCCCACCCAAACCAACCCTAAACCCTGAATCAACCCTAAACCCTGAATCAACCCTAAGCCCACCCTAAGCCAACCCTAAGCCATCCTAAGCCAAACACTAAACCCAGAGCAGACCGATTCTAAACTCAGCTTGAACCAACCCCCAGAACCGCCCTTCACTCACCCGAAGCCAAACCTAAACCAAGCGAGTACCTTTGGATGCCTGAGCACACCAACCAGTCCAAGGAAACATGCCAATTGACTCCTTTCCCTTTCCTGTACGCTTGCGGACAGACAGGGGGGGAGGGTGTTGCCAGCAGACTGGTCGAATCAAACATATTTTCTTCTCTGAAGCCCGTAGCGATCAGCAAAAGTTGTTTGGGCCAGGGCTGGAGTTTCAAGACAAGGCGGAGAGGAGACATTCGTTGTTCATTCCAAGGAGGAAAAGCCGAGCCTGGGACGCCGAGGCCAAGAAAGCCAGAAAGGCCTGGAGATTGAGAAATTCAGCTTCCGGCTCGCAGGGGCGAAAATGGCTTCGACCACGCGTCCAACATCCGACGCCTGGTCGTCACTTGGGCTGCCTGATGGGCTTGCTGCGCGACCAGGCCACTCTGATGGACTTGCAGCAGCAAGTGGCATCACGCAGCAGCAGTGGGGCAGGTTTGGCCACAGACCTCGAAGACACAGTGGCGTCAGGGCGAAGAACAGCCTTACGCCCTGGCAAAGTTGGCAAAGTCTGCCACTCCAAGCTCTACAGCTCGCGCAAGGACTTTGTCCTGGTGATCTTGGCCAACCTAGGATAATTAGCGCGCGCGGTGTCGCGAGACTTGGAGAACGGTCTGGGCTCGGCCCTCCTGGACGCAGTCACCACGGCAGCCCTCGACGCCGCCCTCGCAGGCAAGGCGGACGCAAGCGCGCTGGCCTTTCCACGGTGGACGGGGGTTGGACACACTTTCACGCTCGACGATGAGCGCCGAGAACAAGGCATGGGTTTGTTTGCCTCAGCCCTGTGACTTCCTGCAACCGCCAGGTTCACCTTTCAGCAGCTTGGCTGGGTGCTGGATGTTGTTCGTGGGAATGCGTCGCTCTTGGAGAACCCCCCCAGGACAATCTGCTTACACTTTGTGCGGGCTTCTGGATGGCTCTTCAATTTGGGTGCTTTGGCCGTGGGAACAGGAGTGCCGCAGGCTGCTGAATAAGACATTCATGCAGGATCGGGCCTCTTGGAACATACCCCGGAATGAGTGGGTCAACAGCTCAGCCATTCTGCGGACATGATCACCTATTGAACCGCCAACCTGAGGTTTTCCGGAGTCACACTGGGACCCGTGTTTGCGCCGCTGCTCCAACCATCCTCCGCCAAGCGGGGGGTGGCTGCGAAACACTATGAATCCTTCGCAGTCGTCCATGTACGGATGTGCGCTTCAAGGCGTGTGTGGTTGTGGTCTGCGTGCTCTTAACTCACTGTCGGCATGAACGGAGTGGAGCGCGCCGCTCTTTTGGAACCTGCTTGCCTCCTCGCGGCGGGGGTGTGAAGCTAAGTTCCGACCACCGTTGCTGAAGCCAGTCTCTTGGAGAAAGTGTTCTGTAAACCTTATCGTGTAAGCCCACCATTCCCATCCTAAAAAGAAAGAAAACTGCCGGAGCCCTAAGCCAGCAACCAGCCCTAAGCCAACCTGACGCGCCCTGTTTTTATTCCCCGTTGTTTGTTGTAAAGCGAATCTATCGCTACTGGTAGTTTTATTTTTCCATGGGGCTTAAGCAAGTGGAAGACCGTGGAAGATACCCACCCTAAACCTGCCATAATCCAATCTAACGCGCCCCAAACCAAGCCCGAAACCAACCTTAAAGTCTCAAGCCCCAGACCAACTTAGCCCCGCCTGCCCACCCTACACCCACAGTAAACCCACCCAAGCCCACCCTACACCAGCCCCCCACCCTGAACCAACCAAAAACTCACCCTAAACCAACTGTAGCGCGCAGCCGCCGCAGGCTTCGGAGGAGTAACAAAGAAAAGATGCGAGGCTAAAAGGACAAGGTAGAAAGGTGGGAGGGCTGAAAAGGAGGGCTAAGTAAACGGCTGAAGGGTTGCAAGCAGGCAAAGCGGTTTACCAAAAAAGGTGTGGAGGGTAAGAAACAAATTCGCCCAACCTACCTTGCCAAAAGGCGTTTGCAGAGCTGTGCGCCGTGAAGCCTCGGCTCGTAAAGGGCGCTTGCCTTTTAGCCAACAATACGCAGCCCGCAGGTTCGCAAGAATCGGGGGCCCGCCGCCCAGTGATTTTCGTCGGCTGACGCTAGGGCGCAGTTTGCCTGGGCGGTTGAGCTGGGGCATGTCTCATGGGGCCCTAGGTTGCACCAAAGGACACACGTGGGCAGCATACGAAAGGAACCTTTTGTCAGAATCCTTTTGACGGCTTCCTGCGCGACATGGGAAACGTTGGATTGGTCTATTCCACCCCCGTTTTTCTTCCAGGATTTCTTGCACAACCTACACACACACACGTCGTATTTCTTAACTATCTGGCATTTCTCGTATGGTGCGTGTGTGTGTGTGTGTGCACAAAAGTCATTAATTTTATTTGGGTTTTTGGAATATGCTTGGATATCCCTAAGGAACCAACAAGGGATGGTTATTTTGCGCGTTTTGCAACGTCTCAGCCAAATGCTTCCTTCCCCCACGGCAGGGTTTTGGGGCCAACCGGCCCTGCTTTGTTCGGGTCCTTCGGGCCGAGGCGCGCCCAGCAGACGCTGCCTCACCAGTTCGTGGCGATGTGCGAGGACTTCGTGTGGAAGGCGTCCGGGCGACGTGTGTCTTCTCCTTGTTCCTGTGAAATGGGTGGCTCCACTCGCGTTTTTCTTCTTCTTTGAGTTGACGTAATTTCTCTTCTCCCCATGTTTGAAGGGAAACCAAAGAAACTCCCAAACAACCAGTGCCTTGTCTGTTTTTGTGGTTTTAAAGGGAAACCAAAAGGGAACGCCACCATTTGGGGATCCCTCAAAAAGAGACACACCCACCAGGCCTGGGCCGAGCACCGACTTTTCAAGTTTTGCGGCGAAGGCTAGAATAAGTGTAGGTAGATCGCTTTGAACTGTTTTTTTTCTATTTTGTTTGGGGGGTCAGTCAGTTTAAGCTTGGCAAATGACTATTTCCCTAGCCAGCAAACAAGAAGGCCACTCCCATCCGTCTTGGTCCATCAACCATCCTGGTGCGGAAATCTTATCAAAGACAAGGATTCCCAGAGGGAACTATCATAATTTCACTTACCCAAAGCCTTTCACACCTTTTAGCCTTCTGTTCTTCCCCGTTTACCTGTTTTGGTCAAGGCTCCAAAAGGTCAAGCTCTTATCTCCTGCTCGGCAAGTGAGTCATATCCAGAAGGAGGCTTTGACCACGGCCGCCTTCCCTCCGGGCGCTTCATGGTCCACTCGCCCGCATGGTCCCAGAAAGCCCACCAGTTTCTGGCCCTAAACCAACCCTTGTAGCTTGAACTACGTAGATGGATTCCACTGGTTTAGATTGGTTGTCCATCCATCTACCAGGGAACCCCATCCTTTTGCCTCAAAGGTCACCTACTGTGGATGGGCGAAATCTTGCAACACCCAAGAATCCCTGGAATGATTTGAGTCCCCAGTAAATACCAACAAACAATGGTTTCCCATGGTTTCGTAGGTGGTGCGAAATGGATTTGGTCCATCCACAGTATAGAAAATGGATTCACCAAGGTTTGTTGATGGGTTTCACTGGTTTAGATGGGTTTTCTTTTCCGTTTTCTTCCAACAGGTTTGTGCCCAGCCCAAAAAACCGCCGCCCTGTGCCCAGCGGAGCTACGACATGCGGAGCCTGCTCCGCTTTACACGGTCGAGGCGCGTTTGGCGTGGGGCGTGGGAGAAAAAAACGGACCGTGGGCATCTGAGTCTTACTGTGGATGGACGAATCCACTTTGAAACCACGGGAACCCATTGTTTGTTGGTATTTGCAGGGAAGGAACTCAATCCGGGTTCCTCAGGTGGTGCAGGATTTCGTCCCTCCACAGTATTGGGGTATGGGTCAAAATTAAACCACCAGGGGACCGCAGATTTTAGTCCATGTTTTCACTTGCCAGGGTTCCATTTTGGGCACCTATTTTTGACCCACAGCCATTTCAGTTTTTTGTTGGGGCTTGGTTCAAGCAACATTTTAGTGAATGGAACTTCACTGTTGTTGGATCATGTGTTTGGTTTAGGTTTGTAGTTGTTGTTTGGTTCTGTACATGTTTAGTGGGCTGCGAAGAAAAGAAACAGTTCGTTGCGGAAGAAGCCCAGGAAGACATTTTCAGGAACAACTTTCAGGTGAAGGTCACCGCCTTGAAGATTGGCGAACCCGTGGGGGGAGGGGGGGTACTTTTCTCACTGCATGGGTTGGTCTAACTTTTCCGCGAGGTTACTTTACTGGTAAATTCACACTGGTAAATTCACACCTCCGGACTCTTCAACTTACCAATCCGCCCGTCCGGAGTTTTCTCTTGAACTTTTCTGCGTGGGAAAACTCGCTGGTGCTCCGTAGTGAGGGAATGATCCCTATAAACCATCCATGGTGGTTTCCTTCAAGGGGACCAAAGCCTGGGTTCATTCCCTCATTCCCTACCTGGCTGTGGCTCCAAAACATGTGCCAACATTGCACCTGGGTATATGGAGAAAAAGACGAACACCTGCGTGAGCCCAGCTGTTTAATTTTGAGCCACACCCGCCTATCGCATTGATTGCAAGACAATTTCATGCGCTCGACGTCGCCTCGGATCTCGGGGGAGCTGCGCTCGCAGGGCGGGGCCAAAGAGCAAGATCCTGCGAGCGCTGCCGGTGCTCAAGCGCCTTGGAATTGGATTGATTTGTAGAAAACGTGGGTTTGGTGTTGAAAATCAATGGCCCTTGGTTCGGAAAGCGCACATCACCTACCGGTGCTATTTGTATACTTATGGACATATATACATATATATGTAAAACACACACACACACACCCATCATAGTTCCAAAAGGACACCTCGGCGCATGGTGGTCATGGGGATGGATCCGAATCCAAAGGGCGATCATCTGTTGGCGCGCGCTGAGGCCGGAGACCAAGCGCATTAGCCGCATTCCCTACGCCAGCGCCCCAATCCTTTGCGGTGGGGCCCCGCGGGGCTCCGCGCGAGTTTGGGGGCGCAGTGACCTGTTCAAACATCGCCTTGACACGATCCAGGTTGGAAGGTTTCTTCTTTGGTGCTTGGAAGGGGACCAAGAACCGGACCCCGGGATAAGTATTGAACAAGTTGGGAAAAGGCCCCATATTATGCTCAGACGAGGGCTGAGTTGAGACTTGCTGGGCAAGTATTTGCTTGCGCTTTCTCCTTGATGTCTCAACCACTTCCGGGATGGTGGAGTTAGCCAAGTGGTTCGTAACCTCCGGTTAAGGCCCCCTTGCAAACCCTGATGGTTAGCTGCGTGATTCCTTCCAGACCCATCCAACAAAGAACATATTGAAGGCCGTTCCTCGGGTCTGGTTCGAACCACCTTTGCCGTGGGTGTTGCTCAGGACGCTCTGATCGACTTCTTCAACTCAGAAGGCATCGCAACGAGTCGGGCACCGCGTGGTTTGTTGGGGCCAAACCCGGCGGCTTTTGATGCGGTAGCTATGTTTAGGAGGGAACCCCAGTTGTTGGGAAGCGCCAATCCAAAGGCTCGTGGCTTATGGTTTGCTTGAAGGGCGCCCAGTTCGGCGGGCTGTTTGTTGCAGGAAATCCTCCTTTTTTGGCAACACACATCACAGAAAACAAGGGTGGATGCCCTAAACATTGCAAGGGAACAGAGGAAACCCCCTGCAATTCCCCGTCATTTGTGGTTGAATTTTGCCTGCGATACTGTCGATGGACGAAATCCTGTATCACCTAAGAAACCCTGGTTTTTGATTCGGTTCTCCTGCAACTACCAACAAACGTTAGGGTTTCAACCAGGTGGTGCGTTTTCTGGATTCCGCAACCATCCACAGTAGGGGTGTCTCTTTCTAGGAATCGCACCGGGTCCCCAAAATGGCACAGCCTAGATTCGTCAGCTGGCTGTGGGTCAAAACTAATGGTACCATTTTGGGGTAGGTGCACCTCCATTTTAGTCTACCTTAGTGGGGATTGGGATGTTCACTGGGCGTGTGGGGTTTTGACCCATGGCCAGCTAAGAGACACCGACAGGGGATACGGTCAGGGGCATTCCTCCGGCCCGCGCTCGCGCAGACCTGGGCGACGGGGAGCCGGTGCCGCCCGGGTGGTCTGCCGTGAAGAAGGCGGGCGAGCGGCCGGGGCGCGGTGTGCATTTTTTTGGCAGGGGAATTGGTGGTGTAACCAAAACACCTTTACACATATACACATGTGTTTGGCGTGTTTTTTTTGAGGGTGCCCTTTTCAGGTGGGTTCTAAGGGAAGCAAACCAGGGAACCCCATTCTAGGCCCCCTATTTTGACACACCCACCTTGACTCGGCATTCTCAGAATAGAATGGGGGGGGCCATTCTTTTTTCCTTTTGTCTCCAGGGGAGTGCGTTTTGTTTCTTCCTCACGGCCACCGTTTTAACGTTTCCCCCCAAGGGGTGGTTTGGATTGGTGCGTTGGACTTGGATTTGAGGCTCCCATGGTCGACGCTTGGAAGTCCTTTGGAGCACCTCCAAAGCACTGGGCTCCAAACCACGGAAATTTGCTTAGACGGCCGCGTGAGTGGCGTTTTTTTTCTTCCCCGGTCCAAGCAGCAATGTGCAGAGCTGGACATATCAACACAAGAGGTAGCCCCACGCAGCTGAAGGTTGGCGGAAGGTGGTTTTTACCGCAGAAGCTCGCGGGTGGTTGATTTGCTTTTTCAGAAAAACAACCTTTGTTTTTTACTAGAACTAGTAGCAGATCGTGCGCACGAACCCCCTCGCGGAAGCAACTTGCCCGCGGAAGCACTTAATTTGAAACATGCTCGCGGAAGCTGCCCTTCACACCGCAGAGGCTTGGCGGTTTGGGTATTGCGGAAGGGGCCCATGCGTCCAGTCAAATTGTAAGGGAATACCACTCATATTTTCCTCCCTTCTGCCGTGAGTGCTGGGGTCTCCGCCAGAACTAATGTTTTTGAAACTCAAGCTGGGAATATTATTATTTCTGTGTACCCCAGATGTGGGGCCAAGGCTGGATGAACTGCGGGTGTCCCTTTTTGAACGGTATCCACGGTGATTGATCCAGGGTTTTGGGGGTGCTTATTGGTTTGTACAGTGAGAAACAATCAGGTAGCGCATTTGCCCCAATAATGGCCCGCCCATGCTCTAAGACTCGAGGAACTCTCCAAACAATGAGGCAACTGTACCCACTGGTTGGGTATGCCCACTGATTGTTGCTCAATGTAGGAACCACCCTCCCGCATGTACAAGTCACTGTGGTTGAAACCACTTTTTGTTGGTTCTGTTTCAAGGAGATACGAATCAACCACCCCGTGTGGGAACAGATTAGTGGCTTTTCTGATTAAGATACAGCCTAAACCTTCAGCTTTAGAGGGATCTGCTAAATGGGGTGCCCCTTTGCTGGGTTCCATGTGAATTGCACTAACCCGTTTTCAAAATTATGCACCCACCAAACCTGCCGCCTGATTCGAATCCCCTGATTCCTGGAAGCCTTATCGGCCTGCGACCGATGTCACCCGAAGAAGTTTCCCCCCTGAGTGCCCCCCCCTTTCCAGCAGGTGAAAGATGTGCGTTTGTCAGTTTATTGCCTGCCTCTTTGCCACAGATCCCGCTTGATGATATGTTTTTCCTCCACAATCCACAAGACAAAGGAAACTCAGTGATGTCATTTTCCATACTGTGGATGGACGAAATCCTGCACCACATAAGAGACCCTGGAAGAATTCGATGCCCCTGCACCTACCAACAAACGATGGTTTCAACCATTTTGCTTCGATGCCCCGTGCTTCTCCCTACCAACAGCGGGTCCCCCCCTGCCGGATCCGCGCCGATCCGCTCGGATCAGGAGGACTTCTACCGCTTCGGGGTGGACTCCGCCACCACGGCGCGGATCATGCGGAAGTGCCACGCGCGGCGACCCACGGGCGACTTGGGGCGGCGGGTTCGAGGCACGTGGATTCGTTCGGAGGAGCGGGGCTGGGCAAAAAAAGGCCTGGGTGGAAGCAGACAACTTTCGGGGTCTGGCGTTTTTCGCACGGCCGACCCGAGGCCGCCACGAACGCCAGCCCGGACCAAGAGATGCCGGTGATGCGCCTCTTCGAGGAGACGACGTCGGGCGGATTTTCAGATTCTAGGTCCAACTCAAATAATAGCCCGCTACATATGCCATTTGTATATTACAACCCTTGAAAAGCTGCATCAAAAAGCGAACGGTTTGTAGTAGCGCCAACTTTTATCATGTCTTTTTATGGTTGGGGGGGGTTCCCCTACTAAAACAGACTACAGAAAATGGGTACCCTTATTGTATCCTCTCTACTGGAGGACCTAGCATGTGTCTTGTTTTTTTTTTTTGGGGGGGGGGGAGTTGTGAGGTGGCTTAAGGGGGTGCCTTTAAAGAATGATAAATCCACGTGATGTCACCCTCGAAGCTTTACAGGAAAGCGAGGGGGTTCCCTCAAAGAAAGAGACACCCACGTGATTTCACCCTCGAATTCTTCTGTTGTTTGGTGGGGGGGGGGGCCGCCAAGGAAAAGAACCGACACAAAGAAGGGGGTCTGTTTTTTTGCCCTGGTCACCGGACAACTGGGGAAAGGTAAATGCTAGTATGGAAAGGGTGCGGTACCCACAACAATCAGATCTATATATTTGACCTTTAAGGGCGCCAGGGAAAACATGCGGGCCTCAACGTGGGTCTGACCATGTGCTGGTTTGGAGAGTCGGGTGGTTAGGAGACCTTTCGCAGATTTGCTCTGAGCCTTTAAGGCCACACTTTTTGGTCACCGCTGTAATTTCCCATGGTCCAAAAGTGATTAATCCAAAAGTAAAATTAAAGTCCAGGAAACCAGAGAGTGAGTAGGGCAAGCATGGCGGGTTGTCCTTTTGGGTACCAACGTGAAACCAACCTGAAAAGCGTACCCTTTTCAAACAAGACAAACAACACAGACCCACAAAAATCGAATGGGGTTTGGGGGGCACCAGGCAATACTGCCCTGCTTCGACGCTCATTGGGTTGCCGCATTGCCGCGACTTCAAGAATCATGGAGTCCCAAGGGGCGCGAATTGGGGAGGGGAGAGGTCAGGTCCCCTTCAACCACTGCAACGTGCAATCTCGCCTCCAAGATACCCCTGGACCACCTTGCCACACACCCCGTCACGCAACAAACGCAAAAATGGGTGTGAAAAAGGCGGCGTAAGCAAGTACCCACAGCCCCGAAGGTTGCCGTCACCCCCTTAGGTCCAGGTTTAGGGCTCAGGTTTAGGGTAGGGTTTAGGTGAGATTCAGGGCTGAGGTTTGGGGTACAGGTTTAGGGTTCAGGTTTTGGGTCCAGGCGTAGGGGTGTAAGATTCGGGTCTTCCCCGCAGCCCAGGTGCTGGCGCATGTCTTAGTGAGGTTCGGCTGGCCCAATTGACCTCTTTGTAGGGCTCATCCTTGGCTCATCCTTGGCTTATCCTTGGCCTATCCTTGGCTTATCCTGGGGTGTATCCCCCCCATAGCCCGGCAAGGGGTCCATGAAGAAGTGGCAAGCCTGAAAGGGGGAACCAAAGAGTTTCGACCATCCGCCTCCCTCCAATTGGTGGTTTGGATTGGCGGTTTGGGAGTTAGGGCTGGTTTCCAGGACCACGAATTGGTTGCCAATTTCGATGGGGAGTCAGCAATTATTTTGACACCCTGAAATATCACGCATCCGGACCTTTCTTCTGGGGTCGAGTCCCCGAATTCAGCCTCCAGGAGTTCCAGTCTTCGGTGCAAGACACGTGCCACGTGCTAGATCTGGCCCCTCGGATGGGGGCAGGGGGTGACACGAGCAGTCAAGCAAACAAGCAAGCAAGCAAGCAAGAAAGCAAACAAGCAGGCACGGAAGCAAGCAAGCATGCACGCATTCATGTAAGAAAGCAAGCAAACACGCAAGCACGCATGCAAGCACGCAAACACGCAAGCGAGCGAGACGAGCAAGCGAGCGAGACGAGCAAGCGAGCCAGCCAGCCAGCCAGCCAGCCAGCCATCAAGCAAACAAGCAAGCAAGCAAGCTGGCTTCAAGGGAAACCAAACAGAATCCACCCAGTTGAAGGGTTTTTCAGTTAAAAGGCGTTTCTTGTTTGGGGGATTTCCCAAACGCTTGTGGGTGTTGCTGTTGGGCTTCCTTTGGACGCACCCAAAAACCGAGTGCCAACTCCAAAAAGCCTCATTTGTCTACAGGCATCCTTGTTTTAAAAAAGCCACCCAAAACCCTGGGGAAACAGCTGGTATTTGAAAAGAACGATGGTCGAAAAGAATGGAAAAGGGATCAACCCCTAGAATGCGACTCACACCAATGGGATCCCATTTTGGGGAAGGTGCACCACCCATTTTGGTCTATTTTAGTGGTTGGATTGGGATTTTGACCCGTGGAGCGATACGCCGAGACCGGGGAAGAGCTCAAGACCTGGGTGGCCGAGCGGCGGGTGGACATGGCCAACGTCGAGCCGCTCGCAGCCATTTCCTTCGGGGGGGGGCTGCGGCTGCGGGGCCCGTTTCCTGAAATGGGTATGGGTCAAAATGGGTGTGGGTCAATATTAAATCACTAGGAATTGGACCGCTTTCTATTTGTCACGGTTCCATGTTGAGTACCTATGTTTGACCCACAGCCAAATAAAGCCACCAGGAATTGGACCGCAGGTTTTCGTCCATGTTTTTTCATTTACCTGAGTTCCATTTTGGGGTTACCCTATTTTGGACCCACAACCAAATTGGGGGCAATCGTTTCAGCCATTTCCCTTGAGAGGCGAAAAGACGTTGGGACTCGGTTCAAGGGATCCGACAACTGAGCAACTGTTGGAGTTGGGGGAAACAAATCGTGACCTGCTGTAAAATTGGGGGAGCCTCTTTGGGGCGATCTAAGCATCTGCAGAAAGGGTTCTAAGTGTTCGAGAAACACTGCCACTTTGTTTTGTTGCTAACTTGTGATGTTTTTCACGCTCACCCCCCTCAGCCTTTTGGCTGTGGGCTAACAAAACAACAGCCGGGGGTTCAACAAAGCCAAGCGTCTCCTTGGGCATACGGCTGCAACCAGCCAATATGTCACTTGTTCATCCCTTACTTAGGAGGGCCTGGACGATGGATATACCCCCTTTCCAACATGGAAGCGTCTTTTGTGAGGGTATCACCTTCTTGTGGCTTTGACGACAGGCGCTCCAAAAGGCCCTTGTCCGCCTCTGTGATTGGAAAGCGGGTCACCCATTTCGGTGTGTCTCTCTTTTTTTTCTCGAGTCTTTTTTTTGTGGTTTTTGCTCTTCTCCGGAGAAAAAAAGGGACGCCACCCATTCGTAGCTTTTGGTTTGCGGGGGGGGGAACACACATTGGTTTGCTTGTTTGCCTGTTTCTACAGCTGTTGCCTTGCAGCTGTTTTGTTTGCTTTTTTGTTGGTTGTTGCTTTGCAGTTTTTGTTTGTTTGCTCGTTTCTTTGCGGAAGCCACCCATTGAACATCGGGACGCCGCGGCTTCGGCGTCCGCTTCCCGCGGAGCAAATCGCCCAATCCGAGACCGCGGCAGAGAAAGCTGGAGGTGCTCTCGCGCCCGGGGCGCCCAACCGGCGGGGTAGCGGTGTGCGCCCGCGCCGGTTTTTTTTTTTTTTTGGGGGGGGGGTTGGGTTTTTGGGTTTCGGGTTTTTGGAGTTTGGGTTTTTGGGCTTGGGGGGTTTTATTTGGGTTTACGGTTGGGAAAGCGTTTTTGGCTGGGTTTGGGTTTTGGGGTTTTTGGACACACAAGACTCAATCTTGCAACGCGAATCGATCGGACAGCAGCTTTTTGTTTCCTCTTTTTGGCCCATGTTTGGTCACGGCCGCTCCAAAGGTGATCACCTTCTATTTCTGGCTCCTATGGGCAACTGAGAGACAAAGGTTGCCAGTTCAAGCAAAACAGGTTCAAGCAGGTTTTGAGGAGGGAGGGGTGCGACCAACCCTAGGTCGCACGTCGACAAAAACACGCCCCACCGCCAGGCGTGCGCACTGTACTTTTTATTATTATTATAAAATATATATATATATATATGACCATATATATATATACCTGCGCTTGTTTTGCCTTTTGGTTTATGGGCAGGGGGAACAAAAGCTGGGCTTGTCACACTGACCCCCCAAAGGCAAATGGGCCCTTTGCATCTGGGAGTTTTTGACCCTATTTGGTATCACCTTCAGAATGTTTGCCGATTGGCCAAAGTGTTCGGGTTTTCGTGGTGTCTTTTTGACCAGTCACGCGGGGCTTGTCGCACTTGATCTGGCTGGTGATTCGCACCTGCTAGCCACACGCCCATCGGAATGAAGCAACCCACTTGATGTCGGGCGATTCGATATGGGTCACACTTAAATCACCAGGAATTAGTCCATGTTTCCATTTACCAGGGCCACCCATTTTGGGGTTACCCTATTTTTGACCCACATCCATATTGGGGGGGAGGGGGTGGAACGGAGTTGGTGCCGAGGCGCCCTGGAGCCTGCCGAGCCCATGTTCAGCCTGGAAACGCTGCTCGGTTCAGGGAGTCAAAAAACGGGGGCTTCGATCAGTAAAAATTGTAGATGGGGGGACGTCTCAAAGTGGGAAACGGGACGTCCTTGCCGGGCCAATTGAAACTGGAGTGCGGGGAGGGGGTGATCCATGTGTGGTTCCATTTTCCCTTTTGCGGGGAATACTAGAGAAGTGGAAGTGAGGGAACCCCGCACTGAGGACAAGGTTGCCCTTCTCAGTGTTCGTACAAGAGACCAAAGCAGAACGGATAGAATAGCGGCGCAAGGTTTCTGTGGTGACCTGTCATCCGGGCCCAAAATTGAGGGCGTTTGTGTGTGTGTGTGTGTGTTTTTGATGGGAACCTTTTGGTGGTTTTAAAAGAACACCTAAAGAGCACCACCATTTTGGGAGGTCCCCTCAAAGACCCATGTTCTTGCACTTTACAAACATCCCCTTCCACTGAACCACCTTTGTTTGGCTGTTTCTCTTTTGGAGACCCCTTTTTGGTCGACAAGGGGAAACCAGAAGAGACACCCCTCCATTTGAAAGGCCCCCCCCCCAAAAGAAAACATGCACGCCCGTTTGTGAGGGGGAAAGGCACCAGTGTTGTTAGGGGGTGCTAGGGGCGGTGTCCCAAAGCACTCGCCGACGGTGTTTGACAAGAGCTACAAAAACCGAAAGGGGTTGCTTGGAGTCTCAAACGCTACAGGAACCCCTGCAAGCATGGCAAAGCCCTGGCCTATGCGCCAGTAATCCTTGCGTGGGCCCCACTAATATGCCTTTACAATATTGGCATGTAATTGGGACAACTACTTTGTAGAACTTCTAGAGGGTCCAGGAAGTTCAAACTGTTGTTTCCCTGGCATTTGGACGGTGTCGGGGTCTTGTATCATGCACGGACTTTCTGTCGGTGGCACCCTCTAGTCCAAGAAAAACAGGGGTACTCGCTTCATGGGTGTCGGACAGCATTGCCGTGTTTCATGTTGATGGGTGCTGGGGGTTCTCAGTGGGTGTTTGGAGTTGTTCAACCCTTCAAACATCACCCAACCATGGCTTTGCGGTTGGCCTGTTTGAATAGGGGCAGCTGAATTTCAACAAATGAATTTTGCTGGTGCATGCCAATAAAGAAGCTTTTGCTTTGGAGATCCTTTCAAGGTGAACATCGAGATTGTTGGAAGATCTGCAGGAATTGTTGTGAAAGACATTCATGTCGGTTTGACAGCATGCGGGGCTGTAGTCTGGGTGGCCGGGTGGGTGCACTGTCCTCGCCTTGTGGCCTTTTTGGCTTGAGGCCACTCCCTCACTTGCACCTGCAGGTGGGGGTGACCGTTGCGCCCGTGCGCGCAGGACTCTTTCTAGTATCCGGACGGTTCCCTCTTGCTCAGGGAGTTGCCTCTGGCGCGCTACTGAGCTGGGGCTCTGTTTCTGGGTATTGGCATCAGAGATGCGGTGCTCATCCCGAATAACGCTTGGGACGGGATGGCGGCGGCGCTGAAAACACAGGACCCGCCAGATGCAACCCGAGAAGTCCAGCTGCAATGTGGACACCCCAGGCGCCTCTTCAGCACCTACGGCACCACCGCCACCAGCTGCGTCCGCCCATGCATTGGCAGGTACGAGGGAGCTCAAGCTATCGCAGGTGGTCGACCAGACGCTTGACGCCAAGGTCAAAGCCTTGAGCCCCACCGAAATCCGTGATATGTTCACCCAATACAAGACAAAGTTCGGGGATGCTCCAAACAGAGCCAACGGAAGACCAGCCGGAAGCCGTGAGGCATGGATCAACCTGTGCATTGACCTCTCAGTGGACCCTATGGTCTGCACATCCCTTTCAGGCGCTCACGCTCAACCCTGTGATGGGCGGGTGGCGCAAGAAGGCTGGACCGCTGGTTCCAGATCTTTTGGGTGGTGAGGACTACGTTTGTGCTTCTCGAGTCTCTGTCGGTGGAGCGGTTGGGCACATTCGCAGGACTTGAGATCTTTGCACGCTTGCTTCGGAGCACAAAATACCGAGTTTTGGGGCAAAGAGTGTTGGCGGCCCGGGGCCTGGGGCAGATCCTTCTTCTTCAAAGACGGGCGCCAAGCGCTAGAAGAGGTATGCGGGTGATGACAACTCCAAGTAAAACAACAAGGAGAAGACCAACCGACACAACAAGCGTGGCGCCGTGATCTGCAAGGCGTTCCAATCATGCAAATGCGGGGTCCCAAAGCTCCAGTCGTGCTGCGCGTGCAACCGCGGCCATCAGTGCAATTGCTGCTGGGGCTCGCGCCAGATGCCTGACGCTGGGAAAACTGGCAGAAGGTGGGCGCGGCGGTACTCTGGTGGGTGTGGGTGGCTTGGTGGTTCCGTTACATGAAGGCCCCGGCCATGCGCCCCAGGCCATAGGCAGTGCCTCCTGATCCACGAGCATACAGGCTTCAGCGCGATGGCCAAGACCCCGACTTGAGCCAAGCGTTGAGCTTGGCAAGAGATTTGAGGGTGTGCAATGAAACTGTTGCTGAAACGACCAAAGGGCACATGCAGTCTATAGGGCAAGGTTTCAGAGCCTATTTGCCCTCACGCAGCGCCGTCATGGGTGTCGGTTGGGTATGGGTCAAATTTCACCCATGCCAGCGACGCCCGATGTGGATGTTCGCAGGGGGACCAACGGAACTTCAACCCCAGCGCATGCCAACTGGTCGCTTGAAAAGCAGGTTGGAAAAACACTGGCGCCCAGTCACGAGACAGTCAGACTGTGGTGAGTGCTCCAGAGGTGCTGCAGCCTGCACGCACAACTGAGTGACGGGTGGAGGCATAGCGTGTGCCCCAAGCAGCTGTCGTAAAAGACACTCATGTCGGTTTGACAACACGGGGCTGTAGTCTGCGTGGCAGGGCGGGCGCAGTCGGTCAAACGGAAGCCAAGTGCGGAAGCGCTGCAGCCTGCACTCACGACTTTGTGATATAAACAGATGGCTGGAGGGCCGGGCATAGGTTGTCGGTTTCGGGAGGTGCTGGGCTTGCGGGCTTCTTTGCAGTGGGGGGGGGGGTGGGGTTGGCTGCCAGTGTCACTTCAGAAAGCAGTAGAACAATGTCTGAGAAGACAAAGACCCCATGTTTTGCTCCTATAATTTGGCTATGGAATTCGGGGCTCAATTCAGCGCAGCCTTCTGATTCGCTAGTGCGTCGGGAGCCGAGGCATTGGGAAGAGCCCCCCCCAGCATTGGAGGCGGGAAGGGGAGCGGGAAAAAGTCGCTGGAGCCGCACACAGGCAGCGTCTGTTGGTTGAATCCATCCATCCATCCCGTCCGTCCGTTTGTTAGTGTTGCCCGGGCAGAAGTTGTGTCAGGGTTTGTTCGGTGTCCTTCACGACTTATTCGTCCCTCGGAGATTTCGGAGCACTGATTCGCCATTCTTGTTCCTCTGCTGAACTCTGGCGATGCTTGAAAAAGAGAGGGGAGGGGTTCATACATGGGTGTGTATTTGTTTCAGGGTACCTGTTGTGCGGTTTCAATGGGGGGTTCCCAAAGGAACCCCACCCAACAACTTTTGGGGGTGCCCCCAAAAAAAGACGCCCATACCGTAGATGGCCGAAATCCATCTCGCACCAAAAAACCAAGGAATGATTTTGATTCCCCCGGTAAATACGCGGACTCTTCGATTCGCGGGGCGGCCAAAAAGAGATCCGCTTCCAAATTCCAGGGCCCCGCGGCTGGCCAAGCCATCGCGGACGGGCCTCGCTGAAGGCGCCATTAGGGCGCGAGGGACGGACGGAACCAACAGGGACCCCCCCCACAAAGGCCCTTCGGAAGTTTTTTTTGAGATGTCTTCTAGGAACTCCACACACACACACAAAAAAATTACTTGCAACAAAGAACATAAAATCGACCGATCGACATGACCCAAAATCGTTCCCTCCTTGGTTTCCAATTTCAGTGGCCCCAAAATGTGATCGATCACCTTTGGTTGCTGGCTCCCTAAGGGGCAACTCACTTGCATCCTGTGAGGGCCAATGTAGACTTTCGTAGGTGTCAGGTTTGGAGATTACTCCAGTGGGACCAAAAACATGAATATGCATCTGAACCGTTCTGCACAAAAACCACAACCTGTGTCAGGAATGCAAGCAATAGACGAGTCGTTTCTTTCTTCCAAGCGGACGAGGCCACCAGCGTTTGAGTTGCAAAGCGGTGTTTGAGGGCGGCGAGGGCTTCGCGCGGCTGTTCGCCCATGATCAGTGCCATTCGGAGATCATATTGGATGCCGCCGTGTTCCATTCCCCATGTTGGCCGTGGTTCTCCCGTGTTTCCACTAGGAAAGTAGGAAAGGCAAGCCGAAGGGCCGCTCAAATCTTGTGAAATTCACCAAGTTCTGCTTCCACATGTTCGCTTGCACCGGTGCAGCTGTTTTTTGTTGCAGGGTCCGACTTTTGTTCTTCAAGTTTCTCTTCAAGCTGTTAAACAATGAAAAGAGGTTATGTCCTTTGGAGTCCCTTCCCCCGGGCCACATGTTCTTGAGTGCCGATTGGAGCAGCCCTGCCTTTTCCTTTGGGCCCGGAGCGCCCTATGAAACTCGGCCAGGCGACGCGGGAATTTGCTTGCGAAGCCATGCACGACCGAAAAATGCGATTGCCCGCGTGCGTGTTTGTTGCCGAAGGTCAGTGGTGTCAAGCATCGTGCGCCGAACTGAAAGGACACCAAGTTGATTCTGGGTGAAAGGCAGACTTGCACACCTAGTGAGCCACAATCACACATGCAAGGGAAGGTTAGTAGGGGGCAGTCAACCAAAACTGACTCAAGTGCGCACTGGGATCCCCGTTTTCTCAGTGATCCTTCTCTTCGGAAAATGACCCAAGATCGAAAATTTGCGGACTGGCTTTCGCGGGCGCAAGAGAAGCAATGTACGGAGGGGGGTTTTCATGTTTTCTCCATTCGGGGTGGGGATTTCAACAAATGTTGTCCTCAGTTGTTCAGTGGCACCCTTTTCCCATTTGTTTTGGTGGCTGCCCCACTAAAAATGGTCTTCCCAGAAAAGGGTTCCTTTTTTTCCTGGGTCACTGAACAACTGAGACTGTCCTTGTCCTTTTCCTCGTTCCCTCTGTCTTTGTGCTGCAACAGAAGGACGCCCGTGCGCTCGAGGCGCAGATCCGCAGTCCTGAAAGTGGGTTCGGCGTGAAGCGGTTGAAAGCTGTCCACGGCCATTGGGAGTTCTTGCAGCCAGGGAATTCCTTTCTTTGGGGGGGCAGGGGGGAGGTTTCCTTGAACATTGTGCAAGAGGGTGCCCCCTTTTGTCACCTTCTGTTTTTATCAAGAGCTCCCCTTAACTTGGCAAAAGATGATCTTGAATCCACAAGGAGGACTACCTGGAGTCTCCATGACCCTTCAAAAGTGGGGTCATGACCCCTTTATTTGGGTAGTGACCCCATTTTGTAAGGGTCATGGAGACTCCAGGTATGGGTGGCTCGTCTTTTTGCAAGCGTCCCTTGGGATGTGTTGATACTGGTCCAGCTCTTGGCTCGAGCCGCCCACCTCTGCGCCTCTCAGGTCGTGAGCCGATCGAGAGGCGACGTGTTGAACGGGAAATCAGACCGGAAAAAACAAAAAAAAAGCACCTTTTCGGATCCAGGAATTGTACCCTTATATCCATTCAAGAAAGCTTCGGGAAATTCTAGCGGATTTCCTCGTCAGGCCTTCGAATTTCTGAACAATTGCTGCCCTTAGGTGTCCTTTCTTGGTTGTTTTGATAGAAAATAGATGGCGGTGCCTGGTTGGGATGGACCTCCCTGGGGGAAAAAATACGGAACACACATTTGGGAACGACTTCACAGGACCTCACCCCAAATGGTGGTTTATGTGGGGAATATCCCTCCAACCACCTTATTTCAGGCTGGTGAAGTATTATAATTCACCCAGAAACCCGGGGCATGGCCAGCCCCGGGCGCTTTTTTGGGCTCGGCGCCCCGCGACCCGAAAACACGAAGACAAGACGAGAAGCTTCGGCCAGGCCATGGCGGATGCGGCGCTGGCGTCGGCGGAGGCCATCATGGCCGACGCCCAGGTGGGCCTTGGGAGAGGTGGCCTGAAATGGCCAGGGGACTGCAGGGAGGGTTTCCATTTAGCAGGGGTACTTTTTGGGCACCTATTTTGACCCGCAGCCAAATGCGCGTGAAGTTTACTTGGGGGCCCTTTGGTGGACATCAAAATGCTAGTGGGATTTCTGGTCCACTTTGGTGTTATCAAAATGCTAGTCTGATGTCTGTCCGCCACTTTTCAGGGAAGTCCAACCTTTAAAACTTCGTAGCCAAATGAAACCCGGCAACGGTAAAACCAGTGCGGGGCGGGGTAGGTGGTGCGGCCCCTATGTAGTTGTGGTGGAAAGCATTCCGTAGTCTGCACGCGGGGTGCTGCAAAGGATATTCCTCTGAGAATTTACTGAACTTTTATCATGCTCATAATGTTACATAGACAGCTACATAAACATACACTACACATTTAGAGATTCGCGGCCGTACACATATCAACATGCACTATAATACACTTACACATATGAGAGGGCATGCCGTGATATGCCCTTGCATACCGTTATAGCCCACCAAGGCACGTAATCCATAGCATCATACAATCCATGGTGTCACGCAACACGCATATATACATATAGATACACACATATACGCTCGCGTGTATCTATGTGAATTTCGTGGCACATTCGAATGCGCATACACCTTTACATGCAACATATGTACTGTCGATCCACTACAGAACCATACTTTTTACGCATACGCGTGTCAGTCGCAGGCATTGATTGTTGCACACCTGTGATTTATGGAGGTTGTGGCCGCATTAATATACGTTTTTAAATAACACACACATTTTGTTTAATACATAAAGGCAACATATGACTGGAACACTTGATTAAATAAACAACAAGTAAACACATACATGCATACATACTTATGTAGTCTATATTTATACATAATATATATATATATATACACATACATGTACATATGTGTGTTCACAGAAGACTGTGCTGACCATGGCTCAATTCGGGCCCCATTTGGCCAGGCCATGTACCCAGAGACGCCATCGGTGCAGGGGCCTCGGGCAGGAGGGTCAGTGGGATGGACCCAAGGTGGGGAGGGGGAGCTGGCCCTCATCAACTAGGTCCCGCAGTGGTGTGCTTCTCTCCCCTTTTTTGGGGGAGGGTTCCCCTACTAAAATAGACTACAGCTAAAAGTCGGTACCCTTATTCTAACCTCTCAAATCTGGAGGACCTAGTCAACCCTTCAATAAAACCAAATTCATGGCTTATCCTTGGCTTATCCTCGAGAAGCTTATCCTAGGGAGAGGTTCCCCCGCCAAGGGACTCAAACCGCCCGATCCATGTGCCGGTCAAAACACTTTGGTTCCTTGGGCTTACCAGGCCGGAGAAGGCAGCAGGATTCCGTTTTTTCTTTTTTTCTTCTTCTCTTTTTTTCTTCTTCTTGTTTTTTCTTCTTTCTTTTTTTTTCCTTTTTTTCTGGCGCTTGTGTTGGAGGGCAACCCGTACAGACAACTGCGTTTGCAGGGAGTTTGGAGAAAGGGGCGCTTTGGTTTAGGGTTTGCGTCTTAGACTCAGTCCCTATTTGAGCAAACGAAGGATCACGTACCTAACAGTGCTTGGGCATCCTCTTTACCGTTGTTTCATGATGCTTCTCCTTTTCTCCAGGGACACAACCAAGGCCCAGTGATTCGACATGAGGGGGCAGGTTGCTCCAAGCCAACCATGATCGAACCCTAGGCATTGGTTTCCTGTGCTTTCCTTTCAGGGACAAAGTTTCTACTCCGCTGATCGGGTCGCATGGGAGCAATTGTGGCGGGGCTGGCAACTCCTCACGTGGCTGCGCGGTTGGAGTTGGTACCCTTTGTGGGAGTTGGTGTGGGGAAACCAGGGGTGCAGAACCATCATTCCTGGAAGGTTCCCCTGCACCATATTTGGTGGTTTCTCTTCCCTCTACATTCACTCCTTGACTTCCTGGGCTTTCCTTTCATGGCAGTAAATACAAAGTTGTTGTGTTTCTTTGCCAAACCAGTCAGGAAGTTTGTATCTATGGAACCTTTAAGACTGGCCCCTATCATTTTACCATGATCAAAGTCACCCCCGTTCAGTGGTGGGTTAACGGGAAACAGCCCCCATTTTTGGACTTGGATAACCCCCAGCCTTGGGCAGCCAGAAAACACCGGGGAAAAACAACTTGATCAGATCAGAGGTCTGGAGACATTTTGTTTGTTTGGACCCCTTGCCCAGCGAGCTCATGGCCATTGAGGTCCGAGTCCCTTTCGGGCTTTGAGGCGCCCAAGACGCAGATGCTGGGAAGCTCATTGGTGCTCGGCTGGGGTTCTGGCGGGACAAGGAGGGGCCATGCGGCCCCGAAAAGAGGCTGTGGCGATCCCCAGGCCCCAAGGGAAACCTAAGAGAAACCCAAGGGAAACCCAAAAAAAACCTCGGTTTCTGGATCCTGTAAGCCTCGAACTAACTTCCCTGGCAACCCCCCAAAAAACACAGGCCGAGACAAATCCGCGAAAGGGGGAAAAAAAAAATCACGCGCCCCGGATCGGCCCTACCTTCAGGGGGAGGGGGAGTGGGTCCCACAACATTTGTCTAGCATAACTCCATAGGGAAACTGCAGCATAACCCCATAGAAAGGGAAACTGGCACCATACATGGAATTTCGTTTTTTTTTTTTTTTGACCTGCCCCTTTCAGGGTCTGCTTGTTGAACTTGGCTCGTGGCGTCCGAGGACGGCTGCTTCTGAGTTGATGAATGGACCTGTCAGATGAAAGGGCCGTTCATTTTTTGCCCAGCAGGTGGGGAGAGGTGGGGAGCAGTTGGATTTCTCCAACCTGACCTTTCTGGGCAAAAGGTCATATGAGAGTCATATGGGATTTGGGTTGAACTTGTTCTCATCTTTCTAGGCAAGAATTCCATCACTGCTCACTCCCAAGGTCAACTTTTACCTTTTGCCGACCGAAGTTGCGGCGTGAGTTGCGAGGTAGAACTCCCAGGTGAGCGTGGCATGCTGCATGACGGGCAGACGGCAGAAGTAGCGGGGCTCGTGCCTGCCTAGTTTGGGTCCTCGAATTGTCCATGGAAGATGATGTATGTATACATATATATATATATATAGATATATGTATATATATATATAGAGAGAGAGAGAGAGAAAGAGAGAGAGGGGGCAGGAGGCTAACTAAGAACTCGCCCATCACAACTTCATGGCATCCTGAGGGTGAGCTATCAGCAGCGGCAGCTCTACAGGAGCAAGGCTGGGACTTTCGGAGGTGGATGCCAGCAAGAAAGAGCAAGAGCTGATGTTTTAATGGCTGCTCCTCTTCAGTTGAACTTGGACCTCCCAAAACGCATCAAACACCAAAAACATTGCGGCACAGAAAGGGGCCTTTTCATTCTCCGTCACTGCACTCCATCTATGTTCAACCAAACGCTCAGCCGTGGCTAATGGGACACGCAAGAAAGTCTTGACCATAAAGCCGAGCGTGTTCGAGCACGGGCCCTCGTGGTTTCATGGCTTGGTTCAACCATCCCAAAGAGCGTCCCCTGGACACTGGTTTCTGTTTGGCCTAGGGAAGTGTATGGTTCCCTTCGGAGCGAGGGGTTCTGTCTGCCGGGGGTGCAACTTTGTTTTTCCGAACATGGAAATGACGCAAAGGCAGGCCCAGTGGGGTGTCGGCAAAAATTGGACCCCTGGACTGTGTCAAAAGGGAAAGCACATGGACATCAACCGCTGGCAAAGTTGGGTTTCGATTCAGTCTCCTTGAAAGATTTAACCAAAAGGAGGTGGTTTTAAACAAAGCAAACATGCGCCTGAACAAAAGGTAAGCGCCCGACCCTGGCGCCGCCCGTTTTTGTGGGAACCACTTTTGCCTCGAGCAGGGCACTTGAACAAACTTTTCGTGCCGAGTCAAGCGCCGATTTGGGTCCAACATGTCCAACCCATCACGACCCTGAGGCTTGTTGAAACAGTAGACCCCCAAGGAAACAGTAGCCATTTAGGGTAGAGTCCGAACTCGGGATTCATCTGGGTGTGAAAAAAACGCTTTCTGGCACCCTTCGGCCCTTTTGTCGAATCTGTTTCGATGAAGCCCAATTCTGAGCCGTGGGGTTGCTTCCTGATCCCCCCCAAAGCAGAGACAAAGGCTAGCCTGTTGGGACGTTATTTAGTAAGTGGACCAACATGTGAAAGCCAAAAGGTTAAACGGTCGGCTTTGGTCAAGTGAGGTTTGGTCACCCTCAGGTTGGTTTTCCAGAAGGACCTGTGCCATCTACGTTCCCTGGTGTAAGCTTCAACCTCAAGCCGCGCGCGAGGCCTCGGAGGCGTTGACCTTGGCCAAGGCGGGGGGATCTTTCTGACGGCTTTGGAGCGCGGCGGTGTGCAGTAGGGTCCTTCGCTGGAGGTAAAGCTGTTCTAAAAGGAGGCAGGTTGGGCATTTGTGTCCCAAAAGGGAGGGTTGGGCACTTGTTTTTTTTTTTGGTGTGGAGAGAGAGAAAGAGGAGAGGGTATCTCTTGGTGGTTCTGGGGGGAAGGAGGGAAGCACGCAGGGGCGCAACATTGTGGAGATGCTGGGCGGGCTTTCTTGGGGGGGTGCTTTTATGGCCACCACGGTTTCAGCGTTTTTTTTTTTTTCTCCAGCGGATGGGCAGATAAAGGGGTCGACTGACTGATGGCCAAGAAGATGCTTAGTTTTTTGAGGCGAAGAAACCACACTCCGCCATAGCCAAGAAATAGTTGGCAGTGAGTTCTCCCGAGAGCTGGGGTTCATGCCAGGGTGCCAAACATACAGGTTCCTTTCAAAAGGACTTGTAGCTAGGTTCGCCTGTTTGAGCGACCAACAGCAAGGCAGAACCATGGAAAGCCAAAAAGACAGCATCACCTGGACCTGGAAATGGAAGGCAAGCCGCTGGCAAAGAAGGCCAAACTCGGAAAGAAGAAGCAGAAGCAGGGTTGGGCCAAACATGCTTGCATATCCAGACGCCTGGCTCCCGTTAAAGGGAAATCCCAAAGCAGGCTGCATGAGCAATAATTCAACAGGCGGCTCGCCCTTGTCTTTGGTTGCCACTTTTCGGAGAGAAGGGAACTTTTCTCGGACTCCAAAGCGAAGAAGTCACGTTTGGCCTGGTTGACCCTAGCCCTAAAACCACCCAAAAACCGACCGCCCAAACACCGCCGCATCCGCCGCAACCTCCGCGCCTCCGCGCCCCGTGCGCTTCTTTTTGCACCAGGAGGCGCTGGTCTCCTTCCGCAGGGCCGGGGACAAGAAGAAGGTGGCGGCTCTCAAGGTGGCCGGCACCCCCGGGGGGGCTTCGGGCTCGTCGCCGAAACGAACGCGGGAGGTGGATGTTTTGTTTTCTTCTTTTTTTTCTTCCGGGTAGAGGCCGGCAGAGTTCGCCGAGAATAGTTGGTAGACGAAATATGGACCAGGACGGGGTCCTTTTTTTGTTGCGTCGACCCGGGGGCAGACTTAAAAATCAGGGGTTTCCTTTTGGGGGATAGTTAGCCCACCCCTGGGTTTGAGTCTGCCTTGGGGGTAGTCAAAAAGCGGAACCCTGGACCAGAATCTCAAAGACTGTGGACCCATGTCCTGGGGATTACTCACACGCACACCGAGGCCTTTCTCCACGATTGATTGCTTGTACATAGTGGTAAAGGAGGACACCTAGCTAAAACAGGTTGGGGCTTGCTTGGCCCTAAAGGCCCCAGAAAGAATCATTCAGGCGCCCTGTGATCGCTTGGGTTTTTGTTGATGGTGGGTAGCGGTGTTCCAAAAGATACCAAACCACAAGAGGCGCTTGTTTTTTGTTTTTAGGGGCCCCCAAAATGGCGCCACCGTTTTTGTTTGGTTCCCATTGACAAAACAAGGTACCCTCCAAAAAGACAGCAGCGGTAGAAAATTGACAGGGGGTTTCTGGGTTTTCCGTTTGGGCGGCCAGTTTGCTCCGGTGAAGACCCCGGTGGTTTCAGGTGAGTCAAATGGCCGAAGTGGGTTCCGACCGGCTGAACTGGATTTCTTCCAACTGGTGTCAGTTGTCGATTGATTCACCGGTGGAATTTCCTATTTGGTTCCCAAAAGGACACCCAGGGCCCGGGGCTCCAACTTGGCTTCCCCGTGAAAGGGTTACCTGTTTGGGAGTCTTAAAAAAAACACAGACCCATAAGACCTCCCACCAATTAACATAGAACCTGACGTACGTGACCCGCAAGGTAAAAACAGCGGCAGAAGTTACGGCGAGCGCAGCTGGGGAGTATAACGAGCTCACCATGGTAAAGATTCTGTACTTGGGGATCCCCTATTTCAGGTCTTGGAAAGTATAGTAAAGTTGCAGATATTCTTGGCCCCAACATGACCATGGGTGACTTTTCCCATTTATACAGGACATATCCATGTTTCTGGTGGTTTGCCCATGTTTCCCCTCAGGGTCATCCCATGTAATGGACCTTTTGATCGACCCCGACCCGCATATGGGTGTGGCTCAAAATTGAACTGGAGGGGTTACGCAGGTTTTGGTCCCTGTTTCCACTTGCCAGGGTTCCATTTCCGGTACACATGTTTGACCCGCAGCCGTATACATCCAGCCTTCATCTTCTGGCGGCTCGTGTGCTTCGCCGAGGTGGTGGACGCGAACATGGCGATGGACAAGACCTTCGATGCGATGATGGCGGCGGGTCGCTCAGTGCAGGTGTGTCGATGCCCAGGCCCCAGGGCTCCTTAAAAGATCTCCATGTTGCAACCAATTTGAAGCAGGGTTGTGGGAAATGGAATCCACTTCTGTGATACAACAAAAAGGGTCTCCCAAAGACTAAGACCCCATACAAAGGAGGAGATTCCCTTGTATCACTGAAGTGGGGATAAACCCCTTGATCCCACAACCCTGATTTGAAGCATGGCTTTTTCAAGACCAAAGTAAAAGGGACACCGCCAGAAAAATCATTTTGCAATGTTCAGGTGTTCTTCATGGAAGGATCCCTGCTAAAGAAGGGTGGGATAAACAACACAAGAGCCGTGGTCAAAAGTCAAAAGACCCCTTCACTTTGGGTTGACAGATGGTAATCCACCTGGTACTAAGGATGCTGAATAACATTACTTTCCTTTCCAGAGGCTGACAGGGTAGACCCCGGTGACAGGGTCCTTCGGCATGCAAAAGTTGATCCCCTGGCATGCAAGCATGTCCTTCGGCTGCAAGTGAGCCGAACGAAAAGCCATACCCATGCACCTTCCTTGTTTTCAATGTTGATTCCGCAAGCTTGTCGGATCTCATTCGAAGAAGCCAAAGCTTTCCACTGCTTTGAGTGCACCAAACATTTTAACAAGCATGTTGCACTCCTGGCGAGGATCTCACAACTCGTTGTTCAGGGATCAAAGTTAACCGGGCCATGTTCTTTGTTCCGTACTTCCAAGCAAGTCTGTGTGTTGAGTATGAAGGCAAGGCAACATGCGACGCCTGTCAACCTATTGTCTGCTTTTCACCCTTTTGGCCTTAGTTTCTTTTGGGTACTGGGATGGAACCATCGTATCACAGAGACAGCCTTGTCATATGAGTATGTCCGTTTGAGCAACCTCATCATGTATGGCCCGCTACAGTACATAAAACGCCTTTTGGAGGTGCAGCCCAAAGTTGTGAACACAAAGGATCCGGCCGAACCCTTCTGGTGCCCCACCCCTTAGGCGTTTTTTTTTCCCCTTCGGTTGGGACGGACTCATTTCAGATCCCAAGCCTCTCCCGTCGTTTGGTCCTGGGCCGGGTCTCTAGGCGAGTGATGAGCTCGCCATGATCAAGCGCACCAGCGACAAGCAGGCGCCGGGCGCCGGCGGCGCCGGCGAGCGAGCGGAGGTTCGCATGAGGCTCAGGAACCATAGGAACCATAGGTGTCCGTTTTTGGTTTGGTTGGAAAAGCAGAGGGCGAGTCCCGGTTTACCCCAGGGCCATCCTTTTTTTTTTAAACCAGAAAGGCCCCCTATGTCAGGAACCAACCCTGCGGGAGTCCAGGAACAAGACTCGACCCCAAAGGAGTCCAGGAAGAATTAAAACATGGCTGGTTGGTGCAGGAAGGCCGGGGTGCGGCCGCCGCCGATTTTTTTTGTTGTTTTTTGCTTGGTGGACCTGAACATCTCATTTTTGTTTCATGGTGGGTAGATCTTCTTATGCTTTTTCCTACCTGGGTGGATGGTCTCTTCGGGACCTTCCGGTCGCCCTCCCGCTCCAGGCGGAGGCGGAGGTCTCCGAGATGCTGGCCGAGGCTTGGGATCCGTCCGCGATCGGTGGGGCGTTTTGGGGAAGCTCGGTTGTGAGCGACTCGACGGGATCTGAGCTTTTGGTTTTCCCTTGTTGGGCCATTTTTTAGTAGAGGTCCTAAAAAAGTTAAGCTTTTCTTTCCAGGTCCTTTGGGCAAGTGAGGAAAGGCCAACTTTTTTGGTAGAGGTCCCAAAAGGTTGAGCTTTGCTTTCCAGGTGCCAAAAGGGCAAGTGAGGAAAGGGACACCTCTGGATGGACGAAATCCGTTTGCACCGCCTGAGAAGCCGTGGTTGAAACCATCGGTTGGAGTCATGGTCTGCGGGTTTCTCAATCGGTGCGAAATGGATTTCGCAACCATCCACAGTATGGCTTCGGTGCGTCCGGGTTGAAGCCATGGGTGAGGGAGAACCGGGAACTTCCAAAAACATTCCAAAAACTATCAGGGAAAGCATCACGGAACACCTAGGCATTCTGGGAAGGGTGGGGTATCTGCTCTCTCTTTTCCGCCCAAGTCAAGGAGCAGTCGTGGGGTGGAAATCGGGAAATCGGGGATGCTTCTTTGGGGCTTTGCATGAAAGCTCTTCACCAGTTCCATGTCCTCAAGATGTGCTAAAAAAACCTGTGGTCTGGGAGGGAATCTATTGCTGGCTATATCTTACCCTTGGTATGGTTGCGCAACACGTTGTTTTTGTGCAGCCCGCTACTAAAAATGAACAGAACCAAAAACCGAAATCAAAATAAGCACTTTCCGAGAAGGGTGAAGATGTTGTTTGTTCCTTTTGTGTGTTTTTTCCCAGGGGACGAAAAGGCAAATGGGACATGACCATTTTCATGATAGCAAACGGTGGCTTACTTGTTGCAAAGACCAACCTGGGTTTTGTGGTTCTTGTGCCCCCTTTGAAGGGATGCACCTCGAGAAGCCCGTTTCTCAGGGTCGAGAAGAGCAAAATCCAAGAATGGCAAGCAACCAGTTTGGGAGTTCACGGATTATTACTCTACGGCTCAGTTTGCAGACTTCAAAACCTTGAAATGTATTATATGTGGGTGCGGCTGAAAATTGAAAGAGCCAGGCTTACGCAGGTTTTAGTCTTCGGTTTCATTTACCAAGCTGCTATTATGGTACCTTCTGTTGAGCCACAGCCATGTGCGCATACTTTTGGTGAAGCCCCATTCAATGGGTTTTCGCGTCAGTCCAGTGAGGTCCGGACGGACCTGTCCAGGGGCCCCTTGCGCCAGGTGCAGATCTCCCGGGGGGACTCCGGCAGCGCCTCCCAGACGCTCAGCGACGCCCTGGTGCTGTACCGGGACCTCTCGCAGAAGGCGAGAGAAGCGGTTTCGCGCGTCGGATGCGATGCGAGGAAAGGCTTAAGGCGGGGCTGATGGGCTGGGGTCAAATAACATGTCTTGGTTCTGCGTCAAGAAGAAACCGGGTTGTTTGCCGGGGAGAAAAACAAAAAAAACAAAAAAGCCAACTCCATGGGGTGACTTTGATCATGGCAAAATCATGGGTCTAGATGGGCCAGCAGCTGAAAGTTGGTCCTGAGAACGGCGCGCTTCTCACTTGCCACAGGAAGGCCCCAAGAAGTGCAAGTGATCGGAATCCGCTGGCTGGAGTCCATTGAACAGGTGCCCTGAAAGGGGGGGAGCGGTTTTCCCTGGTATTTTTCGGGGCCAGACCATGTGCCCAAACTTCTGCAAAGAGGCTGGAAAGAAGGTTTGCCTGGACCAATTCCTTGTTTGGTTGTTGGTTTAACTGACAGACATTTGGCCATGGGTCAACAGCCCGTACCCCCAGTGAACATCCCAATCCCCACTAAAATAGACTAACATGGGTGGTGCACCTACCCCAAAATGGGATCCCATTGGTTTTGACCCACCATTTGTTTCTGCACCAATTCTTGACCACTCCGACTTAGAGGATGTGCATGCCCGGCCCAAGTTCGGCTGGTACGCAACCGAGGCGAAGAGCACCTGATTTTCCCTTGCTGCGGTGGATGCCAACTCAAGATTGCAAAGGAAAAAGGACACGCAAATTCCCAATCATTTCTTGGCGACTTCCCGGCCATTCCTTAGGTTTTCAGCTTAGGGTTGAGTGCTAGTTTCCGAAAAGCCCCGCCAAAAAGCTGCCGACTTCTTAGCCGGGATCGGATCCGGACACGGACAGCCCAGGTTGTCGGTTGGTGTTGTTCGCCTCTTTTGGGGCATGCGGGGCATGCGGCAGAAACTGCTCGAGCCTTTTTCCCTGCCCCTCGAGCGTATAGGTGTAGCATTTTTTCTTGATCCTTCGAGCGAAGCCGAGCCCATGGTTTTGCTGCTGAGCCACATTGCAAAGTCGAATATGGTAGGTACTGTCTTTGGTTCATCCGAAGTGTGTTTCGACTCGTGAACACGAGTGGAATCCAGCCGCATTTTTCAGGAGGACACCTGACTTTCCGGCGCTTCTGGATTTAGAACCCTTTGGGAAGATCATCATAACCCGGTAGACGCAAGGTGTTCAAAGGCTGTTTTGTCTAGACCTCAGCATTGTCCCAAACATGAAAAACACAACTTGTACGCCGGCTTTTTGATCAGAAGCAATTTGAAGAGTTTAGTCACTTTTGGCCCTTCTTCACCGCTGAGTAAACCCCGAAGGACAGGAGTTCCAACTAGACTTCCCCTTGTTCCGGGGCCAAACGCTGCCATGTGCAAAACAGGGCCCCTTTCGGTTTCCCTTTCAACCAAGCCCAGGATGGTACCCTTCGCCTCAAACATGACCCCCAGCCCTTTCTAGGCATCCCTAATTCTTTGTTCCTTCGGTTGCACATGATGGTTTCCTTTCGCCAGCTCCAAAAAGGAGTAGCTGGATCGATCCGCTGAGGGTTTCCCCTGAGACACCCGAACCCGCGCTCGGCGCAGCTCGACGCGGGCGCGGAAGTCGACAGGCCGGCGAGGCCAAGATGCTGCAGCTGCTGGCAGGGCTGAAGCTCCGGGGCAGCCGCACGAAGGCGGTTTTTGATCGTCGCGGGTTTGGTGCGAGCGTGGGGGGGGGGGGTTGCCCCGTTTTGTTTTTGGTTCCTTTCTTTTCTTTCTTGTTTTTCCCAGATTTTTGGCACCGGCTGCCATAAATATCGGATACCTCAACAAAAACGAGACACACGCACGCGCACACAGATACATTTCCCGCTGAATGATTTGCAGCCGTGGCTGGCACGACTTGAAGCAGGCTGTTTGTGCGAAGGGGAAGCTGAAATTTCATGAGCCCTATTTGGGTGCGTATTCTTCAGGTTATACCCTTTTGGAGGTTGGTTTGAAGGGACACCCAAAGGCAAGGCAACCTTACTACTTTCTCCTTCTGTTTTTTGTGTTTTTTTTTTTGGGGGGGGGGCGGGGGGCGGGGGGGGGGGGGTGCCCTTATTTTGAAACACACCCATTTCCATTTTAGTTGGTTGGTTTTTGGCGTCAGCTTTAGCCTTTCCAAGCTTTTGGACATGACGGTTTCAGACCCCACAAATTGGGCCTGGTCTCCTTTTGGCTCCCTGAGGTGGTCCAAAGTCAAGTGTTTACAAAGGAAGGCCCACAGCCACATGCAACATGTATGAACCAGCTCCAACTCTGCCCAAACGGATGTTTCCAAACATAAACCGACCTCCTCATGGCATCTGAGGGGAGAACGCGAATCCAGAATTAGGATGGTCTGGAATAAGTTGCTAACTGGTTTGTGACAGTGGTTTCCAGGATACCCCTTGTTCAAACCCCTTGGTATGGTGCGTGAACAGACACCAACGTGAAATCAGCAGGACGACTCGGCGAGTTTCGGCGATTTGGCCGCCATTCAGAAGTCCTGGCAGGTCTCTGTTTTCCCCTTTTACGCACCTTTTGGCGCCCTGGGTGCACCCGTGTGCGAACAACAAGCCTTTTGAGGGCATTGAGGTGTGGAAAAGTAGTGCCAAGCTCCCAGTTAAGCGACCCTTGATCTGATCTTGGGGTGTTCGAGAATGGCTGAAGTGGGGGATGAAGGATGATTCAGACTATATGGATACCCCCTAGTCTGTTCCCTTTCCCCCTCACCAACTTTGGGGGCAGGTCCCCCATTTGCCCCTTTCACATATATTTCTGCCTCATGTCTGTCTCCAGAGATCTGATGTGATCTGATCAATTTTCCCGCTGTTTTCTGGCTGCCCAAGGCTCTGCTCATGATTTTGACTGTTTCTGGGTGATCAAAGTCAGAAGGTTTGTAGGTGTTTCCCTTTAACCCACCACTGAACGGGGGTGACTTTGATGGTAAATGAATGAGGCCAGACGCTTTTTTGCACGGTTTAAGAGGGAAACAACAAAACCGAAACACCACTAGTTAAATGAATCCCCTTATTTGGGAGAAAACACCTCTGGGTATGGCTCAAAATTAAAGAGCTACGGTTACGCAGGTTTTAGCCTTCGGATCCATTTACCCAGGTGCCATTTTGGTACAGCCATACTTGAGCCACACTTTTTGAGCCATGGCTGTTACCACTTGGCTGTGGGTCAAAAATCGGTATCCAAAATGGAACCCTGGCAAATGGAAACATGGGCTAAAACCTGTGGTCCAATTCCTGTTATTTTAATTTTGACCCATACCAACATCCCCCAAAGGCTCACTGAAACCTGACTCGAGTCATAACCACGGTCTTGAAATGGTCGACCCAGAACCATGTACAGAATCAAGAAGGCGGCCTGTGGAGGGACGAAACCCTGCACCACCTGAACCTGGAATGATGTCTTTCCCTGGAATGATTTTTTTTGAGCCACAGCCTGGCAAATGAAAACATGGACTAAAACCTGTGGTCCCATTCCTGATGTTGTAATTTTCATTTTTTTTGAGGCGGCCGCCAGATTTGGAAAAATCTGCGGGTCTCCCCAAAGACACGACACCCCGCCCCCCCGGTTCGAGGAGGCGCTGAGCCTGGCGCAGCAGGCGGTGGGCCTCTACCAGGCGGGGGGTGATTGGCGAGGGCTGGGGTTCGAAGGCGCAGCGAGCTTTGGATAGCAGGGGAGCAGAAAGCAACTGAGCTTTTATTTTCCCTTTTTGCAAAGACAGAGCAAATAAAACATAATAGCTGTGTTTTTTTATTCTCCGTTTTGTTTTCAAATAAACACCTGGTTGGGCGTGTTTCTTTTTAACTAAAGCACATCCATGAGTTGTTTTTCATATAAAGAAGTATATTTTTTAATAATCCATGTTTGGTGGCAACCCCAAAGCTGATCAGTTTTATTTCCAGGTCTGAGGGCGAGTGAGGTAGTCAGGAGTGTCAATCCCTAACAAAGCTAGAACTTGGAAGATGTTCCAAGTTTGTTGGTGGAACCTGCATTTGTTGACGTGAACAGAACAAACTTCTCCAACAAAACCAAACATAGAACCTGCACAGGAAACGGTAACCGGTTCCAGCAAGACCGAATTGCCCTTTTCAGGGATCCATGTTTGTTGTTGGGAGTGTAGAAAGTGCCGAAAGGTTTTTCCCAGAGGGGTCCCTTGGTGCCCTTTCGGGGTAAAGGGTGTTAAAGCACCTTATAAGAAGTCGCAAGAGACGCTTGCGCAACAGTTTTGCACAGATCCAAACCGTGTAATCAATCGGCCCTGGTTGGGAGTGCTTTCACTTCGATCCACTTCCGTCACTAACTGGTTGGCGTGCCGTTAAAAAAATCAAGCAAGTGGGTCTGTTTGCAAATAGGGAGTCCCTGTTCGTTGGCGAAGGAACACCCAAGGAACAACCACTCAATTTGGGGGAGGGGGGGGGGGGGGCGGAAAGGCACAAACCCATATACCTGGAGTCTGCATGACCCTTTAAAAGGTCATGACCCCTTTATTTTGGATAGCGACCCCGTGTTATAAGAACTTGAGCCACAAAAGGGTCGCGACTCATTTATTCATTTTCCCATATGAAACCGCTTCGGGCGATCGCCGGGTGTATTTCAGCCGCTCGCGAAGCCAACACTTTTTCGGTGTCCAGGCAATGGGCGATGCGAAGGGCGAGGAGGCGTGCAAGCGCATCATCAACAGGCGGGAAGCGGCCGGTGACCAAATAGGAGGGCGGTTTTCCCTGTGGAGTTGCGCTTGCGGTTCAATCCATTTCCCCTTTTGCCGGGAGGGTAGCCAGGGGTCCCTGGTTCGGATGGGCTCTTGCAAAGCGGGGGGTCCAATGTACCTGGAAGGCTCAAGGACCAACACTAGGGCCCCTACCCTTCAGAAAGTTTAAGAGGGACCCTTCGATCAGACACCCTTCGAGAAGCTTCCTTGCGCCCCATTGCACCTTTGGCATTTTCCTCATAAGGGGCGCTTTTGCCTAAGGCGGGCTTGTCTTGTTGCAGGGTGTGCCGTGGCTAGTATGTGATCATGCAACCAGGGTAAGGACACTGTTGACCCACACCCACGTTGGTTCTGTTGCCAAGCAGGTCGCAAGTCGGGATTTCTAGCTCGTTCCTGTCAACCTACGACTCATGCAGGGCAGCAATCAGCCGCATGCCAAGGGTCTCTCAGGCAGGGCCCCAGTTTCCGAGTCCAGGTGCCCCAAGGTTTTTGGAACAACTCTGCTTGGAACCTATCTCACCCAAAAAAACCGGCCCCGGCAAAAAATCCACTGGAGTTCTTTGGGGGTTTGGCTCCATGGTTCATGGGGAAATGTGAGCCAAACCTGGAGCGCGACCTGAGAAAAAAGCGGCTTGCAGGGCCTACGCGGAGAGCGGTGACACGGACAAGGCGCCGGACCGCCCGGAGGCGCTCAAGGCCCTCGAGGCGAAGGGGTTCGGTCGCCAGACCTCCAATGGGGTGATTGATTGTTTGCGCCTTTTCTTGGGAGTTTAGGGCAGTTTGGGGAGTTTGGGGGGGGGGGTGTGGGGAGTGTCTAGAGGTTGGGGGGATTGGGGTGGTGTGGGGTGAGGGTGGGGTGTGGTGGGGTGGGGTGGGGTGGGGTGTGGGGGGTTTCTGGGCTTGCGGCTTGAGAGGTTTGAGGGGTTTTGGGGTTTTGGGGGTTTTAGGGTGTGGGGGGTGGTTTGTGAGTGTACTCGCAGGTGTTTCAACTTGCGTGCAGACGCAATATGTATGGCATGAGCTTGGCTGGACCAAAATGCTTTGCTTTTTCAACTTTGCTTTCATGGCGTGCGCTTCCAGGTAAGTTTTGCGTCTCTTGATAGCAGATATACCAGCATGTTAGCTCCGGAACATAATTCAGCTTCGTCCAGCGGGCCTGCGCCATGGATTACTTTGCCAGGGGGATCTCATGCGTCGAGGGTCTGCTTTGGCCAAAGGCCTTACCCTCGAGCGTCGGCTGGTTGGATCGCCCTCCCGGCGTATTTTGCAATATTTATTGCTAGCTTCATATTTTGCATTCTGTGCTTGGAGTGGCTATTCATATGGGCTCCATGAATGATGTTGATTTGTCATCCTCTTTTCGTAAGGCACGAACTCCTTCGCCGGGGCCAAAGAGTAGTTTTTAGCTTGTGGAGCTCCGAACACAAGCCACTCGCTTTGCTTGCAGCCACTCCCAAATGCGAACCGAGTCTGGGCGTGGAGGGTTTGGTGGAGGGTTGGGGTTTGGGTGTTGGCCATGTATTCCCAAAACGTCAGGCCCTTGATATTCGCCCCGCAACAAACTAAACTGGTTGGACCCGTTGTTTTCCGCGAGGTTTGCAGCACAGGCCTCGTTGAGCTTTGGGCAACAGGCGCTCTTCTTTCAGCAGGAGAGGTTGGGACCAAGGCCAGACCGCGCCAGAACCGAACCCCAAGCCACGCAGAGGCAAGGGCCAGAGCTCACGGCGAGCCCTTCGAGCTCTCTCCGGAGGTCGCAGGGCAGCTGCTGATTCGCATGCTAGAAGACCTAAGCCCGCTGATACTCCGTGGTGTTCCCAGGCTCATGCGCCTATATTCCGACGTGTGGAATGTGCGCGACGCTGTTCATATCTACATGCTCTCTCGCTTGGCTGGAGTGCAAGTTTTGACTGAGATTCTTGGAGATGAAACATACCCAGTCACTGTGGATGCGGCGACGAAGATGCGCGAAGAGTTGCTAAACTGTGGGCCCTCGTGGCTTCTATTTTCTAACAGTTTCTATTTTTCAATTGTTTTTGCAGCCGGACAATCAGTCATTTTTCAATTCTGGAGGGTATGCTGAGGGGAAAGTTGCGGATCTGGGTCTGAAAACAGACCCTTTTGCACATGTCCGGTCTTGTACGATGCTGGCCCAGCGCTTAGATATAGCGCATGAGAAGTGAGCAACACGCGTGCGTAGCGCCGCGTCAAGGAGACGACAGCGTGGACACGTGCTGGTTCATCGAAGATGGTTGTCCAAGACCATCTTTGCGAGTATATTTTCCACCGCGCGTCTGTGCTGCGCCAGTCCTTCATGTTCGGCGAGGCCTTGAAGGAACACTACAAGGCAGCTCAGCCTGCAGAGGTTCCTCTGCTGAGCCCGTTCGCAGCAAAAATGAGCGAAGCGCGAGCAGGCTCTTTTTTTGTCTAGATCTAGATTGCATCCTGGCTCGCAGGCCCGACGAGCAGCCCAAAAAAAAGGGCGAAGACAGGATGTCGCCTCGTGTCAAAGTGCCGTGCACAACCGACTTCAACCGACGGCCCATCGTGTGCCCTAAAAGATGGCAACCCCTTCTTGGAGCAACACCAGAAACTTGGCAGCGCCCTTCGCGTGATGCGTTAACTGATCGCCCAAAACCTGTTCGAGTCGACCCTTGAGCATGTGTTTTGGCACCCAGGAAAGTATGTCAAAATGGTCCGGCGCAATTATGAACTCCTGCCAGGGAGGTATGTTATTTACACTGGCGGCAACAACGTTGTTGGACATTTGAAGCACATCGGCTTTATCTCTCAATGGCGCCCAGATCTTATCAATCGGTACTCAATCTTTCGCTTGGAGGACAAGTCTTTGCGCCCTTTAACGTAGCTTTAGCCTAATGTTTGAGTTTTCGTTTTAAACAAGAAGATGCTGTAGTATTTACAGTTCGTGCTAGAGATGGTTGGCTTACAGTAGACCATGTCTAGCAGTGCATGTGGGTATGCCAAACACGCATGGTTCAGTCAATGTGCAAGGTCCTTTCCCAAAAGCTGGCCTCAAAAGAGCCTTGTTTTTTTTGCACATTCTTCCTTATTCGGATCTGAAAAGCTTCGTAGCACGAAATTGGTGGTCGCGACTCGTTAGGTGCAATTTTCCCAGCCTGGGGGGGGGAAGGGCCGTTTTGGGTTCGTGTGTGTGTGTGTGTGTGTTTTTGTTTTCTGGTGGGGGTGGTGGGTTTGTTTTTTGTTGAGCATTGAGGTGGGGTGGCCGGGGCCAGTTTGCGAAAACAAGGGCGACAAGGATTTTGTGTTGTTGTGGTGCAGGGACCTCTGGGAGCTTCCACAACATGAATTTTGATTGAAGAGGGTTGCTTGAAAATGGACACGGAAACACAGTTTCTTGTTCTCCAGACCCAGGAGAGTTTTCAGGCTTCCACGCGGCTTTTGCGGTGGAAAGGGTGCGATTTTTGGCCGAGCACGGCTGGATTGCATGTAGGGCACGGGAAGTTGCTTCGAGTGTAGTTTGGGCATGCGTTTTTTGCCGGTGCCCTTTTTGGTGGCCGAGAAATGCCAGAACGGAAAATGCCATGAAACCAGAAAGCTTCTATTTCAAGAGGCCACCTTTGAGTTAGTGACCAATGCAAAGACTACCGACAGACTTCCAACCATCTAATGGGCCTTGTTTTCAAGGAGCCCCCGAACCTGATGCGTACCACGACCGATTGTTTCGCTTCTTTTTGAAGGCCCGTGGTTTGGCCTTCCACCTGCTCTCCTTCTTCAAATCAGATAGTCCCCCCTTACCCACAAAAACCGCGTCGAAACGTCAAGCGTCACTTCGGACGCTTGGAACCTCTCAGTCCCGGCCTCGGATCGGTCGGTCGATGGGTCGCCGGCAGGACCTGGCGTCTGCCGTGGAGAACCAAGACAAGCGCCTTGGCCGCAGTTCAGCTCAAGCTTGCAAAATGTGATCGAGCAAACCAGAGGGCCACTTTAAGGACAGGCTGGACAAAAACAATATGGGCGTGGGTCAAGAGTATCAACCCGTTTTTGTGGGATAGCTAAATATTGACATGACCATTGTTTTGGAACCATTGGTACCCCATGTTTGACCCGTATGGTAGGTGGATAAAAATGCGCAAGGGGGTGTGCCCATTGGCAAGAAGTGTATCAAGCCCAACTTCCGAGCTTTGACGTTATTGGTTGCGCACCCACATGGACCAGAGCTGACGCCAAGACCATGTTTCGAAGATGCAAAAGAGGAGCCCGCGGAGAAACCGTTTGAGAGACTCCCAGCTGGAGGTTCATCAAAACGCGAGGCTCTTCGCCTCCAAATGGGGCCCCATTTCTCAGCGCGGGGGACCGATGGATCTGGATCGCGAGGAGCCTCTGGAAGAACGCCATCGTGAATTTGAATAAGAGCTCAGCCTACACGCAGCACGCGGGGGAGCCCGGGGAGACAGACTCAGAGGGCCGGCTTCGGGCGACAGAGACGTGGGATTGGCTCATAGAACTCCCCAAACCAGGGGTTCCCTCGTTTTCCCTTTGGTTCCCCTTTGGTTTCCATTCTTGTCTCCTTTGGTTGCGCTTTGGTTCCCCCTTGGTTTCCTTTTGGTTTCATTTCTGTTTTGTTGCAAGGCAGCGAAAAGATAGGCGCGGTGAGCTTGACCAAGGAGACAAACATCTCCAGTTAGGTGATGCTTCACAAAAGACCTCCCGATTCGGAAAATATGTCCCCCTTGGGTGATGTTCCAAGCACAACCTTCTGGCAAGGCGAATTAACTCACGGAAATCTACCAGTCACGTTCTAAACGAGCGCGAATCGAGGGAACCAACGTTTGGGAGTTTCTCAAAATGGATGGGTATTTCATCCGGGAGTTGAGGGGAACCCGTTGCCATTTCGGGGCCCGAATCCCTATTTTGAGAACCCGTCTATCATCTTTCCCACTTTGCAGTTGGCGTACGTGTCCCATCGGAACGTGGCCCGCCCGCAGCTTGCCCATCCAATGGCTTCCAACTCCCAAAGCCGATTTTCTCTACTGCTATTGGGTTGGATCTTTTTTTCTTCTTTTGTTTTTTCCGGAATTCCATCATATTTCCTTTTAGCCTCCAAAAAGTTTATCTTTTTGCTGCGGGATCTACAGCACCCAAGTTTTGGAGTCAGGACGTCCAGCAAATCTTCGGGGCGGCGCTCAAGAAGGAGCTGGTTGCACCAGAAAGCCTCCAAGAGAGGGGTCCAAACCGGTGCTCCTGGGGTGCGTTTTCGAACATAGGATACCCCCCAGGGCTGAACATGGGATACTTGGGTTGTTGTGAGGGAGTTGTTCTACGAGTTTTGGCGGGATTCCAAGTTCCACCTCGTTTCACAAGCCTGATTGCGACCAACAAGTCCACCTGGCCTCGAAGCAAATGCAGGGGTCTGAGCCATGATTTTGGGGTTTGAGACATGAACGTCCCTTGAGGGCCAGAATGTGTTTTGTTGACCACTTAAAGGCAAAAGAAAGGGGGGGCCCTCATTTCAGCTAGTGAACGACTTTGGGTTGACTCCCAGTTATCAACCATCATTCTCTGCAACTGCCTATGTTCCCGCGGGTTGGAGAGCCCATTTTCTGAGGATTCTGGAATGGAGCGGGGAGGGAAGTGCTGCACACAAAATGCCCTGTTGGCCGTTGACTTCTTGCAACGCGCAATCCAACGAGGGTATTTGTTCTCTCCCGATTCTACTGACGCTCCTTTTTGCGATGGGTTTGTCTCCATTTGGTTTCCTTTTGCAGTAACACAGATTGAGCCTCAAAAAGGTCAACTTTTGCCCAGTGGCGCCCTTTTTCATTTTGTTGGGGGAAGGGTTGCCTGGGAACGTTTGAACCACCCCCTTTTTTTTTAAACACCGCGCTCCTCTGTCAAGGGCTTGCATGATCAACCTTACTGTAAAACCACACGAACCCGCAGTAGCTCCCGTAGGACCATATGGGTCTGGAAAAGGGACATGGTTGTGGGAGAATGTGCTTTGAGGGCAATGCTGAGTGATAGTATTTGAACCCCCCTAAAAAAAGCAAAGTCATAAATTCCAGTGGGTGCAATCTCAGGGTGCAATACACAAGTCTTGGACTTGCCAAAATGGCCCTTTCCGACAACCATGTAGGTGGACAGGGGCAGCGGCAGAAGGAAAGTAGTCTCCAAAACCCTCCCTGTGAGCTTTGATGATTGCTGTGCTTTTTCAGGATGGCATATGTTTTGTTTGGACTGCTTTTGGTCATCTCCCAAGGGGCGTAATCCCATGCGGAGAAAAGAAACAAGCAAGGCCTTTGGGTTCCACGCTTTGGCACGCAGGACCGCCGGGCAGCGGCGGGGTTTCTGCAGCAGATGGGAGTCCGATCTACAGGCGGGAGCCACGAGCGGAAAGTTTCCTCGAGCGAGGTCCGGAGCCTCCACGAGTTGGCCATGGGTTGCATAACCTATGGCGAGCCATTTTGGGGATAAACATCCATTTGCCACCTGTTTTGATGTTCACCAGGGGTTTCCTGGGTTTTGACCCACAGCAAGTTGTTTTTTTGAAAGGCCGGCGTAGCCTTTTGGACGGTTTAGGTTTAGGATTTTGGTGTTGGTTGAGTATTGGTTGAGTATGGGTTGAGTGGTTGAGGGTTGACCGTCTCACATGTTTTGGGGAAGGCAGGCCGAAAGAAGTGGGGTGCGGGGGGGGCTACACGAACCCCCTGTAGCTGTTTCATGGATTTCTTTCCCAAAACAGCAACTATCCATTTTTTGTTCGGGCTTCCATTCTGGGGGTCCATGTTGATGTGGAGGGGGCACTCATTGAACTTTTCACATCTACACAGGCACACCAGGCGCTCACCCCATTTTCCCGTGTCCTTTATTTAGGGGAACCCCAGGGGCGTGTCCTTGTTTTGGAACTGGTTCTAAGTGAAGACGCAAAGGCAAGAAAGAAAGTTTTAAATTTTCAGAGCCAACCATCCTGGATCAGTTGCTGCTTTCTTTTTTCCATCCACTTTACCCCCAAAGACCAGCAACAGTGACCGAACAACAAAAAACGCAACTTGGCTACGGGTCCTGACCCGTCGACCCCGAGGCAGCGCGCCCGAGCTGGTCATTCGCGAGGTGACGCGGGCGGGGTGCTCAGGTTTCGGAAGGAAGCGTCAGCGCAGTCGTTTCGCGTCGTCCTTTGCAGGGCTGCAAAAAAGTCAAATGAAACGAGTCTTGGCTTCCATACAAAGGGTTGGTAAGATAAGGGCTTAAATCATGGCAGGGATGAATGATTATTCTAATTGTTCGGCCAGCCCCTGAAGGCCCCAAAGCAATGCTCCGACGCCCGAACCTCACTAAGACATGCGCCAGCACCTGGGCTGCGGGGAAGACCCGAATCTTACAATTACACCCCTACGCCTGGACCCAAAACCTGAGCCCTAAACCTGTACCCCAAACCTCAGCCCTGAATCTCACCTAAACCCTACCCTAAACCTGAGCCCTAAACCTGGACCTAAGGGGGTGACGGCAACCTTCGGGGCTGTGGGTACTTGCTTACGCCGCCTTTTTCACACCCATTTTTGCGTTTGTTACGTGACGGGGTGTGTGGCAAGGTGGTCCAGGGGTATCTTGGAGGCGAGATTGCACGTTGCAGTGGTTGAAGGGGACCTGACCTGCCAAGAGATGCTTGGCCAGGGAGAAATCAAATGTGGCACAGTATTGGGGTGGTGGTTTCCCACATGTTAGTCAAGGGTTATTAAAATGACACACCCTATTTGTCGGCCATGAGTTTTACAGTCAATCCTGGGTTCCCATTAGCTGCTGCGCCTTTTCAAGGGTAGGCCGGTGGCTTGTCAGACTTGGCGTATCATGCTTTTGGACCCATTGTGTCGTCAAAATGCTGGATCATGATGATCATGTCAGCACTGAGGGCATGAATTGGTTTGGACATATTTCAGCAAGGGGCCGGTTGGTTACTTCGGGTGGTGCTGTATCAGATATAGTCTTGCATTTGTTGTCTCGATGACAGTTCTGATTCCTGTCAAAGCCGATGGCATGCAATAATTCCTTCTGACCTGAACAATTTCAAGGGAAGTGACGATTCCCCAGCAGGGTACCAAACCACAGACTAGCCACTGCTGGGTTGGGGGCCTTGGGCAGGGTTTTGAGGAAGTTCCGGGCAGGTTTCGCGGGTTCATATTGCCACTCCGCGGTGGTGTTCAATGGAAACTAAATAGAAACCCACCGGGCTTGTTTCTGGGCAGGGGGTCATTGTGCTTCTTCGCCGTGCTTTTTAAGGGAACTAAATGGTGTTTTTGGGGCTGCCCAAATGACAATGGGCGTGGCCTTCGCGGCCTCACCCTTTTTGGGGGTGTTTTGTTTTGAAGAGAAACCCAGCGGAGAAAGAAGTCAATGTGCTGGGCCCCCCAGTGCGCCCACGCAAACCACACACAACAGGTGAAACCTGGCAACCAAACCAGGCCCAATGTGGCATCTGTGCTTTTCCGACGTGGCGCAACCCGAAGAAACGAAGAGGCATTCTAAAGTACTTTGGACCATCCAACGACAAAACCCCAACAACAAAAACCAATTCTGAAGTACATGAGCATCCAACAACAAACAAACAAAAGCCATTTGTATCGAGCCATGGGGTCCTTGAGAGCTCTGAGGTCTTCACCTACGTCGGCTTCCGGGTCGGGGGCCTCGGCTACGGCCCCCGGTTCCGATGCTTGCAGCCCACCCACGGGCTCATGGTGCAGGCGGGGACGTGGGGGAGGTGGGGGATGTGGGGCTCAAGGAGGTCCAGCTGAAACGCCAGTCTAGTTGCTTAAGACTATTTTTATGTTATTTTCCCTTGTTGGTTTTAAAGGGAATCATTTTGCCCTTTCCCCCCTGTTGGTTTTAAAGGGAATCTAAGAATCTATCACTACATTTTTTTCCCAGGGGGCTTAAGCAAATGGAAGTTGGGCCACAATCAAAGTAGATGAACGTTAGCAAGGGACACGCCAAACAACAAAAAGCGGCGCGGCCGCGTTCGAAAGTTCTTTACGTGGTTCTGGGTCCCTTTCAAGGGGGTCTCTGGGCCAGTCGGCTGGTCGGTTGGTTGGTCGGTTGGTGGGTTGGTTGTGCAAACGCATTTGACCACTTTGCGAACCGAGGGAATCGCTGATAGATCTGTGGGGGTGGGAATCCCAACTTGAGCAGTAACTCAATACCTGGGCTTTGGTGGCTTGGTTCGATTGCCGGACTTTCTTCCAGAGCCTGGAACCCCAAGAAGAACCTTGTGGAGATTCGAATCTCCTTTGGAGCCCCGAAACTCGGGGCTCCTCGCTGCTTTGCCTTTCAGGGCTGTTTGCCTTGCAGGGCTGTGGGGAATGACCACTTCTGCGATACAGCAGAAAAGGGCTTCCCAAAGACCAACCCCTCCAAGGGGGAGATTCCCAAAAGTATCACAGAAGTGGTTGGATAAGCCCTGAGTGATCCCACAACCCTCCAACCCTGTTGCGGGATAAGCCCCTTGATCCCCAACCCTCCAACCCTGTTGCCTTTGGTTTTTCCCTTTTTCCTCGCAATTGTGCGAATTTTTGCGGTGGGCCTAGGAAGGCCAAGGAAGGGGCTACCAAGCAAGCCTTTCAACTTGTCTTAAGTGTTGGATGGCTCAAGCAGATCTTGTAGGATGTTGTAGGTTTTAAAGGGACACTAGTAGGGACACCACCAGTCATCTTCCAAAAAGCAAGGAGCCATGTTCTCGTTCGCTGCTATTGTTAGCGGGGTTTATCTTAGTGGGATAGCAAGAAGATACACCTACGGAGGACAACTACACGGAGAGGACACAGATAAGTGGCAATGAGCAACATCGTTTTACAACGTGTGTGTATGTGTGTGCGTTTTGCTTGGAGTCTTCAACTTGCGATGACCTCGTGAAGGGATCCTATCGAGGTGTCCACGCCGGTGGTTGCCTCTTTGGGTCCCCAGAAGGGCCTCGAAACATCGCTGCCGCTGCCCACGTAAATGTCTTCGGGTCTTCGAACTGGGGACAATGGGAGTGTCTTTTTGACGAAGCCCCCCTTCTTAGGGTGGTTTCGAATGCAACGGATTCGGCTCTCCTTTTGTCTTTCCTTTAAACCAACCTAGTAGCCTGAAAACAGCTCAGGCCCTAGATGTTTCTTCGCCTTTTCGCGCATCGGCGCAGGGTGATCCCAACACCATGCACGCCGTTGGCTGTATGAAGATCGCGGAGGAGGCCTCGATCACCGTTTGTGGGCAGGTTTTCTCCTGCCACCTTTGAAACATGTGTTTGTTAAGGGCCTGAAGAATTGCACACATCATTTCCTTGCTGGTTCCCAGCTCATCGTCCGGTTCAACTTAGGTTTTTGAGCTTTTTTGTTGGTTTAGTGGTAGTTTCCGCTAAACCCACTAAAAGTTGAACTTTTAGCAGGGGATCTCAGGGCAGCCCAGTTTCCCTGTGATCATGACTTAATTTGGTTTTAAGTTTAACGCCCGTTTTCGTTGAATGAAGGACTCTCTTTTCCTTTGACGGCAGTCGCGACAAGATTTCACAAATCAACCAACAACAAAGGGGACATGAGACATCCACACTCGAATTTGGAGTCGAGGGAGAGGGCATGCTCCAAGGATTTACAAAGGATCTGCAGAAGAAGCAATCCTTCGGAATCTTGACTAAACAGTGTGTCTGTGGCTCAAACAACTTGTACCAAAATGGAACCCTGGTAAGTGGAACCCTGGACCAAACCCTGCGTAGCCCCTCCTGTTTAATTTTGAGCCAGACCCATCTGGGTGAATTATAATATTGCACCAGCCTGAAGTAGGTTGGAGGGAGGTTGTGATGGTTCACCCAGAAACATGGGCCATTCAACACAACGCAAGGTCAGCTTTGGAGAAAGTCTGCATGGGGACATGGACCATTTGAAAAAAAACAACAAAGTCAGCCTTGGGGCAAGCGAGTAGGAGGCGCTTCACGGCTCCGCCGACACATTTTCAAGATCATGAGGCAGCCTCTCCACACTGCTGCAAAAGCGATCCAGGGAGGAGTCGAGCCTCCATGATTTGCTTGTCAGCAGTTGCTGCAAAGACAACGCCTCACCCATAGGGCAACTGGATCTCTGGTTGATTGACTGGGCAAACGCGAATCGCCGCGCATGAACTGTCAACCCTTTCCTTTCAACTGGAGCAGTCTCAAAAACCACAAACCCAATCCCTTTACGGAAACCGCCAGTTGGATGCTTTTTCTTGGGGTCAGACTCCATTTGGTCATGGGTCAAAATCCCGTACCCCCAGTGAACATCCTCAATCCCCACACAGCCATTTCTCATTCCCTGCATCTCTCGCAAGTTCTTGCTTGGAGACATTCCGGACCCTCGGGGGAAACGCCTCCACTCCCATCTCCACGGCACAGGACCTAGCGGTCTATCAAAGCGAGTTCTAAGCGGCTGTGCATTATTTAAAGTTGCTACTCCTTCCATTTGCGTTTTTGCGCCCTGGAAAAAAGTAAGAACAATGTCCAGTAGTGATATTATAGCTTCCCGTGTTGACCAAGAGGGGAAAATCAAACATACTTGTAAGCATCTTAAGCAAACGGAAGGCTCCCTTTGTGTGGAGTTTCCCCCAAAAGGAAAACCGAACCGCGCCGTCCTGGGTCCCTTTGTCCGATTCCTAAAAAGGGAATCGAGCCTCCCAAATGGGGCCAGCTACCGTTTTCGGGGCAGGTCCTTCACAAAACACCAACTTAGCCTCACCCCCGACTGAGTGGGTTGGCCAAACAAGGAACCGAACTTAGTTCTAACCCGATCTTGCGTATCGCCTGTTGACTAGTCAAAAATTTGAAATTGACATTCCTCGGGGAAGAGCTACTCACTTCCTGAGTTCCTGGACTTTGGCCACTTTTTAGGTTCGGACCGTTTGAGTAGTAGATTCATGCCCTTCCCCTTTGAGAGGCTGTTTCCTTGCAAAACAGATCCTCCTACTGTGGGTGGACGAAATCCTGCGCCAAAAAAAGAACCCGTGGGAACCATTGTTTGTTGGTATCTATAGGGGTAATCATCATTCCAGGGTTTCTTAGGTGGTGCAGGATTTCGTCCATCCACAGTATGGCACTCCGAATGAGAATTTCGTTCCACGCGAAACCTTTCTTTCTGAAACCTGCTCAAAGTGAGTCGAGGCTTGTGGACAAGGCCGCTGGCATCCACTGGAAACTAAAACCCACGAGGTGTGTACGCCTTTTTTTTGGTGGTAGTCACCCCTTTTTGGTTGCCCAGAGGCTCGTGGCTTCGGCTTTCAATGGAAGACCCGACCCCTCCATTGGACACCCGGGGGTGGTTGGGGTCTCAAAACCAGGTTGTTTGAAGGCCCGAAATCAATCGAATTGGAGCCTCTGGGTGGGGCCAAAAGAAAACCGAGATCCATTTTATGTTCCTGCTGCTGGTGTTTTGGTTGTGCCCCTATTTGGTTAGCTTTTAAAGGGACCTCAAAGGAAAACCAACCGACTCTGCAACAAAGGCCCTGTTTTCTTCTGATTCCAACGGTGATCGAAGTGTTTGAGCCTTTGCCCTCGTGTGGAACATCGAGGGCACTGGCAAACCAGAAGCAAACGAAGACTACTGAATTCCGCTAAATGAGGTGGGATCCAAGTCCGGCAAACATGAAACCAACCTGACCCCGTGCACAGGTGCCCCCAACTATAGGGAAACCCCCCTTTGTCTCTACAGGGCAAAAGAACCAGGAAACAAGCACTCGCTGGGGTGCTTGCTGGATATTGTTGGGGGGGGGGGAATTGGAATCAGCCCCTGACGGCCATGATGTTACCTGGGAAGCAGTCGAGAAGCCTTTAGGTATGCGTGAAAACGAGGATTCGGACCGTCCAAAATTCTCCGGTGGTTTCCTTTTTTGACGCAGACCGTAATGCACCGCCCACGTGGTGCGCCGCGCCATGAGCGCAATCATGTGAGCTAAAGCAGACCTCAACAAACAATGGCTTCCCTTGGTTTCAAAGTGGTGCAGGATTTCGTCCATCCACAGTAGTGAGCTAAAGCAGACCTCAACAAACAATGGTTTCCCTTGGTTTCAAAGTGGTGCAGGATTTCGTCCATCCACAGTACCTATGAAACCATTGGTTTGCATGGAACCCACCAGCCCAGAGTTCGGAGCCATAGCTGCTTCCCTTTGTCAGGTTTTTCAGAAATGAAGGGATCTGAACGGGTCGCTGAACCGATGGCGTGTCTTTAGATGGGTAGACCCTCTTTCTGGTGGGTTGAAAGGGGAACCAAAGGACATCCACGATCTTTGGTGGTTTATCCCCTCTCAAGCGAGACACCCGATGAATCGGTTTCATTCTGGGCTAAGCAAAGTTCGTTGAGGCGGACGACTGGGAGAAGGAGCTGCAGTACCACCCCGGCATCCTGGACGGTTGCCTTCAGTCCCAAAGTGCGCTGGGATGAAAATTCCGAGCTCCGACGCGTGTGTGGCGGTTCAGGAAGGATCAAAGGACCACCTTTCTCTCCTATGGGGAGCAAAGCTTCTTCGTGAATCGGATGTGCCAGCTGAGGCTGCAGAAAAGAAGCGCCGGGCCGGGGTTCCAGGGTTCCTTTTGCCAAGGTAGACCTATTCGCAGGGTGTTTTCCCCGAAACCATCCGAGTCCCAGTGGAATGTCAACCCCAGAGTCGTCAACCTGGTTATTGCGGGGAAGGCGGGCGTTTCGCCCCAAAGTGAAGGTTCGTCCAAATGTTTGCTCTTGCTGGAACCCTGGGGTGCCACAAAGGGCCACTAGGACGCCAGGGGGATCCACAAATCTCAGATTTCACGACTCCTGTCAGGCCATGCACCGCCGCCGAGCTAATCCATGAGGGTTCCTTTGGGATCGCTCGCCGTCAGTTGGTCATAGGCCGCTTCCAAGAGCCCCGGTTTCTCCGTTCGGGTGGTGGAGGGGGGAGCTTCTCAGCGGGACAGTCTTAGCAAAGTTACTGCGAGAGGAGTTGCTCTGCCATTTTCGCATTGGCTAGTTGCCAAAGCCAAGCTTCGACCCTGTAGTTGTTTCTGTTGTTTAATGTGCTGACAGGATTCTTGCTCTTGTGCGGACCTTCTGATCCGCTTTTGCTCCCATGGATCTCGCAAGAGTCCGGTGGCAAGCTTCAGCTTTGCAAGTGAGCATGCCCTGCCGAGCTTCGCCCACTGCCGGCTTTCGCTTCCATCAAGTGAGCCGATGTCGGGAATGGGCGCGGCATGAAACGAACCACGTGGCTGTTCAAAGGCAACCTCATAAAAAGGGGCTTGCAACCTCAAGATGAAGGTCCTGGAGGTGCCTTATTTCACATTTCACCCAGATGCTGTGTTGAAGGAAGAGCCACGGAGACCCAGATGGAAGAGTTTAAGGCAAGCAAGCATGTCAATGATCTTTCCGGGAGTAGACTCCTTTTGCAGGTCTTCCATGTCGCTGCATTATTCTCGCTTTAGCTGTGGAAAGGGATCGCCTACTTTAGGTTGTGCTTGTCAGGTGCGCCACATCTCGGTGGGGGGGGGGGGGTGCAATCCGCTCCGCGCGGGGATTGCAATCGGATCACCGACTGATGAATCAGAAAGGCCGGGGCTGGTCCTGGGGTGTCCCATCCACACTTGTGAGTGTGTTTTCAAGGACACCCTTTTCACTGTTTGTTTTCCTTTTCACGTGCAACTGACAAAAGCACGACATGTTTGGGTCCTCAAGGCGACTGACATGGGTTTCCACTTGTTTGAGACACTGCCATTCATTTAAGAGCTGGGGGAGAAAGCGTGGTCACGAGGCAGGGGGAGAAAGCGTGGTCACGAGGCAGGTTTTTAGACATCACCTTCGGGACGCCCGCAATATGTCCGTTTCCTGGTGATGGTTGGTGCTGGTGTTTCTTGGACATCGAGTTGGAACCCTGCATGATACATGGGCAAGCGACTGCGAAGAGCTCCCGCGTGTTTGCGGCTCCTACAGCTCAAGTGGGAAAGTTGATTCTCACTTCAATGTCTGGGGGAATGGTCTGAGCTGTGTGAATGGTTCTGTGCCTGTTCAGTGCGGGCGGCTAACAAGAAAAACCAACATGCTCACAATGTGATGCCAGGCCCAAGCTTTGAGTGGTGCGCTCCTTTTCTGGTTTTAATTCAATTGGTTTACAAAGAACCCACAAATAAGCCGCTACCCTGATGCCAAAGGTTTCTTGGCCATCAATGGTTTGCCAGGGTAAAACTCGCACCCAGGAACATGTCCGTCCAAATGGACGAGATGCCCAGTGGTTTGGGTTGGGACACTTGGATGGACGAGACCCTGCGGCACCTTGAAACCATGGTTGAAACCATAACGTTTGGTATTTGAGTTGGGGAATCGAATTATTCCCTTGGTTTCCTGAACGGTGGCTTCAAAATGGGATTTTGCAGCCGCCGTATTTTTTCACTGAGGCTCAGCTTCCCTCCAATTGGTGGTTTGGTTTTTGTGGTTTGGTTGTCAGGGGCTAACTTCCCATTTGGTTTCAAAAGGAGCTGGGGTTCAAATCCCCAAGCCACCAATCCAAACCACCAATTGGCGCGTACCTGATAACTTGGTTGCTGTTGACCTCTACAAAAAGTTCAACTTATTCTCGGTCCAATTCGGAAAATCCAACCACCTGCCAATCAGAACCATCAAATAAGGGGAAAGGAACTGGGTTCAAATCCCCAAACCACCAATCCAAACCACCAGAACTTTCAGGAAGCTGAGGGGCGCTTGCCCTGAACCCTCTCGGGCGCACAACTTTCGCCAGGCGCGGGCGCCAGGCAGGGCGGGTGCGTCGGGAGCAGTGGAGCTCTCAAGTGAGCGGGCTTGCGCTTTCTTGAGCTTCCATTTGCTTAAGAATATTTGTTTTAGTTTCCGTTGGTTTCACAGGGAATCTATCACTACTGGAAAGTAATTAATTTTAAAGGGAGTGAGGGTACTCGTTTTAGCTTGGGTGAAAGGGAATCCCAACAGGGTCCAAGTCTCTTTTCGAGCACAGGTAATACATATGCTTGAGGTCTACCAAGCCCTCCCTGTGCCGCTTGAGGTCTGGGATGATCCGCTACCCCTGCCTTGAGCTGGGCCTCTCCTTTCATGGGGGGAAACCTTTTTTGTCAGATTCGCTGGGAGCAATGGATTTTTGAGCCATGAGATGACGGCAGTCGCGGTTTTGGTCATTATCAGCTTTCACGCCTGGAGGGAGGGTAACAGGGCAGCAATGAGCCCAACTTGGCTCCCCATTGCTTGCTTGCTTGCTTGCTTGCTTTGCTTTGCTTGCTTGCTTGCTTGCTTGCTTGCTTGCTTGCTTGCTTGCTTGCTTGCTTGCTTGCTTGCTTGCTTCCTTGCTTCCTTGCTTCCTTGCTTCCTTGCTTCCTTGCTTCCTTGCTTCCTTGCTTCCTTGCTTCCTTGCTTCCTTGCTTCCTTGCTTCCTTGCTTCCTTGCTTCCTTGCTTCCTTGCTTCTTGCTTCCTTGCTTCCTTGCTTCCTTGCTTCTTGCTTCCTTGCTTCCTTGCTTCCTTGCTTCTTGCTTCCTTGCTTCCTTGCTTCCTTGCTTCCTTGCTTCCTTGCTTCCTTGCTTCCTTGCTTCCTTGCTTCCTTGCTTCCTTGCTTCCTTGCTTCCTTGCTTCCTTGCTTCCTTGCTTCCTTGCTTCCTTGCTTCCTTGCTTCCTTGCTTCCTTGCTTCCTTGCTTCCTTGCTTCCTTGCTTCCTTGCTTCCTTGCTTCCTTCCTTCCTTCCTTCCTTCCTTCCTTCCTTCCTTCCTTTCTTCCTTCCTTCCTTCCTTCCTTCCTTGCTCGCTCCACAATTTCCAAGGGGCGCGACTCATGGTAGTCATAAAGTCATAGGGATGAGAATCCCACTTTGCTACAACAGGGTCTCCTCCATTTCTCTTTTTGGACCTCCAAAGGTGGCCTTCTTGTTTCAAGGTAAACCACCAGTAGACTGATCGACTTTTGATCTGGGAAATCCGCTGACCCTCTACAACCTCTCGCCGAACGCGATCGGGCGATCCCCCAACAAGCTGCCGAGCAGGAAGAGGCCGGCGACCGCAATGGCACTGGCAGCAGTTAGCTTGAAGGCTCAGGTCGATTGTAAGCAAAACAGGCGAGGTCGACTGCGCGTTGTGCTCAACCTCATGGCTGTTTTTTTGGGGTGTTCCCCAAAACAAGCCGGAATTCGTCAATACCAGGGTTGTGGGATCAAGGGGATACAAGGGAATCCCCCTTTATATGAAGAAAATAGTGTTTGGGAAGCCCTTTCTGGTGTATCACAGAAGTGGTCATTCCTCCCCACAGCCCTGGTCAATACTGTTTTTGTGCCGCTCTGCTTTCCTTTTGTCAACCTTGAGCAAAAGGATTCCTCCTTTCAGCCAGGGAGCATGTAAGTCAATACGGCTGTGTTTTAAAAGGGCCGGGTTCCAAGTATTTGCTATCCTTGGGCTCAAAGTAGAGACACGATTCATGCATCCGGATCCCCGCACGTACTGAAAAGTTGCAAGGTCGATTCATTCCCACCGGGGCCCTTAGACACGGAATTACCCTGTTGGTTGGAAGAGAAGGATTCTGCAACCAGCACGCTGCTGGTTGCAGTCTCGGTCAGTCAGAGCTTCTTGCTTGCTGCTCTTGAGAAATCCTGGAAAGGCAAATCCAGTGACCCTTGAGCTCTTGTGAAAGGGCAAAGTAGTCATAGAGTTCCCTCCTGTTGGAGGGGGTTTAGATGAAGGTACTCTCTTCGGCTTGGTTTTCACAAGACGCCAAAGGGATGGCCATTCTAAGAGTCGCCCTCCCCATATTTTGTGGTTGTCAAAACCAATGGGATCCCATTTGGGTTGGTAGGTGCACCACCCATTTTAGAACCTATTTTAGTGGGGATTGGGATGTTCACTGGAATTACGGGATTTTGACCCATGTGGCCATATAGTTTGTAGCGAACCAAGAGGTTGTTTGATGATTATGTATTGGCTATGACTCAATTGGGAACCCCTCCCAACTGCTTTGACCGAACGGGCAATGGCAAAGGGTCACCTGTGGCTTGCTTTGTCCATTGGATATGCTACGCGCTGAATAGAATTTCGCAATTTTACCAAAACCAGTCAACAGGGGTGGTGGGTAATCGTGTATCTTTTTCAAACCCCTTGTCTTGCTGGCTCGCAGGGAATCACAAGGGGTTTCGCAAGTAAATCTAGGCACCCCTACAAACCTCTTGGACGGCTCAGTTGGGACCATTCCGAGCCAGCAAGATTGAAGGCCGGGTCATTACTTGGACTTTTTCCGGTGCTGCCAAAGTCAGAGACTTCCCTTTACGACCATTTAGAGGACTTTGACATAGTCATGGGGCCAGCAAGGGGTGTGTGTGTGTGTGTTTTTGATGGCGCCCTTTCTGGTTGGTTCAAAGTGGAACCACCCAAGGAAGTGGAACCACCCAAAAGTGGTTTTCTGAAAGAATCCAGAGTGGAACCACCCTGGCACCCAGGTCCGAGCGACCTGACGCCTGCGAAGCAATCCCCGAAGGTCAGGAGGCGAGGATTGGGCACGCACGCGCGCGCGCGCACGCAGGCACGCAGGC